TCTTTATATATATATATATATATATATATATATATATATATATATATATATATATATATATATATATATATATATTAAAATTTTCAAAACAGGGTAATATTTTGAAACAGAGCAAAACGGATGGAGATTTAGTAACAAACGAATGAAACGGTTTTGACACCGTTTGACCTGATTCAAGTGCACAGCAGGACAATTACCCCAAAGTAAGTTACAATAAACGATATGAGGATAAATGAGTGTGTTATACAGTTCCAGAAGTATATTTCTATTTAGTTTATGTTTGATCTTGTGTAGTATACCTATTAATTTGTTAAATTTGTCAGAAATAAAATTAATATGGTTGTCCCAGGAAAGATTATCTTTAACTAAGACTCCAAGAAACCTAATTGAATCAGATCGGGCAATATTGTTAGTGTTAATATTAATATTCAAGTCAGGCAAAGAATTTGTTAAAATTCTCGGACCAAATATTAAATAACTTTTGGAATAGTTGATTTTAAGCTTATTTAACCAGTTAACTATTTTTTCAAGTTCACCATTTATTATAGACGAATCATTTGCAGGATTTTTTGTGTGGAAAAGAATAGTGGTGTCATCCGCATAAAGAACAAATTTGGCTATTTCAGAGGCATGACACAAATCGTTAATAAATAGTGTAAAGAGAAGAGGTTCTAGAATGGAACCTTGAGGAACTCCAAAACTGATATTAAGAGTCTCCGAACAGTGATCACCAATATTAACAAATTGTTTCCTATTCTTAAGATATGAGCAGAACCACAAATGTATTAGACCTCTAACACCATAGGAATACAGTTTGGCAAGTAGGATGTCATGGTCAATCATATCAAACGCTTTTGACAAATCTATAAAAACGCCAACCGTCAAAATACTTTCATTTAATTTATTCAACACTGTGTGGGCTAGATGCACACAGCTAATTCAGTTGAAAAATTAGGTCTGAAACCAAATTGGTAGTCGCTAATAATATTATTAGCATTCAGAAAAGAAGATAGTCTACAAAACATTAGTTTTTCTAAAATTTTGGAAAGTGGAGAGAGTAGTGAAATGGACCTATAATTATTAATGTCTTCTCTACTACCATTTTTGAAAATGGGAATTATCTTAGATTTTTTAAAACATTTAGGGAAGATGCCTTGCGTAAAAGAGAGATTGCAAATATGGGTGAAAGGGACTAAAACTTCGTTAATGATTTGTTTAATTAGAAAATTACTTAGTGTGTCTGTTGAGGTGCTTTTACTATTTTTTAAATTGTTAGCTATATTTAAAACCTCTGATTTATTAGTTAACTTTAAAAACATAGACTGATTATTTGATTTTAGAAAATTAGATGAAAATTGTGTTGAGATGGTATGACTGCTTGATTTTACTATATTAGTGAAATGAGTGTTCAGAGCATTACATATCTCTTTAGTATCTTCAATCGTTACATTGTTAACATTGAGACTATTGATAAATAAAGAAGTGTTCTTGTTTAAAATTTTATTTATCAGTACCCATTTTTGTCTAGCGTCTGTTTTAGCTGTAGAAAATTGTTGTTTGAAAAAATTATTTTCAGTCTTCCTTTTATATGAAGTGAAATTATTTATAAAATGGTTATATTTCAAATAGTTATGGACCGTAGGATTAAGCCGATAGAGTTTAAACAACTTGTTTTATTAGACATTTTGATAATATCATGGGTTATCCATGATTTTTTACTTATTGTTTTGTTCATAGAAAAAGGAGCAAAACTATTCAAAGCACTATTAATTATACTGTAAAAAATTGAGCCAGCACTGTCAACACTAGCTTCATTCAAGACAGTTGACCAATCAACATATCTCAGAAAAAGTTTAATTAATCTTATGTTATGTTTGGTGAGTCTGCACACAAGTGAGATGCATTCTAGCATATGTTTGTGAGATAAAGAGAAAATAGGAAAATGGTCAGAAAAATCGGACACAATGATTCCACTTTCTGCATAGTCTGGCGCGTTAGAAAAAATATTATCTATAAGAGTAGATGAAGTGGAGGTAACCCGAGTAGGAAAAAGTATCAAAGGACTAAAGCCATATGACAGAAGCAAATTTTGAAAAGTTTTATTATGAATACAATTTGAGTTTAGAAGATTAATATTAAAGTCCCCGACTATATACGTTATTTGCGTCCATTTACATATATTTAAAACCAATTCCAATTTCATAATAAATAAATCTATTTTACTATTAGGTGGGCGATAAACAGCAATAACTTTGAAGTGTTTAAAAGCAGGAGTATGATTAGGTTTTAAAGTTATACATAATATATCAACAGATTGGTCATTAAAAATAGAGTCATTACAAATATTAAAAATAAGATTATTTTTCACAAAGATACCCACTCCACCACCTTGACGATTAGCCCTATTTTTAAAAACAAAGTTATATCCATAAAGATTGATTAGTTTAGCTGAAGCGTCATTTAACCACGTTTCACTAATAATAATTACATTAAAAAAATTACACAAGTGATTGGATAGAATTTGCAAATTAGACATTTTATAAAGTAGACTACGTGAATTGATGTGTAGAATGGAAAGATTGTTGTAGCTATGTGTATCAAAAGATTTAATAACATTATTATGAAAATCAACAATAGTTAAATATGAATTCTTATAAAGATTCGACGAAATAGATCCAAAATTATTATGTGGTGTGTTATTCATGGTTGTCGGTGGTGTTGGTGTTCATTTGTACAATGTTGTCTTCAGATTTATCTATTGATTTTGTGATGTCATCCAGTGGCTTGTTGTTGGCGTCAAAAGGTTTGCTGTTGAAGACAATAGATTTGTTGTTCATCAAATGGGAGTTTACATCTATTGATTTATTATTATTACTATTTTTACTACCTTTGTTGCTACCACCATTATTAATACCGTCATTATTACCATTATCATTATTGATTATTGATTTATTATTGTTGTCCACCAAATTAGTGTTGAAAAGTCATTCTATAACGCGTACGTGTTCAGGCCACGCATCGGCAGATTCGACTATGCTGGCAAATTTGTTATCAACGCAAAGTCTAAAAGATGTAGATTGGTCGTTGTTTGCAAGCGCCTGGGCATAACTTTTCATTAGAGCAGGATAGCATGACAAAACTTCTACATCCACCAATTTCAAGTGTTCAATTATGCTTTCACTGGTACATCTGTTGACGTTGCTGATGTGATAGAATTTTTTTTATTTTGTATTACTTTGCTCGCAGATATTTTTGACTGGGCTGCTTGTCTTTTACCAATTGTTGTGGTTCTTTGAGCTGTCATGCTTTTCGTATTGTTGATGATCGGAGAGTTCACTCTTGCACGTTTGTTTCTAGGTACGTATATATATATATACAATACAATACAATACAATATATATATATATATATATATATATATATATATATATATATATATATATATATATAGGTTCATTCAGTCGTATATACAGTTATTCAGAAATATCACCACATTTTCAGCATTGTTGAGTTTGTAACTAAGTTTTTCAATTTCAGGTAATGTTTTTTTAAAACCTTTGAAATTTTGAAAAAGCTGTCAACTGAATATAGAATGTAAAAAAATGTTTATTGAATTGGAAGATCGGCCAGACTAGCTAAAAGGCGTTTCGGAGTACCCTATCTGATGATGCTAGGTCTGTGTGGAAAGTCAAACGGCTTTACATAGGTTGTCCCAGTTAAAGACCACTCAGCGTTGGAATGATTATATTTCATCAAACAGGATTAGTCCAAGGCTTCTCTGGATGTCTATGGATTCGTTTTTGTGTAGATCTGGTAATGATGCTCAAGCTTCATTGCTTTCTGCCGAGTTTCTAAGTATTTTGCTGATTAGATTGTTGCTGTTAAGGCAGCTACGTCTGATGGGACTTCTGGAAAACTCCTCTTTGTTGGATCTGATGGTTTAGGTTGCTTTGCTCCTTGTACCGTGGACGACTAGACCTTGTCCCTACAGTGATTTTAATAAAGTCCTTGATGATTTGTTGCCGTTTTTTGTTTTGTGGATTAATGGCTCGTTTGCCACTGGTGTGTTTCCTTCTAGTTTGAAAATGACCGTGGTGACACCATTGTTGAAAAAGGCTCGTCTTGATATTTTTAATAATACAAAAAACTCGGCATTTATAAAATGTTAAATAATAGCAAGATGAAATAAATGTTTTTTGCTAAAGCTAATTACAACAAGATATTTTGTATTGGAATCTAGTTGTAATAAGCTTTGGTTTTATTTTAATTTCTGAAGGAGATCAATATATTAAACAAGATTTAAAGAGTAGAGAATCACCAGATACAAATAGTCACAAAATCAGTATCGTGATGACCAGGCTCTTTGTGCTAAAACGCCGTTAAACTGCAAAAAAAACTTAATTACAGCTAGTTTGATCTTGGCATAATGCTGATCAACTAATTTAAGATAACATAATATGCACATTATATAGGACGGGCCTGTCAAACCCGCAAGAAAGAATCAGGCTCGCCAAAGGTTTTTTTTTTTAGAAAATATTCAAAATTTATTTAAAATTTAAATTAATTTGTTTAGGTTAGGTTAAATGTAAATTTTAAACTTTTTTCTTTTTTTAAATATTTTAAAATTTAGACTCTTGTAAGATTGAAAACATTCATTCATGGTATTGCGCTACGACCGTTATTCGTTTAAAAAAATAAAATTTAACAAGCGGACGTTATGGCGTCCGCCGATAAAAAATACGTAAAATTCATTATGAAAATCGCGTTTCTTAAGTTCGTGGACAAAAGACTATTTTGTTGTGCAACATGCCGGTGCCATTTTGTGTCTGATTTGTCAAGAGACAAACAGAGCACATTCATTTTACACGCGCGTAAAAACAAGCAAATAATGTTTGTTTACGTTACAATCCACATTTACTACTCTAACAACGAAATTTTAATTTCGAAAAACAATTGCAATAACCGATTTCAAATGAAAATAAATATTATTATTTTCAAATTTAACTATTGAAAGCACATCCGAGCACATAATATTGAATATATTTGAATGACTTAATTAACAACATCGATTTTAGACTTACGTATCATACGTAACATGGATCCACTAAACTAAAGCAGCATCTAAACAACCCTACAACACTGTAACAATTCTTGAGGGACATACTTTATTACAATACCTGCTTGAGTTATTTTTACATCAAGGATTGCAAATTACCAAACAAATCTTTGTTTATCGATATGCATGGACCAAATAAATAATTAACAAAATGCTAACATCGTCAACAAAACACACACGCACGCACATGCAAATATATAGATATATATGTAAAGAAATGTCGTAAATATGTTTGTGGGTGCGTGTTTGTTTTAGACAAAGAATAAGAGCGAGAGAAAGAGGGAGAGAGATTTTCGAATGAATGTTATTTTGATGTGTTCTTGCCCCTTCCTCACAATCTCTATATCCTTTTGAGCTCTTTTGAATAATTTATAAATAAATAATTTGATTTGCTTGAGAGCTACACAATAGGTTAACAATAACATTCATGCTCGAATATAACAACGAGTGTGCAAAATATTCTTTAACATGTTCGGCCACTATCGGTTTTATTTATTTTTTAAATAGATGTTTTCAATTTTAAACGATGAACAATTCTGAGAATGAGTCAATAAATATTGAAGTAACTGTCCCCATGCTGAAGTTGAGAGTTAGTATAATGTAGATGAATGGTGCTGAGTTAAATTAATATTTAAATTTACATTTCCTTCCTATTTTTCGTCTTCCAGAAAATTCTGCCATTCACAGCGAGAGATATCGTGAGGAAGCTGAAGATTGATTTACTAAATTGCCAGGTTGCAAATTGTTGTTTGTGTTCTAACTAATTTTTTTATTACTCCAGTTGTTCATTCAGTTAAGATTAGCAGAGATAGTGAATATCATTTTTTCTGGATTGCTCAGAAGGATCATCAACGTCACACACAATGTGTATGTGCACGTGATACGCGCGACTCCACCAATCACAAAATGTCTGTGGTAAGCGGAAGTATATTTTTTCATTTGAATCCGGTTGCTGCAATAGAAGACTCTTCAACCATTCCCGTTAAGCATTGTTGTCACTAGAAGGAATTATCAAGCTTATAAATGTTTATTTTGTGATTGAAGGAATTGCAAAGTTTGGAGGATGGGTGGAATTTTGGATTTTTCATGCCTGGGAACAAAGAAAAAGCCGGAAAATATTTGGATGAAGAAAGATTCTTGAATGAATACTTCTTTAATGATAACGTTAAACAATTGCAGGCTAGTGAACCGTTAAATTCATTCTTCCCAAAACTGAAAAAATTATTTTTACAATTATAGAAACCACTCGATAATTTTTATTTATTTTGTTTATCAAATCTGGCGATACAGTTCATTCAAAAAAAGAGAATATATAGGAGAAACATAGACATGGTCACCCATCACATGCACAACAACAAAGTAAATTAATACGTTGTTTTTTTTTTATTTTATAATTGAAATAAAATAAATAGAATAGTTCAATTATTGTTGGGGTCCGGTGGCGTAGTCAGAAATTTTTTTGTAAGGGCTTTGGTTTATAATAAAAGTTGGCAACATTTTTTTGGCGATTCCAAGTTTTTGTCATAATTTTTCTAATAAAACCAATCATTTTCATGGAAATTACATAAATGTTACCGTTGGAGAGGACTGAAACAGTCTTCAGTCTAAATTTCTATACAAATTTTGTAACTTTTAGTTAACTTTAAACTTATTTAAATTTCCTGTTGTAAGGCCAAAAGTCTTCTTTTGTCCGTGTTCACGTCTTTTTCCAGTGGGTAATAATAAATAATTTTTGTTTTAATGGATACAAGTACAAAATGATTATGAAAATCGTGGAATTTCTAACTGCAAAAACTATTTATACAAATTAGAATATATTTTTAAAATATTGTTATGCAGACTAAGAGAAAGAAGTTTTTAGAATGCGTGAAGAAGAATGACATCAAAAAGACCAACCAGCTGATTTCAGATGGGCTGGATCCAAATTTTACTGACCCAACAGGAGAAGGTTTTTAAATAATTTCAGACATGCATATACTGTATCATAAAAGCATCAATAAAAATTTCTAGATCCATCAGCGCCACTATATAAACATCCGGTTAATGTAATTAATGTTATCAATTTTAAAGTTACGCCATTGATTGCTGCGGTACTTCAGAAAAAGTCGAAAGATTTAATTTACTCGCTATTGGAAGGTGGTGCTCATTTGGACTTTCGAAACAAACGAACGCTAACACCACTTCATGTTGCTGCCATGAAAGGCAAAGACGATGCTGTTAAAGTAAGTACAAATTTTTCTAACTTAAATAAAGTATTTACATCAGCTTCTGGATCAAAGTGACAATAAATTATACATTCTTTTATTCTGGATAAACTTATTGTCAGTCAATTTTTAAATACTTCAAGCTTCTATTGGAATTAGGATCGTCGGCAAACTATAGAGATGGTCAGATGTTGACACCTTTGTACGTGGGCGTTAAACATGATATTACAAAATATTCGTTGAAGAAACTTTGTTACGAACACGCAGATACAGATGTTGTTGACAATCATGACAACACCTCATTGCACCAAGTTAGTTTTTAAAATGTTTCCAAACATATTGCACAACAATGACATTGATCAATCAAATAATATTTTATATCCTTATTGTTGCAATGCTTGACAACGTTCCTCGTTGAACCCTGCTAGAAGGTAGGTCTCGAGATATGCTATGAATGTTGTGAGGAGCTACAAATTAGTTGAATAAAAAGTAGAATTTCAGAGAAAATAACCACAAAAACAAAAGCGTGCTGAATTAAAAAAGGTAAGTAGGGGCACGTTCGTTGAAATATAGTTGTAATATTATATTTAACAAATATCTTAAACTCACGCATTTATAACCAACCAAAACTTCTGAAGACTTGCACACCAAAGCCATGCGTTAAGTGTAAGTGTATGATTAAACATTCAAAAATAAGAAAAGCAGTTTTGTTAATAATGCAAGAGAATATTGAAAAATTATAAATTTTGTTTAAAAGAGGTTATGAAGCGCAAATGTACGACACAATTGGAGACTCAATTTGGTGACACATTGAAAGTTTAGGTAATTTGTTCTGAACCAAAAGCAATGGTTAGAGAGACAAATTGTATAACAGATAATTGCAATAACCGATTTTTGAGTGGATCAGATAGCGAACCGAGATGGAAACAATTTAACGTTTTAGGAAATATGTTACATGAGAAATGACGCTGGTGTAAGAGTTGTTTGATTTAAAAATGATGGGACGTGATTGTTAAAAATTAGACGCCAACCATTTTTGTGGAATTGTTAATTGTGTGCGTGTGCGAAACAGTTGTAACGTCGCTATTACCTACTTCAACATAATCATCACAAATAATGTTATCACCTTCATTGCCTCTATCGTTGTTTTTCACAATCTCCAACATTTTGTTTACTTAGTTTCAAAGTTTTAATTAATAATATCTAACCTAACCTAATTACGAACAAAAGTAATATTGAAAAATAATGAAGGCATGTAGATTGGGGAAATATGATCTGCTGGAAGATTTGATAGCTTACAGCAGGGATATCAACAAGCAAAATCATTTGGGTAACACCGCCTTACATTTGGCAGCAGTGCAGAAACAGGTATGTCAGTTTAATTAACAAATCAATCGACCAAAAAATTAAAAAATTCAATCAGTTCTTCAATTATTCATTTTTGCAATCAGTTATCAGCTAATATATTTTTCATAAAAAATTTTAATGAAAAATTCAAATGGTAAAGTTTATTTTTTCTTATGACTTTACTTAAGACCTCAGACTTATCAACAATCGAAAACGGTACACAAACGATTAATTAGAGTACTTCAGAAATTACATCGGATGAACACCTCTTTGTCTTTCACTGCAAATCATCACCAGGCTTTTTACCTATTGCACTATTCTGCCATTCAGACAGTTGTTTTTTTTATTTTTTAAACAGGAAGAATGTACGAAAATGCTTTTAGAAAGAGGAGCGAACAAATATATAGTCAATCATTCAGGTAAAACAGCAGCCGATTTATGCACATCTGAAAGTTTGAAACAGTTTATTCAAACGTTTGAAGAAAGTCAAAAAAGTAACGTTTCTTGCTGTAGACTCAATCAGATGTAAACGTTTATAAAATTTCAATTTTCAGTTCAAAATGCTGTCCCTCCAAAATATAATTTGAATAGAAAAGTATCATCATCATTATCAAACAACGATGAAGCTCTTTCAAATGGTGCTCTCATATCTTCATTTAGCAAATCGCTATCAAATCTGTCAAAAAAGGAGGAAGAAAATAATGAGCCGTCCCATGAAAAATTAAGTATTTCACTTACGAACGAAACTGATAATAAATTTTCTAGTCAAAAATTCAACAACGGAAAGATACGAAACCACAAACAATCTCACATAATCAATGGGAACAGTGACGATGATGATTCTGACGACGATTGTTCTCCACCTTTAATAAGGTTTTTTAATTATTTTTGGTCAATTTGTTTTTAAAAATATTTAAAAATATTTTTCATATTTAAACTAATAAAAAATTAAATAGTTTTCTAGTACATATAGATTTTTGCTTAATTTTCCAGAAAAAAACTTCAAAATTACTGCAGAATTGTAACTATCAATCCTGGACATGAAGGGCTGGGGTTCATATTGAGCGGAGCTGCAGGTCTGTTTTCAATTTAGGGTCGCAAAAAGGTTAAAATTCATAAAAAAAGCAATTGACAAAACAATTTTCACACAGACGCACGCATTCAAACAGATCCCTACACACACGTACACAACACTTACTCTCATACATTCACACACACACACACACACGCATAATATTATTATTGTTGTTGTTGTTGTTATTAAAATTTATATAGCGCTAATTATAAGTATAATAAAATGTCAACTGAGATTAGCTTAATAGCACATAATTCGATAGACAGCCTAAATATAACCAGAAAAATAATTCAATAGCAGATGTTGACTACAAATATGAACTGAAATTAATTTAATATAAAAGACTTCAACACAGAATACATATAATGCAAGTAAATGTAAACAGTAACTAAAATTAATTACACGTACTACGAAACACAAAAGAGATAGAACATAAATATAATCATTAATTAACTTAATAGTACTAAACATACCTCAGTACATAAAACAATTTTTAAAAAATAAGTTTTTAAATTATTCTTGAATGTCTCTATCTTCAAACCCGGCACTCTCGGAAGTTCGTTCCAAAGCAATGATCTTGAAACTGCAATACTTATGGCTCTAATCTTCAATGGTGCAACGTTGACATCTGTCAAATTCATACGATCTAAAAAGAGCGCCAGTTAAAGATTTTGACTTTCTTCTTAAATTTATTGCTTAAATACATAGATAGAAGTCTCTTGGTAGTCTTGTGCATCAAAACACAAATTTTGAATAATTCTCTTTTCTACATTCAGTCTTTTAAAATTTGTTTGACGTGATCAAACTTCAGACCACCAACTTAATATATCTGAGTTGTTCTGCATCGATTGCAATACTACGATAGATTTGCTAGTCAGTCCATAAAATAAACTGTTGCGATAATCCAAACGCGAGTATACGAACGCATGTATCAACGTCTATATGGTAGCTTTGTCGATAAATTTACGAATACACTCTAATTTATAAAGATGATGTGACCACTTTGGACAATAACATTCTGATGTGATTATTCATCTGGAGTCAACAACACATCCAAAATTAAAAACATTATGGCAAAGTTTGATAGAGTATGCATATATGCATATGCTCGTATATTTTACCCTGCTATGTCTATCATTGATAATATCTGACCGTATATATATATATATATATATATATATATATATATATACGGTCAGATATATCTACGGTATATATATATATATATATATATACCGTAGATATATATGATATATGACCGTCATTACCTATTGAAAGGCATCATATGTGAAGACTTTTCAGATTATATGCCGATTTTTGTTTCACTGAAATGGGGTGGACAATCTGTTGTGAGCATGCGCCAACCAGTAAGAACCCGTGTAATGAAGGACGAAAATGTGAGATTAGCAAATAAACTTTTTGGTGATGTTTCTTGGCCTGTTTTGACTGATGATACCAGCTTAGAGACGGATTATGAAAACTTTTTTCTAACCTATTTGGATTGTATTAATACTGCATGTCCAATAGTCACCAAAAAGGACCGCTTTAGAAAACCTTGGATGGATATTAACTTGTATAACTACAGTTTGCGCAAGAATACTTTATATAGGTTTTGTATATGTAACCCTACATTAGAGAATAAAAACGCATATATTAAATCAAAAAATTATTTTATTAAACTAAAGAGAGTTAAAGAAAAAGAATATTATGACAATAAGTTTAAAAAATGTAAAACGTCTAAAGAAAAATAGTCCGAAATAAATAAAATATTAAGACCAAAAATTGACAAAACACATCTATTCAAATGTAATGATTCGTTGTTAACAAAATTGAATAGAGTTAATGAAATTAACAATTTTTTATTAATCAATGACTTATTTGTCATAACACTGAAGAATTTAATCTGAACAGTTCGATGATGATGGATCATGATTTTCCATCATTCTTCTCAACCGATGCATCGCCTGATGAGGTGAAAATGAATGTTAACAGACTAAAACTAAAAAACTGTTTTGACAGTGATCTTTTATCCACTAAATTATTAAAGGGTACTATTTACCCCATAGCTGGTTCAATTTCCATTTTATTCAGCAAATCAATCCTCGTTGGCCAGTTCCCTAATAGACTGAAATTGGCAAAGGTACTACCTATTTTCAAGGGTGGTGATTGCAATCAATATGGCAACTACAGACCCATATCGATTCTATCAGTATTTTCAAAAATTTTTAAAAAACTAATGTTTGATAGAATGTGGTCTTACATATCTAAACACAGCATGATTAATGGAAATCAATTTGGCTTCGTGCCCAAGTCATCAACTGAGAAGGCTATTGCTATGCTGTATGGGACTCTCATAAATAATTATGAATCAAGGAAGCTTAGCTTAGGCGTTTTTATAGATCTAAGCAAGGCATTCGATTTAATTGACCACAATATTTTATTGTATAAACTGTCTAAGTATGGTTTTCGAGGTATAGTACTGAGCTGGTTCAAGTCTTACCTATACAATCGGTGTCAATATGTTTGTATTGAAGGTGTTGAATTGTTGCCCAAGGAAATAGTTTCTGGAGTTTCCCAGGGTTCAATCTTGGGACCGCTTTTGTTTATTCTGTTTATAAATGATATTTTTTTAATATCAAATGTGTGTACCACTATTTTATTTGCTGATGACACGACTAAATTCTTGTCTGACGAAGACCCGATAAGACTATTTTCTGAAATGAATAACCAACTGGTTAAATTCTCCAACTGGTTCACTGGAAACAGGTTGGTTCTGAATTCAAAAAAATCCTGCTATTTAGTCTTTGGCCCTAAAATCAAAACGAACAATGATATCTTCTCTGGCCTAACCATTCACATAGGTGACTCAGTGATATCCAGAAACTCGTCAGCTAAATTTCTGGGAATTATTATCCAGTCTGACTTGAAATGGAATGAGCATATAAATTCGTTGGTAAGCAAATTATATAAAATTACTGGCATTATTTATAGATCACGCAATAAATTAGGTACTAAAATCATGTTAATGCTATATTACTCCGTAATCTATCCATATCTCTTATATGGAAATGTTTTTTGGGGAGCTTCTTATGATTATTTAATAAAATCATTGACAATAATACAAAAAAGATACCTTAGGGTTTGTTTTTTTCTGAAACACCTTGATCATACACTGGCAATATATTCCGATAATAGTAACCTCAGTATTGAACAGCTTAATAGGTATCTAACCTTGTGTTTCGTTTATAGAGTGTTATATGATGCTGAGTTCAACATGTTAGGCTCATTTGAAACGGTGTCAACAAACACTAGACAAAAAGGTTTGTTGATACCAATGACTTGCAGAACTGATTTAAATGCTAGATACTGGGCGGTAAGAGGAATTCGTCTTTGGAATTCCTTGGAACTAGGTAAGAAAAATTTTTCCGGATATAATGAATTTAAAAAATATATAGAAAACTTATGCAGATCAATGTAGGTATTATGCTCTCTTTGTTTAATTTTGTCGTGTTTTATTTAATTGTTTTACATCTGATTGAATATTTAACCTCCTTACTTTAAGTTATAAAAATGGATTTATTGGGTGTATTTATATTTATCGATATACTAAAAATGTTTATATTTGTATCTCATATTGTTGCACAACTAGTTAAGGTGGTCAGCACATGCTTTCGTATATATGATCTCCTGTTTCTTTTCGAATAAAATTCTGGAAAAAAATATATATATATATGTATATATATACATATATATAATATATACAATATATATATATATATATATATATATATAATTCGAATATAAGCTGATAAACACTAATAAATCGGTGGAATTTATTACATATAGTCAAGAATTTGGTCTTATATATTATATATATATTTATATATATATATGTATAATCAATCAATCAATTAGTATATAAAGCGATATTTCCGCGATGTTCAACAGCTTTTCTTTATGAATTTTACAAACAAATGGGTCCTGAGATCCGCCCTGAACTTCGTAAGTAAGGGAGAAGTAGTCAGGAAGGAGATAGAGAATTCCAGAGAAAAGGGCCGAAAAAAGCAAATGCAGATTTAGCAAAAGAGTGTTTAACACGAGTTAAGAAGAAGTGAGAACAAGAAGACGATCGTAAACCTGGGCGTTTAGGTTCAATTAATATATCTGTTAAGTACCTAGGAAATAATTTAGATTGAGTCTTAAACATTAATGCGCAAATTTTATAAATTATTCTATATTTCATAGGTAGCCAGTGCAAGAGAAAAAAATATGGAAATATTTGAGATAATAAAAAAGCACGAGCAACTAGTAAAGAGCGGAGTTAAAAGCTTTACTTAAAGGATTGAGTGTAGAATCAGGAAGACAAGAGTAGAGCGAGCTACAATAGTCAATCTTAGATAAAACTAAAGTAACAAGAACAAGAGTAAAATCGTGAAGAAAGGGCAACATTTTTTTATTCTACATATATGAAAGTAAGAACTTATAGCAACACTCTAAATCTGAGAAGAAAGAGACAGTCTGGAATCGAAGATAAAGTCTAGACTACAAAACTCGTGAGAAACATCAAGAGTTTTAAAATTAGGTAAGATAATAGAAGGAATAGTAATAGAGCGTTTAGATTTGTTAAAAATATTAATTCAAATTCAGACGGATTAAGTTTAAGACATAAAGTCAGATCAAGCGATAATTGAAAAAAGACATAGAGATAGATTATGAGGAACTCTATTGAGATTAGAGGAAAAGAAACATAAATACAAGAATCATCAGCATGTAGTTAATTAGTGAAAAAAATTAATAATGCGAGGTAGTTCAAAAGTATAGAGTATAAATAGAAGAAGGCCAAGAATAGAACTTCTAATTTCTAGAAGATTTATTTATTTTTTTTTATTTTTTTTTTATTTTCTCAAAAAAGAGGGGTAAACTAAAAAGCAACCAAATGCCTGTAGGAAAGTCACTCTATCCAAATGAAATTAAAATTGATCAACATAAATTAAAAATTAAAGTAGTTCAACAAAAATCAATGATTAAATTAGCTCGAAATAAAAGATAATGGTTTTTCTAAAATTTATAGGAGTAAATACGGAAAAACAATTTAGTTGTAAGTTTAGTAAAGTTATGGGGAGTAGAATGAGAATTATATATTCTTAAAGAATTAATTTTATATACAAAAAGTCATGATACTGTTGAGCAGAAAAAGATGAGTGAGACGATTTCTTATAAAGAAGTTTAGATAGAATGGACCACCTATTTTTAGATGTTGATGCAGATATTATAGATTTTCTAAGAAATGGAGAGTGTCTAGAAAATAGTAGATATTTATAACTAATTAATTCAGATTCACAGGTAGAGTAAAAAGAGTTAGATGGGTTTAACTTATAGGCCAGCGGTTCTCAACCTGTGGGTAGCGATCCCCAAAAAAGGCGGAATGACGATTTTCCTGGGGTCGCCTAGGACTATCTCCAATTTTTCCGATTGTGCAGAAACACGTGCAAGATATTGTTGCAGTTGCGTTTGATGTTTGAGAGAACAACGAACCAAGAAGAGCAGTAAGCGGGAGAAGAATAAATTAGCAATCGTTTGGATAGGTTGGACATGTGTTTTGTTTTAACCGGAGGCTAATCAGCAGCCCGAATACCTGTCAGAATAGTTATCGCAGTTTCTTATATAGCCCGCACAAATCACTTCGTTAGCTCGTGGTGTTTTATTTATTATTGAAGATTGTTAGTCTTTTAGTCGCTAGGATTTCAATCCGACAATATCAACCACGAATTCTCATAATTTTCTTATTTTAATCTATTAATTAATAAATTGTATTTTTTTGTATTCAGATGTTAAACAATATTGATTTGTGTCGTAGAAATAATATTTTTTACATTGTAAGAAGATATTATTTTTATGTCCCGTTCATTTCCATGGTAACGATTGTTATGCGTTGTAGAATTTTTGAAAATTTGATAAACACTGTCATTATTTATAGCTAATTGTTTTTTTCTCCCAACGGTAAATTTATTTTTGTTTCTATTATGGATCTTAGAAAAAAAAACTTGAAAAAAAAAGAAAATATAATGACGAATTTTTTAAAGTACGGTTTGACTTCAATTGTTACGTCGTGAATTGAGAAACCCCAATGCGTAAATTAATTTTCCATGAAGTTTTATCAGCCAAATCTATGAAGCCAAACAAATTGAAACGTCATTCTGAAAGCAAGCATTCAAACTCAGCCGACAAAGACGTCAATTACTTCAGATGTAAAGCTGATGGTTTAAAAAATTCTAGATTTGACTCTAGCAGCGGCAAGTACCACAATCAAAATATAGCAGCCGTCGAGGCATCTTATTTGGTGGCTTTCAGAATTGCTAGAGCTATGAAACCTTACAACGTTGCCGAGGAGTTGATCTTGCCAGCTGCCAAAACCATTGTAAGATTGGAGCTGAATATGTTACAAAATTGATTTAAGTTTCTATGTCAAATGACACAGTTCGCAGGAGAATAGATAATATGTCTGCTGATATTATCTATCAGATAATCCAAGAAAATATATCTACTCCGCTTCCAGTTTTTAGTATCCAGCTTGATGAAACAACAGACGTTGCAAAATGTTCGCAATTGCTGGTTTACACAAGGTATATAAATGGTGGTGATTTTAAAGAAGAGTTTTTTTTGCAAACCTTTTGAAACTAATACTCGAGATGTATTTAATAAAATTGGTTCATTTCTGAAAAATTATAATATTTCTTGGGAAAATGTCCGTGGTGTCTGCACTGATGGTGCTCGAATTCTGCTAGGATGTCAGTCTGGATTTCAACGTTTGGTTCAGAATAAATCACCAAAAGTCGTCGGAACTCACTTTATGATTCATCGACAAATATTAGCAACTAAAACACTGCCAGATGAGTTACAAGAAGTAATGAAAAATTATTCAATTTTGTGAAAACAAGTGTTTTAAACAGTCGACCGTTTTCAAAATTTTGTGACGAGTCACATGCATCAAACAACGTTTTGTTATTTCACTCGGAAGTAAGATGGTTGTCGAGAGGAAAAGTTTTATAATGTGTTTTTTGATTTTGATCTTCGTGATGAGCTAAAATAGTTTTTTTAAATTAAAAGCAAAACTTCAGTTTGAAACACTGTATAGCGATAAAATTGATTTACAGAAAATGGCCTACCTTGTTGAAATATTTTCCATTTTGAATGAACTGAATGGATCAATTCAACATGTAATTAGCTTGTCTGAAAAGATCCGATCCTTTCAAATAAAACTTCTGCTTTGCCAACTTTATTCGCCTTCTGTGAAAAAAATGACACTGAACCTAACAAACGGCACGCAATGATCATTTCTATAAAAAGTCATTTTAAAATGCTTGCACGTGAAAAATCGTCATATTTTTCAAATTTCCCCGATATCCCATTTGCACCTGCCAGAAGTCCATTCATGGTAAAAGTTGAAGATGTTCCTGAACCATCTCAGAAAGAGTTTGTTGAACTCACTAATAACGATACGATAACAAATAATTTCGCTTCAATGTCAATTTCGCAATTTTGGATAAGATGTTCGAAATCATATCCCATTTTTTCTGAAACAATGTTGCGCTTTCTTCTTCCATTTCCAACAGCATATCTTTATGAAATTGAATTTTCCAGTCTTAGTTATCAAATCTAAATATGGAAGTAAACTCGATGACCTTTGATGTGTTCTTTCAAAGACTGATCCTAGAATTTCTGATTTTGTGAAACAAAAACAAGCTCAACCTTCTTACTAACACTTCGTTTTTATGAACACTTTTTTCAACAATTTATTATAACATTGCTTTTGGCTTAATGAAATGTTTCACCAATGATGTAGAAGATTTTATTTAATTTAAATTGTGAAATAGTTTTATATTGGAGTAGTAAAAGTACAGTAACTTTTAGGATTAAGGGTCGCCACATCATGAGAGTTAGTATTCAAGGGGTCGCGGTGTTAAAAAGGTTGAAAACCGCTGTTATATTTCTCCAGACTTCTATACTTTTCTTAGCTAATACACCGCATGATAACGGTTCAAGAAAATCATCAGAAAATATACAAAATCAAAATTTTTACCAAACAGGTAAAAAATGTTGGAGAATTTAATAAAATTGGATGTTATATTGTTTCAGGCAATAACGTCAGCAATGGGGATTTGGGTTTCAGTCCTTCGGATGGAATACCTGCCTTGCAATATTTCGAATATGTTCAACCAGGGTCTGTCGCCGAAAAAGCTGGAATTAAAAAACTAGATTTCCTTGCTGAAGTATTAAACAATTTATTTTAATTTAAAAAAAGTTAATTTAAAAAATAATAAACAGATTAACGGTGAAGACGTGAGGTCTTCGACCCATGCACATACTGTATCTCTGTTGAAAAACGCTGTTGGTGAACTTGAGCTGGTCATCATAACTGTTCCAAACATCAACGAAACATTCTTAACAGGAGTGATCAACACACGAGTAAATTATAGGAATGAAATGAACAAACCAAGAAATTTTAAATTTCACGATCATTCTCTCGGCATCTTAGGTTGGCGTCATTAACATAATTTGTTTAGCTCAATAATTATTATTGACATTATTAAACCTAAATGTATTTATTGATCGTTTGATATGAACAGAACCTCTGAATGAATCCCCCGAAGAAGATATTTGTGAAATATCGGAGAAATGTAACGCTGTTCAACTAGAAGATCAAAATATTGTAAAGAAAAATACGGAAATTGAAGACGACACTAACTTTGAAATTGTGTTCATTAATGATCCACAAATGAAACCTGTAGTACAGCCAAGAAAATTTCTACTTAAACCTTCAAACAGCTCGCAACCTCCGAAACCCATTTTACCTTCTGAATTTGTTACGAAATCAAAATCAGTTGAAGTAGTTAGCCCATTAAAAGAATACAGACGCCAGGAATTGAGTATTAACAACATCGTTTCTGCTTGGTCTGTTAATGATGTGACTAATTTTCTCATCTCATTAGGTTTACTCCAGCACGTTAATAATTTTAAAATCGGTAAAGTCGATGGTTTTAAGCTTCAGCAGTTAAAAAGACAAGATTTTATACATCTTGGGGTTGACGATGTCACTCACAGAATGCACATCGAACGAGGAATTCTGAAGGCAAACAGAACGATGTCTTCGTGTTAATCTGTTTTCATTTAGTTGAAGCCTGCATTGAACTGTTATAAGTTTTCAATTATTTATTGTTGTAATTAATCTTAAACTAGCAGCACTGGAATATATGTTTTCAATTATTTATTGTTGTAAATAACCTTAAACTAGCAGCACTAGAATACAAAACCTTGTCACTAAAATTTTGCAATATTAATTTTGAATAGGTATATGGAAAGATGCAGATAGTACATTAGTGCCAAGCAAACAAAAATCTTCAAGCGTAATATTTTCACCATCTAACATATGCATTGAAAAGAGCGAGTTGTGAAGAAACATCTTAAAAACGCAACATTTTATCGCGATTTTCATTAAATTTCTTCTGATGATTAGAAAATTAACTTTCTCGTTACATGAATTTTTGTGTTCATTATGTAATTTCGTTTGTATTACTTTACTAAATCCAGCTGATTTAACTGAATAATTCAAATTTTTAACAGTTTAGTGTCTAGATTTTGTTTCACTAGGGTATTGTTTTAGTTGCAACAAACGGTTCAAAACAATGTTCAAAACATTGAACTATAAAGAGAAATTGAAATCTAGCACTTAAATCTAGACGTTGATCTGCGAGCGTTGTCATTTTATTTTGGCTTATGCTCTCTCTCACACACACACACACACACACACACACACACACACAAATATATATATATATAGTCAAACCTCCTTATAACGAACTTCTATACAACGAAAATCTCTATATAACGAACTTTTTTTCCTTTGGAATTTTGCATATAAAACTGTTTCTATATACCGAAAATATTTTTTCTATAACGAACAAAATTTACAAAGTTTAAAAAATATTCGAAAATTAAAAAAAAAATTTTTGAACATTTTTGAACTGTAAGTCAAATTTTTGTATTACTGTTTTACATATGCTTTTCACCATACACATATAATGTATCAACAGGTAAATACGTAAACACGTTATTTTTCATATTATTTTGCAATTTTACCATGTATTATTACTTTTGTTATGAAAATATTTAATTAAAAAGTTGTTTTTCATAGATATATAGCTTTGATATCTCTTAAGTAATATGGAACTTTTTCCCAAACCAATTCTACATAATGAAATTTCTATATAGCGAATTTTTTTTCTGGAACCATCAAGTTCGTTGCACGGAGGTCCCACTGTGTATATTAAAGTTGTTAATATCACTGCATTTTCAGCTGAAAATGTATTAATAATATACCTCAATAATTGTACTTATGACAGTCTCGACCCTATACAAACATCGGATAATTAACTTCAAGGGGTGTCTGAACAAATAACGTCACACGAGGATACACTTTTTTTAAAGCAGGATATTCTAGGCATACTATCACTCGTTTATCGTTTGTTATCGTTAGAAAATTAACTTTCTCGTTACATGAATTTTTGTGTTCATTATGTAATTTCGTTTGTATTACTTTACTAAATCCAGCTGATTTAACTGAATAATTCAAATTTTTAACAGTTTAGTGTCTAGATTTTGTTTCACTAGGGTATTGTTTTAGTTGCAACAAACGGTTCAAAACAATGTTCAAAACATTGAACTATAAAGAGAAATTGAAATCTAGCACTTAAATCTAGACGTTGATCTGCGAGCGTTGTCATTTTATTTTGGCTTATGCTCTCTCACACACACACACACACACACACACACACAAATATATATATATAGTCAAACCTCCTTATAACGAACTTCTATACAACGAAAATCTCTATATAACGAACTTTTTTTCCTTTGGAATTTTGCATATAAAACTGTTTCTATATACCGAAAATATTTTTTCTATAACGAACAAAATTTACAAAGTTTAAAAAATATTCGAAAATTAAAAAAAAAATTTTTGAACATTTTTGAACTGTAAGTCAAATTTTTGTATTACTGTTTTACATATGCTTTTCACCATACACATATAATGTATCAACAGGTAAATACGTAAACACGTTATTTTTCATATTATTTTGCAATTTTACCATGTATTATTACTTTTGTTATGAAAATATTTAATTAAAAAGTTGTTTTTCATAGATATATAGCTTTGATATCTCTTAAGTAATATGGAACTTTTTCCCAAACCAATTCTACATAATGAAATTTCTATATAGCGAATTTTTTTCTGGAACCATCAAGTTCGTTGCACGGAGGTCCCACTGTGTATATTAAAGTTGTTAATATCACTGCATTTTCAGCTGAAAATGTATTAATAATATACCTCAATAATTGTACTTATGACAGTCTCGACCCTATACAAACATCGGATAATTAACTTCAAGGGGTGTCTGAACAAATAACGTCACACGAGGATACACTTTTTTTAAAGCAGGATATTCTAGGCATACTATCACTCGTTTATCGTTTGTTCCGTGCAGTTGATACAGCGAAAGTTGACAATACACTGTTTTAATCGTTTGATAGTCAATCAAATGCGGATGACCGCATTTATGACTAGCTGGAGGTTGAAAATTTTTTGCACTTTTTACCCTGGGTCGACAAAGTGGACTCAAGTGCGCTTACAAGTAACAAAGCTTCAGTCCCGAAACGATTTTTTATTAAATAAATATAGCAAGGGAATATTGCATTGCAATATTACATCGCAAGGAAATTCAGAAAAATTACAAACGTTTAACCAGTCAGGTATTTACAAATTTGAATTACTTTTGTAAAAATTGTAAAGCTTAAACAATATAAATGGCCACTGTAATGAAATTGAAAATAAAAAGATCAGCTTTTTCCTTGAGATTCAGCTTTGTTAGTTGTCTTGTTAATCTGAAATTTCAATAAAGGAGATGAATCTTTCTGTTGATTACCTGCAAATAAATTCAATTTTCGTGAAAGAAACAGCATAAACCATTACTAAGTAAAACTTTTAAAGTTTTCATTTCAACAAAATTTTGGTGTTGGCGAGATTACAATAACATATAAAATTTATCCAATCTGTTATTGTTAATGTAATAAAAAATTAACATTAGCCCAAAGCAATCTTATTTACATTCCGAAATAAAAACTGGATAAAAAATCTGATAAGATAATAATCAATTAAAATAATATACCACATTTATTGAAACTGGTTGAACTGATTTCAGAAGGAAGAGGCATTGCAGTCTTATTAAGATCCTTGATAACCGATTGTTCTGTGAGCTGATCACCGACATCTGTTTGCTAATCAACACATAATTTGAAAAAAAAATCAACAAAAATTTGAATGATAAACAGTGGATTAAAAATGTATAAACGTTCTTTAAATTATAGAACTATGATATAATTATAAATGCATAACTGTTGTTTCTTAACTGAACCATGGAAAAATCTTATTACCAAACTTCTATACATAGAACGTAAGAATGAATGTCTTACTTCTTCATCTGTTTCTTCTTCGTTGTCCTCCTCATCTTCTTCTTCCTCCTCCTCCTCCTCACCACCTGCCTGCTCTGCAGATGAGGTTGGTGGCCAGAATCTCTGAGCTGATTTCTTATTGTGTCGTTTAGGCTTATGTTTGGCTAATTCGTTTGACGAATTCATCATTGGTTGAAGAATTCTCCTGCGCCCATTTATAAACCTGCTCAATGCAAAATTTTAAAGATGTCAGTCCAATAACCTGATTCCATCTCCGTGGACGTAGTAGATGTAACAATTATTGATAAAATTTACCGTGAAACAAATGATTCATACATTGATGAAAAATGAGAAAAATAGGAAATAAATAATTTAATAATTATATTCTAACCTAAAATGAAAAAAATAGTAAATGAATCTATCACCCACCAATTATTAACTTGTAATATTGTGAGATTAGTTTGAGAAGCAATCTGTCGTTTTTCATCTTCGTTTGGGTATGGATGCTAAAAAAATTAAATTAAACTAAACAGTTAATGGTAAAATATAACAGTGGGTAATTTACGCGTTGAGAATATGTGCTTATAAAAAAGGCTAAAAGTCCTTGCTAGGTTCAGAGGAATCAGCAACAAACACACAAACAATGGACAAGAATACATGTTAAATGACGCATCACGCACAAAACATGTGATAGGCGAACATCTCGTCGCTATTTTAGAACCAGGTCACTGCACGTACTACGAAAAAGCACCAGGCAACCTTAACCATTAGGCCATCACGTCATATACAAGCAACTAAACATGATTTGACATGGACAAATGAATTTACCTACATTTGAATTAATTCATTTATTTAGTAATTATTTTATCAACCTCAACCATCACACCAACATGAACTGATTCTAATAAAAGTAACTCTTTAACAACGAAATTATGAACATAATATAAAAATAACTTACACTAAGATGTTGGAAAAGCCATGCTTTCATAACTTTCGTTGCTTTCTTAGGCAAAACTCCACGTTTTGACTTTTTCTGTTGACTGTCATCATCGCTATTCATAAATATTTGTGTATCTGCACCTTCAATTATAACGACAACAAATAGTTAGTCAAACCGACAAAGAACAATAAAAACATGCCAATTTGACGATGAATGAAGAAAACCATATCAATTTTCAAGCTCACCATATATACAAACACCATTTTAATTTCAAATTTCATTATTCTCATTATTATTATTATTATTAGCAGTAGTAATAGTAGTAGTTCAAACGTTTGTGTGTAGTGCTATACACACCTCTGCTTCAGAGTTGAGCACACATTGAAATGATTCTTTTTTTTAAAATCTGATCAAGGAAGACTATTTCACCTTGACAGGTAGGTAGCACATTCAAAACATTCGCAATTACATGATAGGGATGTTCAAAAAGCCTATAAAAGATTTGCTGAGTGTTCTGGCATGTTCACGCAGAATGAGGTCATGTCGATATACCGGGAATTTTATAGATATTATTTTATAGATAAAAAAAAACAAAAATGTTTCGAGTAGAGTAGTGACAAGAAGTCAATGAAACATTGGAAGAAGAAAAAAGTACCGAAGCAAAGAGGATGAGCCTGGCGGTTTTATCCTTGAACATTCTGAAGTTTTTTGATAGATGCATGGGAAGCTTTGTACAAGAGTAAATTCCAATGGCCTATTCGAAGTATGACGAGGCATTTACTAAAAAAAGCAGCAATGTCGGTTGTGAACGTGAGTATGTGCCTAATATGCAGTTGCATGATTTATTTCATGATGTCTGATGAATGTTTATCGAAGGTGAGGTATTTGTCGAAAGTAACATCAAGAGGTTTGATATAATTTGAGATTTAAACAAAACTAAGTTTTAGTTTCAAGTTAAATAACTAGATAAGTTAACTTCAAACTCACTAACAATGAAAACCAGATATGTCAAGAGAGTGAAAAATGACATCATTCTAATGATAGCCTTGTAACAGTTTTAGCTTTAAAACAAATCTTAGCTACAGTTTTCTAAATGAAACACTCAACCCAGAAAAATATTATCGATAAATTTTTAAAAAATTGTTGTAACAAATGCAAAATACCGAAAATGTCAATAAAGATAAAAGTAAATTAATGAACATATCAGTAATGAATTATAAACTGAAAATGTCTGGTCTTGCTTACTCATTGTAGAATGTTGTGGGAAGTTCAAAAGTCCTGCGGCAGCAAGCTGTGTATCATGAATGTTTCTGACCTGAGATGCTGTGTTGTCGATCACTTGGGTTGGTATCTATATTTTTATTTACAATTTATAAAATTTAATATCTGATTTGAGAAAAAACATTTTTTAACAAATATAAATTAATTCAATTTTTTAAATGTTAAAAATTAACTGATTGAAACTAATAAATTTAGAATAACTCCAGGTAAAGTTTAAGAGCATATCAATTTTCACTTATATTTCATTGCTCTCAGAGTCATTTCATACCTCATTAACTATTTTTTGATGCCGTGGAGTAACAGACAGTTAATCCAATTTTATAAAAGAATATTCAAAAACCAGAAGTAGTAATATAACTTTAATTAGGCCCAACAAGCAATGCTTAGAGCCTAATAAAAAAAGGTTTCATTACTAATAGCAAGAAAAACCCTATTCAAAACCTTTTCAATATAAAGATGAATAACGATGCAAGGAAGTGCCAAAATGAATATAATTGCTTCTTAGAAAATAGAATAAATGTATCAAGACCAACAAAATTTTTATCCTTGATTTATTGTTTGACTACAACAATTTTTCGTTGAGGCTGAGATATTTCAATGTTGCACAGTACAATGATTGCTTTTATATTAAGCTGTGTTGATCACTCCTTTATATTATTATTATTTATGATCAACCAGTTTTGATGAACACAGAGCTGCTTAAATACTGCTTAATTATGCGTGTTAAACAATAAGTTGTTAAATTATAAAAAACAATTGGATTTCAATAAATAGCCAAGCATTGCACCATATGACAAGGCTTGAGTTGCACAGAAACAGCATTCAAACAGTTGTCTACTAGCAATATGAAGATGTGAAACGTGCCATTCTACTGCCTGAGCTAACTCAATGATCAAAAACCTTTCAAGGCAACACCTGAAGGAAAAAAGCAAGCGATAGAAATAGTGATATCAGCCTTGATGGTCTGAGACTGAGATGAATAGTTTTTCAGTTTTACTGCAGAAGGAAGAGCCTTACTAAGTTAACAACAGTTACTATCTAAAATTTCAGTCTATTGTTAACTTATTTCCAAATTATGTTTGTTACTTTCGAGAACTATTTCAACTAATTGCTATTAAATTAATATGTCATTGCAAATAAACACATGTGAAGCTGGAAAAATTTATCAAAGTCATTGCATCTAACAAATCCTGATAACTTTTAAAAAGCATAAACACTTTTAAATTTAAAAGTTACAGAACATTTTTTAGTGGTTTTGAAAATAATTAATAACTATTAGATTAAAAATTAATATGAACTTGAATAGGTTGAGCAACGAGTCCTTGTGGTGTCTGCACCATCTGGTAAACAGTACCCCCTGAAACAACCTGACCCTGGCCTAAATTGGAGATAGGAGAAATGAGATTTGTTGAAATGAGTGGTGACTTGAGAGGTGACATAAGGGAGCTGTCTGCATTAGGTATTTCAATGCTGGCTTCGTTGTCATCATCTAAATCTATGGGCACAAGTTGACTCGAATGCATAGATGTTTTGAGACATCTTATGTATCTTGAGCAGAAGTCTTTGCATAAATCATGAACTTTTTCTAACTCAATTAAATGAATCTTAAGAACTTTCAAGGTTTCTATCATCTGAAATATTGTAAAAAAAAAACAAATAATCACATAAAAGTTTGTAACCAAAAATGATCTAAAAAATCTTTACCAGATTATCAACATCTGAGTCTTCTGTGAAGATAGGTGTTTCCTCTTGGTGCAATTTCATGAAGTGATTGTTAATGTCGTTATCAATATTTTTAATTGGCTGACTAACAGATGAAGCTGTGGACTGGTCACATCTCTCAAATAAGAATGAAATCAAAGCAAACAGGGGATGACTGGGAAAACGTTTGCAAAATATTTTATGAATACACAATTTTTATAAACAGTTTTCAAAGCCATCGAATAAAATCAAGCCATCTTAAGGCCAAAAATAATTTTAAGAACTAGCAAATATATTATGCTGAACATAAAATGAAATTGAAACATGAGACCAAATTTTCAAAATGCCTCATGCCATTAATAAACATCTAGCAATAAATATTACAATTTTTGTTTCATTACTTGAACGTCCATGTCATGTCGAGGCGTTAACACAACATTTTTCTATTTATTTTAAAGTGAAACTTTCAAAAAAATACATCAAGCCTTTTACATTATACTTGTTTCCGATTAAAATAATAACAAATGTGAACAACCTAATGATATTGATCAAATAAGAACCTGTATATTTTTTGTTTATAACAATCAATTTCTTCATCAGTTAGCGAATTTAATGAATCATCATTTTCCGTTTCTTCTCTATCATCATCATCCTCATCATCATCATCATTTTCTTGATTTTCATTGACTTCTGTGAGTCTACAAAAAAATAGAACAATGTAACAAGGCAATGTTACATACACATCACCAGTATAAAGTGTTTTGCGAATATACCATATTTAATGCATGCTAACAATAAGCCAACATAAAAACACATGTGGTAAGATCACGAGTATTAAAAGCTAATGGAAATAATTATATTGAGTGACATGGTTTGAATGGAAGATATTCACGCCCTTGGTTTATTTTTTGTAAACAAAGTATGCTCTGTTTAAAGTTGGAAAAGCACCATTGAACAAGAGGGAGGTGGCCTACTAAAGAAAGTTATCCTGGACAAAATATATTAAAGCATTTTTATATATTAGCCAAGAAATTATACACACACAATAATCATTTTCAACCCAGATAATTTGGACAAAATAAGACACTAACTCATAATTATCAACAGCAGCAGTACTTTCTGCATTTATATTACCACATGCCAATGAAGGAGCAAGAACAATATTGATTCCCTGCGGTTGTATCATTATAGGAACTCCATAGTTCTGTTGCACAAAATATGGTATATTTTCCAAACCACTTTGCATACCTAAATGTAGTAGTAAATGTATACATAAGTGAACATAACACATGTAAAATATGTTAAGATTTTTCAAATTGTGAACATACAAATATAAATAAAAATAAATAAATTTTTATTTGGAACCCTTCCTTATTAAATTATAATTTATAAGTAATTTATATATGTATAATTTATATGTGTGTGCTACTTTATCAATAAATGCACACACACAGACAAGCGTACCTGTAAATCATTATTTAAAAGCATCTTCTAGCTTTCTGTTCATCTTGAAACACACCCATCACATCCACCCACCCACCATGGTGAATGCCAAAATTTGTTACCAGATAAAAGGTTTTTTGGCATTGCTAGGTGAAAAGAATATCATAGTCTTCATTTTCAACAAAAAGCTCCTAAACATTTTACAAGAAAATCTCTAAAAGCTGTTATTTGCATAATTTTTCTATTTGACTGTTCAAAACCATTAACTACAAGAATAAGGCGCTTTTCTGTACACACAATTACTCTTAATCCAATAAATTATGAAAAAATACTGATGCTTTATGACTAGTATTGGTCTTAAATCTCAATTTCATGTGAACAATTTTTAAACACATTCATCAAATTGACTCAGTATACCAGTCTAAACAATACTTTTTTTTTATGTAAAAATTCATTGTTAAAATTTTTAAATGTTTCAAGGTGTATTATATATTTCAATTAATACTCATCTTAATCCAAATCAACTGATCAGCTGGCTGCTAAGCTGAAGCTCTATATTTTCAAAAAAAGCATTAGTTTTAATCATTTTTGTTAATCGGGACCTAACTAGTCAATGATTTTAATTTGATATAATTAATGAAACACTACCTTTATCTAGTTAAATGAAGCATGAACAATTTTCAGTCAGAGTAAGTAAAAAAGAAATGAAGAATTGTTTACAAAATGTGAATCTTCGGACATGACTCCTGAATGTTAAAGCGATTAGTTAGATCTTGAAATTGTCTCAATGCAGTATACTAAAAATAAACAGCTGAAGTGCCTTTCCAACTAGTAAACCATGGATTTTCAGATTTTGGCTTTTCATGGGAAAAATGAACCCATTTCAATTTTAATAAAAAGTTGTCTTCAAATTTGACTATCGGAAGTATAACAGAGCAGGCTCAAACAAAGACATTATGAATTGGTTCAAATTATAACTGTGATATTATTTAATTCAATTCAAGCTGAGTTTAGTCGAAATTCATCTCTCCCCCCTCTCCACTGTAAAATTCTTGATTTGTCACTGTCAAGCAAAAGTATATAAAAATCTATATATATATATATATATATATACGATAACCAAAATGAAAGAAATTGGAACCAGGTCATAAGAATTATAAGTCTTTTTTGTTCTGCTTCAAGTTGAATTAATTAAGTAAAATTAACCATTAATAATCAGAGAGGGTTATTTTAAATTAAGTCTATTAAAAATAATATATAAATTATAAATAAAATTTGATTGAGTAACACCAAGAATATCAAGTTTTATAAATATATGACATTTGTGTGATTAAAAATTAAATTCGACAGAACTGAGAAAATTTTGTTTAGTATAGTTTAGTTTAGTATTTAGTTAGAGTTTAGTAATTTAGTTAGAACGGGACCCCAACCCCTCTTTCTATAGCAAGTTATCTTGACCACTATCTATCATCGGTTTGACTTTGACGTGAAAATTTTTAAAACACGTCTCTCCAACCCCACCACACTTTTTGCTCGTTTATCCACTTCCCTTCATTCACCATTAGCATTACAATTACACTATCTGACTATCAAACGCATATCACTACTACCACCGACATCAACAGCCTTACACTTGCAAACAGTTAACGGACACAAAAGGAATAAAAAAAATTCATACATATTATAAAACAAAACGAGCACATCTCCGACACTAACCTCAGGCGGAGTTGTGAAGAAATAAAACTGATAAAATAAATGATTGACAAGTCAACATGGACTCTTTATATAACACATCAATTGAACGACAACGTCACTCTTCATCAAAATGGCGATTATTGCCCTCCTTCGCACACCTCCATTAAGTTATTTTTAGAAACTTACGATGTATGGAAGGTCGAAAATATATTACCGCATCAAATCATGGATGTTAAATATTTATTAATTAAGATAATATATAAAACACGGAACGTCATCCGCGGTAAATATCGTCGTTGAACTGTTGCAAAATTGCTATTGACGCGGTGAAGGTTTGTCTACGGTAAATTGATTGGACCTTTAGTAGACATTATACTCACTTTTAATTCTCGGAGTGTACTTGTAATATTTGGAACACACTTGTGTATATATTAATGCACACTGCATCAGAAGTCCTGTATATGAAAGGTTAGTGTGAAAGATTTGTTGATGAACGAATGAAGATACGTTTGTCAGTCAACACGCTTGGAGAAACCGCTGAATCAACCTGTTGTACATTTTCAAATTGCGTTTAATGACAATAATAAATTGTTAACACCGGTGACTTGTTTACACCATGGATATATATGGTTTACACCACTCATATCATGAATTTTTCGTCCATGTTTATAGACAAATGTGACGTAATATTTGAAACGTTCTTGTTATTTTAGTTCAATATACTCAGTGTTCCCTGGTACATAAACTAAGCGTTTCTTGTTGTAGAGTTGTTTATTAAGATTACATGATGTGACATTAAAATACGTTGTTGTGTCATTGTTAAGGAGACAATTTCAACATATGGTGCTTTTATATTTTTACTATTATATTCTTCGGCAGCGTTCTCCTGCTGGTAAAAGTCACCCGGTGCTTTTTCTCAGTTTATGCAGTGACAGGCTCTATCGAAGAATAAGACAAAATAAGATGCCCGCCTATTACTATTACATGCTTCGTGTATGATGCGTCGTTTAGCAAGTATTCATATAAGATGTTTGTGGCGTGCTGTTAATTCTTTGGAACTTAGGAAGAGTGTAACAGACCTTTAACCACGAACCAGGGCAACGCGGAGTAAAAGGACCCCAAAGAATATAAAAGTTGAACATTTTTAAATTTAATCAAAGTTGAATTAAATATTTTTTAATAGCATACAGAATGTGCATGCTTTATCACGTTGTTTGTGTCAATAGAGTACGCTTGATAACGTGCTTTTAATAACGTGCGCATTCGATATTTCAAATAGCAGACGATTGTTAAAACATTTAACAAAGAAAGACTTTTGGTTAACTATTTTGTAATGGGAAAAAATTCTCATTTGATGGACTTATCACAAAGATATATGGATACACTTTTGACTGAAACAACTGTTTCAGCACATTGTAAAAGTATTTTCAATGTTAGGCCGTTTTAAAATGACATTGGCTCTTGCAAGTGAACGGTTTTAATGACACTATCCACTATAACAATTTCTATTTTTAGTGGTCATAAAAGTTGAATAAAATTATAATAATTTTAATTACATCAACGATCTAAATGCTCACAGCCAATCTATCGGGTTATTCGGAAAGTAATAACGTTTTTTGGGGGCGAAAATGAAAGACGATCTTCGTTAAAATGAATAGATATTTAATTAAATTATATATTGGCCATTCTGACCGAAACAAATAATAATCCGAAGAGGCCAGGTCTGAAGAATATGGTTGGTGTGGTAGTACATCCAATCCAAGCTGTAAAAGCTACTGTCGAGTGACCAAACTTGTATGAGGTCTCGCATTATCTTGGTGGAACACTAACATTTTCTGGCCTTTTCTGTTGTATTGCATCATTCAGTTTGTCCAGCTGATAATAGTAGACTTTCGAATTAATTGTTGTGTTATCCGGTAAAAGCTCAAAAACAGTGACTCCTTTAAAATCCCATCAAACAGACAGCATCACCTTTTTTATGGATATCGGCTTTTGAATTGCTTTGAGTCGGCCCATCTTTTCTGCTCCACGATTGTTATATACAACCCATTTTTTATTCCCAAAAAGGAGGCGCTTAAAAAATCATTTTCGTGACGTTTGAAAAGTGAAGCACAGACGTCAACGCGACGACACAAATTTATCTCAGTGAGGACACGGAGAACCTAAATATCGGGCTTCGAAGTTAAATTCTTGCCTTTCAGGTGATCATAGACAAATGAGTTTAATAAATGTAACCTCTCACCTATGTTTGCATCAACTAATGCCTTTATCGCGTTTTTATCAGCTTCAACCGGCCTTCCAGAACGTGGTGCATTTTCGACATCAAAATTGCCGAATTGAAATTTTGCAAACCAGCTCTGGCACTGGCGCATTGTCAACACATATTTTCTATCCATACACACGGTTAAATTCTTTCTGGCTTGAACAACATTTATATCTTTTCTATAGTAAAAAATGAAAAATATGACGAAAATGCTGTTATTGCTCTCCATATTTCAAAGGGCACCGACCTAAAACTACTGCGTAAAATCAATTGAACTTATTCAAACACAAGCCTTGCTGTAACAGCTGTCAAAATATAAGTCATTGACAATGCGAGTGTGAAGTTAGCTGTGAAAAACTACAATTAAATCCTCTGTCGGGAATAACCGAACAATATAATAGTTAATAGAAATAATTTTATGTTTTAGGGTGAAGTATGAAAAAATAAATGAATATTCATAATGTTTGTCAATTCAATGAACGTTTGCCTCGCATTGGGTAAAAATGAATTCTTCAACTGCATCAGATGCCCCTTAGGCTACGAACCTGAAACGAATACGAACCAAGCATTGCATGGTATGGTAATGAAAGCTTCCAACGAATGCTCGATCCCCAGTCACAGTCTACAGACGCAGCAAACGCCATTTTGCGACAATCAAAAAAGGCATTCAACCGCTATTTTCATTGGTTAAGTTAATAAAACGTTATGAGTTATGATCGCCAACGACAAGCGATGTCATGTGCGACAACCACACATATATTCTCTGAATATATGAATTAACAATATTAAAAATTATTCCCCAAAGTTGATATTACCCGATCGCATTTTTCCAATCATAAACTGAATTTTAAGTAGCAAGGATGCCATACAATTCAATTATAATAGAATCTTATTGTCTTGGTTGGTTTGATTGGTGAAAACTGTATACATTAATTCTTAAGGGATTATGATACATGTATGGTGAAAAATAATAATTATAAGCGCCCGTGACATTATGGACAGGGCGCTGTGTGGCAATCTAAATGCTTATTAAGCAATTTTTTTAAATTCGGTAGCTTTATTTCAATTCATATGAGTAAATTCGATGTTAAAATGTAACAATGAAAACTTAAAATTTTCAGCCAATAGAAATTAGTAAGTTTTATTCAATGTATACGTATGGTCACATATAGAATGCATCGGCTAATTGTCTCACCTGTTCTTTGGTTTCCATTGGTTACCTACCTATGTGAAATAAACTAATGTCTTCCAACATATCAGATTTGTTAATGAACCTTTTTAATTTAAATTTTAAATTTCAAATTCGAACAATGCTTAAATAAAGTAAATATCTTGATAATAGTATACTTTAAAATAAAATTTTACTTTCAACTTTTTTGAAAATAAATAAAATTAGAAATTTTTTTCGAAATCAATTAAACTAATTAAAGTTACTTTAATTATTTTTGTAACGCAACTTAGAAAACTGAAAATTAATAAAAGAAATAAAAAAATTACTGTTGAACAACTTTAAAGTCGTTACGGAACAGGTTATATAGTTGCTTATATTATAACAATAATAACAATGCATTCATGTTTCTTGACGCTTGCTCGCTACACTGCACATCTTTAAATTAAAGGCTCACTCATTTTTTGAACAGAAAACAACAGACAAAAACAATCATACATTATATAACCAATGAAACGCTGTTGTCTATAAGAAGACTTTCTTTGGCTTTCAACAGTTCATTTTTAATATTTGACAAAAAAACAAATTATAAATAGCATGAGAAATATAGTTAAAAATGAATAAATTATGCATAATGTGATGACAAACTTTGCATTTTATTAACGTTGATATTAAAAAATGTAAAGGTATGCAGTCAGTTAACGTTATAACAGAGGAGTTAATTTATAAGGCGATTCAGAACGGATTAGATGCGGATCAACGGTCCAGTATCAGCTTTTACAATGACTCAGACGTTACCACGCTCTCGTTGAACTACCACAGTAATTTTTTTAACTCGCGGAAATGATGTTTCATTTTATAAAGCGCTTATTTGATTCGTCAGATATTTCGAAGATAGAAAATTTGTGGTGTTTCAATAATCTGAAAAAACTACAGTTAGACAACAACCTTATAGAAAATATTGAAGGATTGAATGGACTGAACAATCTTTGTATTTTGGGTTTGATGCTCCTAACTATTTATTATACATTATTATCATTATCACTAATATGATATAAAATGATACTTATTTTGCTTTTTAGATTTATCTTTTAATAGAATCAGAAAAATTGAAGGCTTGGATACTCTTTTTAATCTCCAAGAATTATCTCTTTTTAATAATAAAATTGAAAAGTTGGAAAATTTAGAAAATCTAGTGAACCTCGAATTTTTATCAGTAGGAAACAATTGCTTAACTGTTCTAGATGAGGTGTGTACATTCATTTATACTGTTTATTTATAATTATAAATATCTTTTAGGTCATTTATTCAACACGTATTTTTTTAAATGCAGCATTTGATTTCTCAATAGATGGCAATAAAATGACAATCATTTTTTATAAATCTTTCTTAAAGAAGATTGTCTTTTCATTCATTTTCAAATTTTCCTACAAAATATTTTAAATAGGCATATTAATGCACGTTTGAAATTGAAACAGTTGCGAACTTTTAAATATTGAGAGCTGAAGGTTTTTTTCATTCATGTCATACAAATCAACCACTGTAGACCATACTCTCACATCCAACTGTGAGCGTGGCCAGAATGGATTGCTTGAAAACAATTTTTAAATATTTCAAAAATGCAAAACTCTCAACACACTCATTGAGAATATAATTGCTTCAAAGACTTTGTATTCAAAATTCACCAACCGTGTCTCTTAAAAACACCACATTATATTAGTTGAATCCTGTTACGCCAGCCAACAGGTAACTTGAGTCAGTTAAACGAGTGCCGCTTTTGTTATTAAAAAGTTGATCGGTAAGCATGCACGAATAATGTTCACATGGCATCAATTTGATTAGTATACAATTTTTCATAAATTTATTTCCTTTGCCGCTGTATCTTTCTGCAACAAAAATTTTCAAAATGCGAAACTAAAGCTGTCATTCATCACCTCTTTATCCGGACTGCAATATAATAATTTTTTATTTTGAATTTATTGTAGTTTAAAATTTCAATAGATTCGAATTTACATTATTTTATCAATTAAACTGAAAATCATTCACTAGATCGTATCATTGCAAACATTACCAAATCTCAAATCCTTGAACATGGCTGAAAATCCTATTTGCGATTGCGGTGGATACAGAAGAACTGTTGTTAATCATTTGAGAAGATTGAAGTTTCTTGACTACTCCGTTGTTAACGAGAATGAGGTTTGATCTTATGAGATTTGATGAAACGTTTGTCTATCGTCGTTTTGCATTTTCGATATTTTCATCCTATTGCTGTTGTTGCTGTTGTTACTTATTGTTACTGTTATTATTATTATTGTTATTATTATTTAGAGAAATGTTCCACTAAGTATCATCGATGGAGAGAGAAATGAAAACACAGAACGTAACAAAAAAGTGAAACCAGTTGGCATATTGAAGAAGATTAAAAATAATGAAAGCAACGAGGTAATAGTAACAAATTACCAGTTATCAACAGATTAATTGATTCACTGACGTACGTATAAAGCAGGATGCATTTCCGACGGACGTGAACGGCTTGGCAATACTGGAGATGATGGTTTCGGAGGACGAAATAATTTTTTTGATGGGGCAACTGACGTGCGCATCTGTGCACTTCAATGAATATCCTTTAACCATTGAAAATGTTTTGTGTGCATTTTAGTTATGCAAGATTCCATTTCAATTAAAGATATCATTTAACATTTACGAAAAATCTAGACTAGAGTATGGTAAGCAATAAAATTTATAAATGCGATTTTTAAATTATTAAGACATGCACAACATTATGAAATTTAAATGATTTATGGATTTTTTATACCATTAACATTTTGTAAAAAACCAAACTATACTTTTAGAACGATATAAACTGTATTTGTTTAAGACCTTAACAGGCTGTTTAAATTCAAAAATGATTTAATAAGGATATTTCAAAAGCTTAATGAATATCGTTCAGAAAAACAAGCAGAGAAAAACGCGGAAATAAAAGAATTTGAGGCTTACCTCATAGAAGTGAAGCAAAAAAATCTGCAAACTGTGATTAGTGAAATCGACGATTTTACTGCTTGCAAGACAAAGGTACGATTGATGATAAACACATTTTCCTATGCATGGCTGTGGATTCTGATAATGAACATTTAATAATAATTTGTGTATACTTTTTCTGCAGACTTTTCTCCAAAAAATATTAAGGAATAAGATATTTTACAAAAAATAATTGACACATCCAATTTTGATTGCATCCATGTTCCTTGCTTAATAGAATGCAATTAATCATGTCTACCTTATAGCATAATTTGTTACTGAACACGTTGCTTTTGTGGAAGATTTTATGTGTCATTTTTGTATAAAGTTATTTTTTAAGATCACTTAGAACGCAGCTGTATAAACTATGTAGGTATGTAGTTAATAGGGTGTCCACATTTTCGCGTATTTCTGCAAGTGCAAATATAACAAAAATTTAAATTTAACATAACAATTTTTGGCGAAACATTTTCATTTTTGCTATAGACATGGAAAGAATTGAAAGTATCTTCAGACAGAGACTCAGTTGAAACTCTGATAACGTTGTATGACGACAAAATTGCAGAATTGTGGGAACGTCTCATGTATTTAGAGGTTCAACTGGTTGATCAATTAGATGTTCGTTCAAATAAACATTTTATTCTATCTTTTATTTAAATTTTTTTAACTTAATTAACTTTTTTAGGATTTAATAAAAGTTTTTGAACAAAATATAAAAGATATATTAAACGGTTGGATGGATAAAATTAGACAACAGTTGGTTGAATGCAGAAAAGCGATACATCGTTACAACATGTTGATGTCAAAAGAAGTTGTAGCTTTTTGCGAACATTTGATGACAAGTCAATGGCAAGAAGAAATTTTGTCGAATGAAAAACTTAGAACAGTAAGCGCTACAAATATATTTTATCTTTCAATGAATATTCCAATTTTTAATATTTAATTTTTAATCTTAAGATAACGACTCACGATAAAATTAAATTAATTACATTCAATTTATCTCAATTAAAATATTTAAAAAAATTTAACCTTTTTCGTTCATAAAAATGTGAGACAAACGCAGGTTGAAAACGTTTGATATGAGGTGAGTGAAAGGAAACCAGCTTAAAAAGTAAGAGTAGCCCTATATAATATACACTAGTCAAAGTAAAAATCTTGGACTTTTTAAACATATTTGTAGAATGCCAAATGACAGGCTAATAAAAACTGTATCAATTAAAAAAAATTGGTTTAGAAAAGTTAGAGAACTTGTAAAAATAGATAAATGACAGTACGGAACTGGGTTGGAAACGTTAATTTCAATGAAATTGACAGCGATAGAAAAATAAGCTGAAAATTGAAAAAAAGTAAATGCCATTGTTATCAACGATCTCAAAGTGTTAACAAGGATCATTGATAAAAATAAGAGAGAGAGAGAGAGAGAGAGAGAGAGAGAGAGAGCACAGTGCAGACAGTATAGGAAAGGGCAGCAGAGTAAGAACATTTTAATTTAATCTTACTCTAATATTAACTCATTTAAAACGATAATTAATTTTGTTTTATAACGTCTTTTTTGACCTTAATGCTTCTAACAAATTAACTGTGCCATTTTGTAATTCCCATGACATAACAACCAAATTACATAAGCGAATCACAACGGAAGCAAACCAAATTTCAAATTTTTTGAAAGAAACACTTTACTACATATGCATACATACTATTGATATGTTGAAAAAATGCATAACTTATGAAAAGTCAATTAACATAATACAGTAGAGAACTCCAGAATATCATGTCATTTACGACACACGAGCATGAAAGGTCATGTTTAAGATATAAATAGAATGGATTTTTATAATTAAATTCGAAAATAAAAAATTCCGATTTCGAGCATTCTGAGAATTGTGACTCCAGCTGTTGCAAAAACCTCCGATTTCCACATTCGACAGCCTTATGCTTTTGAGGACTGCATTATTTAATATAAAGAACGTTCTCAAAATAAAAATATGAAGCAAGAATATTTTAATAAAAATGTTAAATTTAGTGTTTTTTTAAACCATATTGATAATCAATCAACATTGATCATAATTGTAAAGCAATATAGTACTATTTCGTTTTAGATATTACTGAGAAAAGAATCCCTCCATGAGACGTTCAAAAATTCACTTGAAGTTTCCCTGCAAGTTATAGACAATTTCGAAGATCACGCAAACGAAAAAATAAAAATCTTCTTGGAATATCACATGCAAAAGTTACACCATAAAGAAGAAATAGAAAGAAACCGGCAAAGAGTTATTGAAATCAACCACTTTGTTGACTTTTTAAGAGATGAAATTGACAACTATAGTCTGAACATTTTAAACAACCAATAAATACATAATTGAATGTGATGGAGTTTGAAGATCAAAATAAAAAACGACAGGATAAAATGAAATCTTTATTGTTTTGACTTAGTTTTAATATTGAAATTAATATTAGTTTACCAATTTCAGCAATTTTTAAAAATTTCAAGCAATTTTTAAAAGTTTGCACAGCAACTTGGATTTAAGTTATTCATATCTGGTCAAAATTTAAGACTGTTTATTGGATTTAATTTATAATTATTGTTGTACCAGTTGTATCAACTTTTAACGACACTTTTTGATGTGTCAGAAGAACATTTAAGAATTACAATTTCTACTTGGAGCCACAAAATTGGTGTTTAAAGGAATTTAACATCACATCTTTTTTGCGCTATTAAATGAATATTTGTTTTTATTAACTTGACTAAATCATTTTTTGTCTCGCACTGTTTAATGATTAGAGCACTTGATATTAAGTCTAAATCTATTACAAGAAATTTTCCTTAAATTTTGTGAAGTCAAGAGCTAAATTTATTGCTTGCAGTTAATTCATAATAATTAAAAAGCTTCAAATCATTTTGCATATATATAAAATACGTTAAATGATCAATTAACTAATTAATTAATTAACGAATTGTATATATGCAAAATGATTTGAAGCAAATAAAATTTACCATTTAAACCATCTGATTGATGTTACTATATTGATTATATCTTAATTACATTTTAAATAGGAATGAGAGGAATCCAAGAACTTGAGATTCGTGATATCTGGATCCGAATCTAAATCTTGATGATGGATCCGGATGGATCCGAATCCAATTTGCATGCCATCTTAAAACCGTAAAATGTTGTTTCAAAACGAAATATGTTGCTACTTGCAAAAACTTTCCTTTGACAAACCAAACAAATAATTATAAAACGTAGATGTATCAACTTGTTACTTAGTAGTAATGTTAGTCATATAGTTAGAAACGAGAGCATTCATTCAAATTTATTAAATTCACAATTTTCTCACACAGGTCAATATCAAAACGATCAAAGTTAAATTATTCACTTATCCGATAGTTTTTTTCCTAGAAAAATTAACTTTCAAAAATGTTAACACTTTTTCGGCCGACCGAAATTTTTTTTCGTTCTTTAGGTTGATTTTGGACCCGTAAAATGGTGGATTTCTAATTTTAAATTTTCAGACAGAAAAATTTGTATTTCAAAACCTGTGCTGCATGCACATCACATGTTACTATGTTTTTATTGCTTACGTATGTTAAATGCATGTTTGTTTCCATGTGTATTTACTGATAGGGGCTGTCCATAAAGGATGTCAAGCTTTTTTAAAGTCTTTTTGACCCCACCCCTGCCCCTAGTGACACAAATCGACCAACTCCCCAAAAATAAGCATGTCGCAAAACTTTACCACCCCATTAAACAACGTAATTGTTCTATGCATTTTATTTTTAATTGATATCAAAATAACGAATGACATGTTTATATGACGATAGCTTGATATCTAAATGCTTTACCGTAGTTAAAATATAACGAATTAATATAAAAGATAACGAATTGCTTTTCTCACGAAGGCTGGCCAGATGCTGTGAAACTGAAACCAACGGAATACATGGAATTTTTTTTTGGTATATTTGGTAACTCTATTTTTGTTTATTTAAAAAAAGGGACATCACACTAGAGTTTACTCCCCTCCCCCTTGTCCAAAGTGTCACAAATATTTAGACCCCCTCCCCCTTGAAGCGGGACATCCTTTATAGGCGGTCTCATATCGATAAATCATGATTTACGTATATATCTAATTTTACGAAAATCTATCTCTTTTGGATTTGCCGATATCGCAATGTATTGATAAATAACGTTGCATCAGTATCTTAACTCCTCAATGCTTCGGTAAAACCTCTAAACATTGTGGATTTTCCGATACTGAACTACCAAGTTCCCGATAACAATCTACATAGGGAACAGGTGTCTGACACCTGTTTATTTTCAACTTTGACATGGGAATATTGATTTTATCAGGACCAATATATCTCCCACGTAATGTTATGTGTATGACTTAATGTAAGCAATATTAATACCAATATAGTTAATTTACTCAAAATTCATACACCTCAATGTTTATTGAGTTATACTCAAGTTTGTCCTGTTCACAACCTATCATTACTAAAAAATAAGTGATGTTAAATAATATGTAAAAAATTTGAGTTTTCTTATTAAGTTATTAATAGGGATGTAATGTTTACAACAAGGTTTTAATCTGGGTTCGAAACAAGTGTAGACAAGCTAAAAAAAGCCACGGACACCAGTTACTAAATGTTATCGATGTACAATTCAAACTTCGGCCGAATTTGTGTTTGTAGATTCAGTTGAATCCGAAATCGTTCGAATTTGCAAAAGTTAATAAGGAATAACCCAACCAGAAATGTTGATCTTAATTACGGGTCATCATTTACACATTTGTTAGAAGGCAGAATATTATTGCATCAGTTTTTGTTTGTCGCCGATAAACTGGTGGAAAACGTTAACGACTACATAATATGTTTAAGGCAGAGTATGGAAGTTTAAGGAATGTAACGAAATAAATTATACGGTACAACACGAGTTTCGTTTTTAAACCTTTCCCGTTTTAATTCTGCCTCAGCAAATGAACACGGGATAAAATCATCCATACTTCTTTAATCCTCCCTTAATAGTAAGTATGAAAAAGTGAAATCATGATCGGTAGAGACACATCATGAACAAAATTATATGGCATTTATAACAACGTATAAACATAAAATGTTTCATGAAACAAAGAGCAAAACGAAAAAAAATTAGCCATCATAAATTAAATGAAAATGAATTAAACAAAAATAAAACTAATGGAATCTTCTGAGGTAACGTGAACTAAGAAGTAACAACCAATGAAAATCCAAGTTATTTACATATATTTCCAGAATATGCTGCTTTCGTTTTTCATTCAACATGCAGCGCGCACACCTCCACAGCCACGCACAAATTTATATATAAAGACATTTAAATAAATAAATATATATATATATATATATATATATATATATATATATATATATATATATATATATATAAGTTAATATATGTATACATACCCCTAGCATGAGCGTTAATACGGAAATCCGAGAAAAGGGAAAAAGGAGTGAAGGATGGTGACGGCGGACGATAGAGCCGGAAATACGAAAGCTTTAACTGCCAGTCAACATAGTATGGTGGTCAATTTTTGTCAGGATGGGCAGTTCAGTGACGTTCACAGTGGTGCTCGCACATACAAACGCGCGGCATAGACAAACAAAAACACACACGCACACGCAACTCACACACACACAAACACGCACGCACATACATTCAACGCTTAAAAATTAAAATTAACATGTAAAAATGATTTACAATTGTTCGTTGCCACACGTGAAATAAACAACGTAATATGCTGATTGAGAATATTGTACTATATAAACAAATAAAGTTTAACTTGGCGAACATAAACTTTTTACTGTAAATAAAAAAATTAAACACCATAGTTCGCAACGTACAAATCATATTTACAACGGAAAATGTCATATAACAAACATATAATCTGTACCATACAAAATTAAATCGTCTCTGTCAAACAAAATTTCACTAAAGAGTGGAATGGATAACAGATTATTATAAAATGAGGTTAACGATTCCATTTCTATGATTAGCAACTACTTTCTTTGTAAATAAACAGAGATATTAATGATATTTCAAAGAATACCAAACATAAACACAACATCATAAATTACTATACTACGCATGTCGAAATGTACGCAACAAGTCATTCAAATTACTGAATGAAACAGCGTAAGTTACTTAGTTGAACGAATATTTTGATGCTTTCAGACTTGATTACTTCTCTTTCAACACATATAGGTCAATGTATGATTTTAATGGCATATCAATACGTGTATATATATATATATATATATATATATATATATATATATATATATATATATATATATATATATATATATATATATATATATACATATATACATATACATGTAACAATAAAGGACATACGGACAGTTTGGACACAATGAGAAACACATAAAAACATCCGAACGCAACAATAACAACGACAGCAAACCATAAAATACAATCGAGTTTAGCATCTTGTAAGAATTGATATAAAATTATATTAGCGAATATAAAAAGAGAAAGTGAAGACATTGCTATATAGATTGTGGGCTCTGCTATAAGATGCTTTCTGATGATGGCTTGAAGGTTTTCAACGTTGATTGTTGTTGCGTCGGTGGCAGGCTGATTCGCTGCTGTTCATCCATAAGCAACAAAGGTTTCCCTGATGATGAAGTGAGCACTTCATCCTTGCTCTGCCGACCTGATAAATGAGGCTGCTTGCTTTTTGAGCTTGCTTTGAAAAAATTTCTCATTTCTCTTTTAGACTTTTTTCTGCTTCTTGCTCTTTTCCTAGTGAGAAAAAGAAAGCTCTAAAATAACTGGACTTAATAATTTGAATTTGTCATTAGATTAAATTTAAAAAATATTATCAAATGACAAGTCATAAACCCAGCATTTATATTTTTTAAACTGCATAGCATAACCCTCCTGTCAGTTTTGATTCCAAAACAATCGCTTTCTAACAATCCTATACCGAAAAAGCTTCTTTGTTCTATCATGCATAAAAAAAAACAAAAACTTTAGTTTTGAACTCAAGAAACTTGATAATGATTTACGATCAACAGGAAGTTAACTAACGCTGAACATGCTGTGATTTTCGTCAATAATTGCATTTCTGATAGTCTTAATCCAATATACATATATATATACATATATATACAATTTGAAGATGAGTAAAAGGCCAACCTAATGAAAACAAGCAGGGGTAGAGCCAGCAAAACAAGGGCAAAAGCAACCAATATAGTGGTGACGGTGATTTTCATACGTGACCAAGCTGCAATAAAATCAAAAGGTTACGTTTATTAAATAAAATTTAAAAACATGAAAACCAGAATGACTTAACATAAAAATAAAATGTTTAAATGATTTCTCTTTGCTGTATGTCATTCTTCTACTTTTTGATGAAGTTATTTAATCTGCATTTTTTGCATTTTTTCACAAAATGTTGGACATTTTCTCCCTGACGCATAAATAAATACTGGCAAATAAGCATCATTAGCCATGTACTGCTCAAACGTTACCATTATGGACAAGAAATAGCATTTTAAGCTTACTTGCGACAGTTTGTAAGATTGTATTTGGCTGAACAACAAAATGGTTTACTACTAAGTCCGAACTTGTTAACAAATACATCTGGACCGGGTGTTATCGAAACGATATCAAGCCGGGTTGTTAAATAATGGAAGACCATATTGAATGGAGCCATTTAACTCTTTAGAGTATGAAAATTAGAGAGAGATTGGCTTAAGATGAAGTTTGAAGTTTAACAAAGTGAAATGCAGCAAAACATAGAAACGAATAATTTATACTGGAAAAAATAGTTTCAAACAAAACAGTTGATGGAAAGTTATCACTAGAAAATAACACAAAATGTTTTTGTTTGCAATTTTGCAGACATTTAAAAATTGTATTTTTTCAAATCAATTTCGGCAAATATTTGTTGTAGGTGAGAAACAAATGTCATCGTTATATTTGTTAACTTTTCATAATTAAAGCCTGCCATTTTTAAAAAATCATTCGTGCTATAATACCCAGCAACATAACGAATTTTTAGCTGATCGAAATACAATGTAGCATCAAACCTGCAGTCGGTGACCTGGTCTCTCGCTGGCCTCTACACTCACGTGAACACCGCGTCATTCCAAGGAAGGCAACACAAACTTTTACCATGAAAAAATTTGTTTTCATTTGAGTATAATTGGTAGCGCTAACAGTTGTGGTGTTGATTCCCTCTGAAAGAAAATCATTCGAGAGGCTGTCACCAACTGAAGACTTCTCAGATTCAAGTTCAATCAGAATGCTTCTTCGAGAGCCTTATTTCAATATTTTAAAAATATTTTTATATCATTTTAATATTAATGGACAAAAACCGCGAATGTCACAGACGACAACATGTAACTATTACAATTACAAAATGTTCCCAATAAATTTCATAGCTGGCTCAAAACAGGGGGAGAATTATCCCAAAAAGTGAGTAATGAATATAAACGATAAAGGATGTTAACTAAAAATAACGACGCAACATAATGTGGTCAAGAACAAACCAGCAGCGCGGAGAGATGACCAATTAAAAAATGCAGCCTCCTCGTGACCTTCGTGACCTTCAACATTTATGCCCTGTTCGTCATAGTTCACATCCTCGTCCATCAGAGAGTAGAGAACAATGAAGTGATGTTGGTCGTAGTTGAGGAGCTTGGGGTAGCATGGTTGGTACAACGGAAGGCCCCACGTTATGTTGAAGGAATGTATGAGGTGAACGTAACTGCAAGATAACAAGGTAGGAGCAGGCGGTCCTACATTTCAACGTGTTAACATTATGTAGAATACTCAGATCCAACACATTTTGTTGTCATTGAAACAAAATTATAACAATAATCATACCATAACAGTTAAGAACTCACTTGTCGCACACGTTATATTAGTTATACCATCAGCCATTGTACCACCAATGTGAACGTCGTAATGATCAGTCAATCTGTTACCAGTGATCGAGAGATCAGGCGAATCATGTCTAAAGTATTCACTGAAATTTCGGTTCTTCGCCGATAAGTACAAGTTGTACAGAGTCATTGGCGACAATTCATTGAGATACAATTCCGAAAGACTGCAATAAATTAAACGATGAAATAGAAATGCATTCGAGATGCAATTTTATGATGAATTTGCGGTTGAAGTGAAGAGCATTGGAATGGTCACAATTCGAAAAACATTGAACCTGAACATGAAAATTTGTTGTTCTTTTTTTGCAGCTCTGACACAGGCAAAACTGCTGACATGCCATTGTACAGTTTCGTGCCACAAAGACTGCGCTATCAGCACCACTAGATGTACGCACGTATTTCATATGAACGCGCAAACACCGAGTTTGATTGCTTTTGAGTTTTGGACAGTCAGTATTCGAACCATGCCATCGCGTAATAACATCGCGAGACATGGTACTTCTACCAACTGAGCCAACTCGCTGACTAAAATAATAAAAATGAATAAGATTTCATTTTCAACATTTTGAAATAACAACGTAAAATCAAAATTTCAACTTCCAACTTCTACGCATCAGAAGATGAAGGAATGTTTCGAATAAGACGTCTTATTAACTAAAAATTAATAAAGCATAAAAGTATGAATTTGGACGACGAAATACAGATTTTTGTAATTTCCACATTCAACTAACTTTGAAAGTAGCGAGCCATCAAAACATCTTGTGCAACTATCAACCCAATGAATGTCTTGCACCAGAGGAACGTAACAGAAACGGAAAGAGGAAATATTGAAATCTGGTGACCAGAGGACTTTAATGCTCGTCTCGTTTACGCTCAACGCCGATAGGTTAGCGGCTTTGAATATATCTGTTTTATGATCAGCATCAGCAGAGGAGTCGGTCGAAGAGTTTCCGTGGCTTCCATTTTCTGACTCGTCAGTCTCATCGTAATCGCTGTCTTTATAAATTTTAATGAAGTTCAAATTAAGACAAATAACAACAACAACAGAAGGTTCGAGAAAAACTGTTTCAAATTAAGACAGAAGAAAGAGTGCTCACCTTCCGATCCATCATTGTAATCTTTCGTTGAAAAGTTGACTTGTGCCGATGTATAATTAAAGCTTTCTCCAATTATTGATATGTACAACATGTAACATGTAAAAGCATCTAATTAAACAAAGTTTTGAATAAGTTCAACAAATATCGTGTAATTAAAACAAATATTGGTGGTTCCAGACAAAAAACCAAGGAACAATATAGTTAAACGGTTAAAATCACCAGGTTCTTCGTTGCGGTGATCGAGTTCGATTTTAACGAGATCCTTCTCGTCTATCGAAAGCAAAAACTGAATGACGTGCTGATTCACGATGTGTTGTTGGTACCTCTGAGCAATGCAATTAAAAAAATATTGAAAAAAAAAGAACTTTACACATTTTAATTAAAATGAGCTAAAAAAAAGATGCTGTAATGCGAGGTGCACTGGACATAGTGGACACACCGTACTTAATTCGAGGTTGAAACCAACACAAACAAGCACAGTTGCCGCTAGGATTACTTCAATATATTGTTACAGACGTGAGATCAAGATAAAAGCTAATAGTTATAAATTGTTAAGCATGCATTGAAGAATGAACCACTTGTAAAGTAATTAAAAAGGTTGTAAATTCATTTATGGGCGTGACACGTTTATTTGGCATATTTACAATCGGATCGGTGGCTATATAAAGAGAAGAGGTCCCAGGAACGAAGAGGGGAGAACAAGAGAAGAAGAAGACGGAACACAGAAGCGATGTCGTAGAAGTGAGATGCATTTGCATTGCATTGCAAAGTCCTAAATGTGATTCATGTAGCTATTTAGTGAAATTTATTGTTTCTATTACTGTTAGTATTCAAATAAACGTTCATCTTAGTTTGCGTTTAAAGTGGTTGAAATCTGCAACCTACGGATAAACGAACTCTTGACTATCGTTAGAAGCTACAACATGGTGCTGGAGATATAGAGATTATTGAAGCTATAACATCGGGATTGGTAGTACGAGGTCGATGAGATACAACACTGGTGTCAGAAGCAAGATTTTTGATAGTTGGAAACCCACTACAGTAAAGAACGCCAGGGCTAGAAGAACTCAAGATAATTAGTCTCACGAGAGAAGCTTAATTATTGACGATTGGTTTTATTCCTTAATTTACCTGTAGATTAGTTATTGTGCTGTATTCTAACGATTTTAACAATTGATCCCAGCAATACACACGAGTGATTGCAAGCACTGTTTTCTTTCTGATAAAGTTCATATGAAATAAGTCTGTTCAGGAGTCAGGAATCTACAATCAATCTCCATTTAGCGTCCAGAGACCCAGTTCCCCAGAGGTAGAACGTTGTTTTCTTTGCCATCAACTTTTTGCGCCAAATTAGGCGATCAGTTGTATCCATTTCATTTAAATTTAGAGCTTTCATGTCTTGCTCGATTGTTTGCGACCAGGACTTCTTTGGACGGCCTTTGGGACGTGTGCCAGGTACTTCAACATCTGCAAGAGAAGTTATGGCACTGTTTCCACTTTGTTTGACATAACCAAACCACCGCAGACGGTGTTGCCGGCATTCGTCCTTTATATCATCTAAACCAGAACGACGCAGGATTTTGGTAAATTTGATGTGGTCCTTCAGACTAATTCGTTGTCATTGGCCATGTTTCTGCACCATATAACAACACCGGACGTATCACAGATTTATTAAGTCTTGATCGTAGTGGTAGTGAGATGTCACGCCGCATCATTATAGAGGCAAGGAGATAGCATTTATTCCAGGCTGCACGTATGCGTGCTCGAACGGCTGCTTCAGCTGTTCCAGTACAATCTAGTACATCCTTTAGATATTGAAACGATGTGACTTTCTCTACCTTAATGGCTTCAAAAACATTGCTATTTCGAACTTGTTGTTGTAGATTGATGCAAGCAGGACAAACAAAATTGGTCACTTTAGATAAAGTACCAATTATTTTTGAACAACGTTTGTGACAGCACTGGTTACACTGCTGACACTTGATTGAATTGTTACCTACACCAGCTTTACAAACTGAACAGGGCCATCGTCCAGTAGCTGTGGATTGGATGGGTTCACCAGTATTCATTGCTATTGTTTTGCTGATGTTGACTTTGAATCCATAATCGGCGAGTCTGGTGTTCCAATCTTCAAACATCTGTGCTGCATTCTGCTCAGACGTGGCTGTTAAAACGATATCATCAGCATATATAAGATTCCAAATGTCACCAGTGCGTATCGGTTTTGTGATTTCTTCCATCACAGTCATAAATAACAGTGGACTGAGAATCGAGCCTTGGTGAACTCCAACGCCGATGTCAAATGCATCTGTGTTTCCAACCGTTGTGCTGACGAGAGTCTTAGTATTCGTATACACTTCCATCACAAGTCGAACAAGATATATTGGAATGAGTTGTCGACGTAGACTCCACCTGATTGCTTCACAGGGAACTCGATCAAATGCTTTTTCAAAGTCTACAAAAATGTGTGATAGTTGTTGATGCTTTGCGAGGTACTTCTCTTGCAGTTGCCGAAGGATGTGAATTGCATCAATTGTTGATTTCTCCGCTAGGAAACCAAATTGATAATTTCCGATTGTGATGCACGACGTTAATCTTCTCTCAATGATTTTCTCGACAATTTTCAAGGAGTGTTGTAACAGACGCATACCCCGATAAGATGAACAGTTCAATGGATCACCTTTGCCTTTGTATAGCGGTACTGTCAGGCTATAGTTCCTTTCAGTTGCCAATGAGCAATTTTTCCACACTTCACGGCAAAGTTGTAGTAACGTTTGAATACCTGCAGTACCAGATACTTTGATAATGTCATTTGTGAGTCCAGAGGGCCCTGCTGCCTTTCCATTCTTGATATCTTTCAGAGCTTTTGTAAGCTCCTTTACAGTGATGTCTGGAATCGGACCTTCGATGGGTGGAGCGTCAAAGTTGATATTGATGGGATTTGTTTCATTTAACAGACGGTTGAAATATTCTTTTCACTGTAGCTTGATCTCATCTTGTTCAATTTGGTCGTTTTTGATATATGAGGCACCATTTATGTCTTTTTCGTACGCTTTGCTTGTTTTGCTATACGATACAGAGATTTCATTTGTTCACCTTTGCTTTTAGTGAGCCACTCTCTGCACTGATCTGTCCAAGCCAGTGCGACTTGACGTCCCGCATAGTGGTTCTTCTCACGAAAAATTTTGTGGTCATCAACAGACTTTGATTTTTGCCATTGCTTGTATGCAGCTTTCTTTCCTTCAAAGTGTAACATTTTTTGTCAAAGCTTTTTTTATTCTTTTTTAAAAAATCAGAATCTGACAAATCTGACAAACGCAGGCGAAAGTGAGAGTGAAAGAAGAAAGCGAGAGTGAATGGGAAGGAGAGAGTGAATGGGAAGGAGAGAGTGAATGGGAAGGAGAGAGTGAATGAGAAGGAGAGAGTGAATGGGAAGAAAGCGAGAGTGAATGGGAAGGAGAAAGTGAATGGGGAGGAGAAGGTGAATGAGAAGGAGAGAGTGAATGGAAAGAAAGCGAGAGTGAATGGGAAGAAAGCGAGAGTGAATGGGAAGAAAGCGAGAGTGAATGGGAAGGAGAGAGTGAATGAGAAGGAGAGAGTGAATGGGAAGAAAGCGAGAGTGAATGGGAAGGAGAGAGTGAATGGGAAGGAGAGAGTGAATGGGAAGGAGAGAGTGAATGAGGAGAGAGTGAATGGGAAGAAAGCGAGAGTGAATGAGAAGAAAGCGAGAGTGAATGGGAAGGAGAGAGTGAATGAGAAGAAAGCGAGAGTGAATGGGAAGAAAGCGAGAGTGAATGGGAAGGAGAGAGTGAATGGGAAGAAAGCGAGAGTGAATGGGAAGAAAGCGAGAGTGAATGGAAAGGAGAGAGTGAATGAGAAGGAGAGAGTGAATGGGAAGAAGCGAGAGTGAATGGGAAGAAAGCGAGAGTGATTGGGAAGGAGAGAGTGAATGAGAAGAAAGCGAGAGTGAATGGGAAGAAAGCGAGAGTGAATGGGAAGAAAGCGAGAGTGATTGGGAAGAAAGCGAGAGTGAATGGGAAGAAAGCGAGAGTGAATGGGAAGAATGCTAGAGTGATTGGGAAGAAAGCGAGAGTGAATGGGAAGAAAGCGAGAGTGAATGGGAAGAGAGCGAGAGTGAATGAGAAGAAAGCGAGAGTGAATGAGAAAGAGAGAGTGAATGGGAAGGAGAGAGTGAACGAGAAGAAAGCGAGAGGGAATGAGAAGAAGGCGAGAGTGAATGGGAATGCCTTTCCGAGAATGGGAGGGAAACGATAACATGTTGGGGTACAGTACGGTAAATGAGAAAGAAATTAAAAACTTAAATGGAAATAGAGGGGAATTTGAATAAAAAAAACCTATCCCCGTCCACCTGTTAATGTGATTTTGAGCTGGGAGGAAAATGTGACAACTGAGTGAAATTAAAATTGTCTAAATGAAGGTGACAATGCGATTTGATGCAAATATCACGCTCGACTCACCAAGATTAGTCAAAAAATATGGTTGATCAGGGAAAGGACTAAAAACTTGCTTGTACTTAACTTCGTCCACTTTTTTATATTTGATGTACACGGCACTTGTTTCTATGATCTCAGATGCTTTTTTTATCTTCCAAGATATTTTGGCTCCCAGTTCCCGTAATAACTTTACGCTGACGTTCTGAACAGTAACTGTCAAAAAATAAATGCGGTTAGAGAAAAAATATGACTTAGAGAACAAAACATGTAATAGAATGAACAACGTTAAAAAAATCCACTAAACCGACCTGGATTATTGTGCATATGAATCTTAACCCAGACCCACTGGGAATCAGGAAGTGTGGGGTAACCTACATTCGTTGCTGTCAACACACGAACCTGATACGACCCATTGCTATCTAAACCTTCAAATTATTTTGCACTTTTCGCTAAAACACTTTATAATTCAATATAACATTTGAAGGTAAATTTCCTCATAAGAAACAGACTCTAACAACGCAAAAGAAATAATAATGGTAAAGTGAATAAAAAACAGAATTAATAGTAAATTCCGTTTTTTTATAACAGCCTCAAATTTACTCTCAAAATTTTATTAAAAATAGGCTACGCTAGCTTAAGAAATGTGAGATGTTCTGTAAATATATTTCTTTAAAAGCAACAAAACTAAGAACAATTAAGAGCAAGACTTTGTGAGGCAATTTGAATAAAATGAACCTTAATCAGAATAACAAAAATACAAGTAAAAGAAAAATAAAGAGTGAACAACTGAAATTCAACACAAACCATCAAACAAGTAGCTGAAGCTATCTCCCGGAACCTCATAACTCTTTATCAAATTTTTTTCGTAGTTAGTGTTATAGACCCTGAAATATACCTGCAGAAAAATTCGTATTTTAATTAGATTTGCATATAAAATTATAACTGACGTTCATGAGGTCATTCAAATGAAATAGTAAAACATAATCTTGTTCTCTAACACAAGAAACTCAAACTAGTTTAGAAGAAACTGGTCCAAACAACATTCAGTGATGGAAGGTATGTATAAGCACCTTGTGTTTTGCGATGTTGCCTCTTGCCTGCTCTGCCAGCAGCCGGGTCCATCTTGCCATGAAACTGTTACTGCCTCGCTTTTCCAGCATCGTTCTCGGAGCACATATGGGCACTAGAAAATATTACGGCATGTCTTTCACCAAAATAAAGACATATTATTATACATAAATATAAATAGATGTTGAAGGACACGTGTGTGAGATTGTGAAGACATGAAGAACGTTTCAATCATACACGCTCCCCGCATACCAAGTAACATATTATATTACTTGAGAATTTATCGTTTTAATTTTGTTTATTTCTCGTATCTTATTATTTAAGAATTTTATCTAACCCTCACAAAATTTTTATCATTCCTGCTCTCAGTCATATATCAAATGTTAGGATTAAATACAAAGGATTTGAATAGGCAGATAGGCACGTCAACTTAACTGCTTTTATAAGTAACAACTAACTGGCATGTTACTTCAAACTTGGACAGTTATTAAATGTAAAATATTCAAACAGTACTCTGTACTGTCATTTGACCTCAAAATCTTTCTGAGTTCAATTACTCTCTGCTTCTATTATGATATAAAATTTACCTCAGACGCATTTGTACCAAGCTGAGCTATCCAATATTGTCCACGGAGAGATAATGTGAAGAGGTCTTCATGTTTGGAATGCAGAAAGCACAAGAGCTGCTCGTACTTGTGCAACATCTATCTATCTATCTTCACCATCACAGAAGATGGAGGCACTTGACAGCCCTCACGAGTAACTACATGACTTTTCTCCATACAAACATTCAAAAAAGAAGCTCCGAATTTTATTACAATTGGTTTATTATAACCGACTCTTATTAATTGATCCTGCATTTTATAACTACCAGACACGTTGTTGAACAGTTGTTACAATAATACGTTAAATAATACATTTCAAATTAGAACTAAATTTTAAATGAATTCAATTAGAACTAAATTTTAAGTGAATAGCATTAAGATAAAATTGAATAACAACATTTAACAGGTCAACGGCATATTACCATTTTCAGGACTGATGGCACTGACGGTTTGTGACACTTCACTAACTTCTGTGGACTTTGAGATGGCAATGAGATAGAAGGAGTACATCTTGAATGACTCCAGCCCGATCATGGTCACGTTGACTTTTGACCCCAATATAATTTCAGTCATATAATATTCCGGAAAAGCTGTTCCAAAAAATAAAAAATTGTTTTTCAAATATTTCACCTAAATGAATGAATGTAAAACTCATTAGTTTTTTGCTACGTCATCAAGCAATAAGAAACACTTTTAATAGTTTCATTATTATTGTACATGCAATCTCAAAAAACCTTCTCAAAAAAAAACCAATTAAAATCCAAATTTAACGTTTGCCAAACAAGTTATTTTTCATGTCTCAAGCAAATAGTTTTTTACTCAAATAATAATAATAATAACAATTTAATTTTTCAGACATTGGATGTTAAGTTGAAAGATGTAATCATTTGGAACAGAAAACATCAATATTCTTTGTATAGAAATAAAGCAGGTTGGTGTGGAAACTTGAATGCAATGATTTTTTTTTTTATTTATTATTATTCTTTAAAAATCAGGATCTGACAGACGCAGAAACTGTAACAACATGCAAGGCAGTGATTTTAGAATAGAATTATTGATTTATGAACAAATCTATGAAACTAAGCTGTTTAAAACCTACAATAACATACTTTCAATGCAGAGATAAGATTATGAAAAAAAAATTGAAGGTTATTGGTGAGATGAAATTAAAAAAAAGCAAACAAACTTTCTAAGAGTCCATAATAAAGAACGTAATTGTCCACATCTGCATCAAGAGATTTATCCCATGTCAATAATATTCCATCTTTAACTGTTTTCGCCTTCAGATTGGATGGCGGGTAAACTCCTGCAAGAAGCATGAAGTGCAACATGAGGAGGCATGAAAGTAATAACAAAACCAAATAAAAATACCGCTAACAAAGCAAAAATAAAACAAATATTTGAAATTTTAGTTGTTATAATGTTAAAAAATCAGCAGTCTTTAACAGTGCGGTTCATATCAAATATTCTGATTAAAACGTCAGGCACGTTTCAATGAAATCTCCATGCAATCTCTAAATAAAGCAGCAAAAGTGCACTATGACAAAATGATGTCAAGTGGGTCATGTTTGGAGTTCCTCAGCGATCAAGGGTGGGGGCCTCTCCTGTTTTCGTTACATCAGGCTGATATGTTTCAAACTGTTATATGTTATTAGTGAACATCACAATGTTCACTAATAATGTACAATTCATCGATCCAATTAAGTGTAATGCAATCTTTGAAATATTAGTCAACAGATTTGCTGCTACATTGCTAAAATCAATAAATGAATGATCAAGAGCAGACTAAAGTTAAACGGAAGTTAGCACCAGACAACAACTGATTCGTTGCAACTGCAATTTTGAATAATCTGTGAAAAGTGGTGTTACAACTATTATGACTATCAAAGATGACATCGAGCAGTTGGTTGAGTCGCCATAACAAGGATTAGGCTTAAAACATCGAAGACGTCAAATGCAGAAAATGTTATTAGTCGTTGACTAGTTTAAAAAAGTGTGCGATTTGTGAGGGTTGAATAGCCGTTGCTCCGTTTGAAAAGTTTGCTCCGTTTGCTCCGTACGAGTGGCCATTTGGTTTTAAGCATGTACATAAGAAAGCTTGAGTTACAATTTTTCATAATATATATTTCAATGTTAACATTATCAAAGATAATAAATAAAAAATAAAAAGAATCAAAATAATCCAACCTGACTTGAAGAGGAAATAGGTAGCAAAAGCAGAGGCAAGTTTGTTTTGGACGCGGCACTGGTAGACACCTTCATGCTGCTGCGACACTTCATCCCACTTTATAATACTGCCATACACTTTGCTATCGGCATCCATGTATGTCTGCATTGCAAATTATTGATCTATTTTTTAAAAGAATAATGGATAAAAAATATAGGAACAGGATGAAGCGAAAAATGATTAAGCAATAACTATTGTCAGCATTGTACGTACATGAGGTATTGAATGATAATTAAATTCGCAGAGTTGTTACGAGGCTGGCGAGTTCGCCATGCCATGCATCTTGCATGCATTGTTCTTGTGAGCCACCTTGTTTGTGCAAATCTTATAAACTCTGCCGTCCGCGTGTATACAAATGTCGTGAGACACAAAAGTATAGAACGATTCTAGAACAACATAAAACGTGCTCTAAAGATATCTCAGGTAATAAACGCTACCGCTGAATGAAAAGATTCTGCTCATCAATTTTAACAGCATTTAAATAAATATATGATTTCATTCAAAAGTTATGCTGATAATTTTTTTTTTATTTTATAAATTAATTTAAAAAATATTTTGTATAAAACAATCTAAAATGAATTTGGATGAAAACGAAATGACGAGACCTCGAATACACTTGACGCATCGCTGGGTTTCAGCTTGTTGGCATTCTTGTACCACGTGATGTTGACCTGTGAAGTCGTGGAACAGGGACACAGAATGCTGAGTGGCGTTCTCAGTTTGAAGTGCACGTACTTCACGTCAGCAATCTGCAACTGAGGTACCTCTGAAGTAAAAAAAATCAAACCGCTAAAAAAATGATGAACACAATTTTTAACAATCATTTCCGAGTGGCGCATTTCATGGCTCATCTACTGGAGAATCCTTTAAATAGCTTCCCTTCATTTATGCCCTCAAAGTATCTCAACTATTCTTTCTAGTTACCATTTCAGACAACGAATCATCTATTTTCAAATTCCTCATTATTTCCCTTCTTTTTATGTACATGTTTTTCTGCCATCTTGTCATGTCATGTTTGTTCTATTTTTCAATTTTTACGAACTTCCGATGCACTTCCTAGCCAGTTGAAAGTTTTAGAGTAGGCATACTTTGAGATAAGCTATCCAACAAACGTTCAACAAATTTTAACGACCAATAAAAAAATTTCAATATAAAAAATGGTTTTTTAATTTTTTAATGTTATTTATTGTGTATGTGGGAACATTTCATAGGAAACATGAAATAAAAAAATTGTGTAAAATATAAAACGACCACCTAAGCTTGAAACACATTAATGAAACAAGTCCCCAAATTTTATTTTGAGAAACTTTTTTCATCGAAAAGAATAAGTAGGAACAGACCATAAACTTGGAGAGAAACAGCCCAACTGATGGATTGGTTGTATGCATTGATGCACGTGTAAGTTCCCGCGGAATCCAGTGACACATTCTTAATGACCAAACTACTTGCACTTCCTGAGTTGATCGGTTGTCCTAAGAAGTTCATTTAAAATATAAGATGAAAAATTAACTTGAAATATAAAAGTGAAGATACTTCGATTCAACAACTAAATGGAAGAGTTTAGAAACAAAAACTTACAAGTGGCGCCATAAATTGTCGAAAAAGTTGAGAGTCGTCCAGTTCGCCCATAAACATTCGAAATAAACAAAAATGAAACTATAAATAAGAAGCAAATATATCAACACGACTTTAATCCTTTAAGACTTTATTACAACTTTATTACAATTTTCATAGTTCATAGGAAATATTTAATGTACTTTCTCAAATGTTATGCAAATTAAAAACCACAAAATCAAAATATATAAAATTTATTGCAAAAAAAAACCATAGCCAAATAACACATTCTTAGGAAAAATATAAAATAGAATAGAGTATGTACAAATATGTACCCATGTTCGAATGATGTGCCAAAAACATTTCAACAAACTGACAAGTGGGGTTTGGACGTGGAGTTTTCCAAAATGGGTTTTTTTGAAATAAAACATTCAGTCAACCCGTCACCTCAAGTTGAACTGATTTCAATTGAAACGATTGTCCTCAGTTGTATAAATATTATAAAGCATAAATAAAATTCATTAAACAAAATAAATAAAAAAATTTTCACAGTGAAATGTTATCCAACCAATTTCAAAAAATTAAAATAAGAAAAATTAATAAATAAATAAATTAACTAATCAATCAATTAAGACAAGCATATAATGCAAAATTTAATCCTTAGAATTACAACACTGACTAAGAAAATAACGCTTAGGAATCAGAATGAACAGATGTAAGCTTTGTAGCCAGCGCAGTGGCTGGCAATTAAAGTGGGAGTGACAAAGTGAAGTGAGCAACGTGTGATGAGGACAACTGCATGCATGAAAAGTCAAACGTTTAAAGAATTTAATAACGAATGAATGAAACGCTACCTTCTTTAAACCAGAGTGAATGTGAAAATGACCAAAGGCACTGAAGGTTCACATCAGTATTTATTAACGCATCGACCACACTCCTGCCACTCAGCAGAGTTGGAGCATCTGTCAAATCATTTCGTATCACTATATTCACAATTATTTCAATTAATTAAATAAATAATTACTTAATATAATTAAATAATCTTAGTAGCAATAATACCTACAATTCAGAGAGGTAGCCAACGGGGAACTTTGGGGCTAAACCCCTCCCTACTAGAAATTTGAAAAATATCTAAAAAAATTTCAATTTAAAATTGTTTCAGTCTCTCCAACAATAACAACATTTGGCAAAAGTATTCAAAATGTTGTTTTTAACATGGGGTAAAGTACCCAAGGCCTCCACAGAAACCGTTTAAACTATACCATTGACATAACTTATAAAAAGAGCTGTTGGTCGTGCAACAGGAAAATACAGATCAGTTCTTGTTGCTATCAAACCAACGGAGCAAACGAACAGAATGCTGAAACGACAGATGCATTTCAGATCTATTTATTTCTAAGGAAAAAAATTACTAGTTTTAGAGTCACTCACATCACAGGCTGGGTTTGAAAAAATAACCAGACGGTGCATCAAATTTATACCAGCAGACTGACAATCATTGAAAAGTGCAAAATCAGCGGTTTTACTTTCATTGTATACCTGAGAAGGTTGCTGTACGAAGTTGGAGAGCAGGAGTCTTCTGTGAAAATATCTGGATATCACCTCAAATATTGGACTATTGCCGTGACATTAATTTAAAGAGAAAACTAGAAAAGGTTTAGAAAAAAGAATCAATCAGCTGAATGGAACAGGCGAGCAGAAATAAAACTGTGGTATTTAGGAAAAAAAGATCCTTATGAAGAGCTGACAATATAAGGCGAGGTAATTGAAGACGCTCTAGAGTCGGTCCGGTCCACCTTGGAAGCTAACCACATGAAATAACAATTTCATTCATGATACAATGAGAAGAAAACAACAATGTAGAGCAAGCAACAAGAACATTTGCCTGATTCAACAAAATTTAGAAACGATCAGACATGAGCCTAAGAACTGCAGTAAAAATATTTTTAAAATAAGCCTTCCATGTACTGTTATATGTATGTGAGGCCTTAAAGGTAGAAGTTAAAAAAATGCAATCGACACATACTGCACAACCAAAAACCACAAATCAGAAAATGAATGGAAGATAGTGTTTTTAAAATATATGATAATTGACCGCATTCAATTGCAAGAAATCTTCGCCTATCACATACAATGTACGGTGCGCTGTTTCACGTGTGTGATTGCGATTTATCTGAAAAATATTGAAGGGATAATTGTAACAAAAAATAAATAAATAAAAATAAATAAATTTCAAACAGTGAGCAAAAGAAAACTGGTCATATTTAATTGCTCGATATAATCATGCTTGCCAGAGTTAGTGGAAAGCACCAAAAAACGTTGGAAACCTAATCTAATGGAGATTTCAACTTTAACAATGCACTCTACAACAACACAAGTATTTTCACAAAATGATGTTTTTTAAATGAAATAAACGGATTACAAGTGAGGGCGCATGTACGAACATTTACAGCAAGCGCACATCAGCGCAACTTGCAGGTTATTTTGGTTTTCTGAAAACTTTTCAAACTTGAATAAACACTTCATACACTAGAGAGATGTACATAAAGATTTGAACCATCGTACAAATAATGCTGTCTAGACCAATACAGTGAACGGTGAACCAATTTATGGAGCGGCGTTAAAAATAAAATAAAATTAATAAAAGGAAGAAGTATATATACAACCTTGTTTTTTGCTTGCACCGTCGCCCACGCGAACTATTGTAGTGGTACTCAACTGACCCAGCACATTTGATGCTTCACAAGTATACAAACCAGCATCATCATCAACCACTTGTAATATGTGCAAACTCTTCCAGCTCGGTTGAAAAATTCTATTTAAATAAACGTTTATTAAATCATCAAACACAAAATTGGTTCATAACTCTATTTTCGCTGATTTTGACCCAAAAAACTCGATTTCAACAAATTGTTAGGGCAAAAATCTGGTTCAAAATACTTTAAACCAATAACTATCTAATAAAACAGCTCTATTTAAATGATGTGCACAAATGCCAATATGTTATGTCACTATATTAAAATTTCTCTTACGAGGGAAACAAATCAAAAAACATCAAGTTCGGGTTTTGCTTCAAACTTTTTTCATATTTAACCCTATTGAAAATCTAATTACAGCCAAATAACTAGATCAGAACGTTACCCAGTCATCTTTGATAAACTACAATTTTTAACTCAGCTAAATATGGCTGCATCGGATTTCAATCAACATTGCTACCGTTATCGCCATCATGTCGGCCCAACACGGTTTTAAATATGATAGAGAAAAGAGAAACGTATGATCACTCCAACACTGGGAAGCAAACGGATCCAAATCGTTTAAACTGTAATAAACTGGCCTAGCAGACAGCCACGTAAGACCCGTTTGCAGTTGCATAAAAGACAAAAAGAAGTAGTTACCAAATCAATTGGTCACTTGATGGGACTTAGATTGTTTGGCTGTTGTGGCTTCTTACCCAATCAGTCGTTTACGGAGCTCAGTGAATAAAACGATGTCAGAAACGGTTCGTTCATCGAAGTTGTTAATAAAAGTAAAAAAAAGCTAATCAATTTTTGAAAACTGTGAGTTAAAGGATGTGAATTGCTGGAGATGAGGAGAGCGTGCATGCAGGCAGCATTGCAAGTTGTTGCATCAAAAAAACGATAGAGATACACAAATCAATCAATCAACCTTCGTTTAGCGTTCAGAGACCCAGTTTCCCGAGGTAGAACGTTGTTTTCTTTGCCATCAACTTTTTGCGCCAAATTAGACGATCAGTTGTATCCATTTCATTTAAATTTAGAGCTTTCATGTCTTGCTCAATTGTTTGCGACCAGGACTTCTTTGGACGGCCTTTGGGACGAGTGCCAGGTACTTCAACATCTGCAAGAGAAGTTATGGCACTGTTTCTACTTCGTTTGACATGACCAAACCACCGCAGACGGTGTTGCCGGCATTCGTCCTTTATATCATCTAAACCAGAACGACGCAGGATTTTGGTAGAATAGATGTGGTCCTTCAGACTAATTCGTTGCATCCATCGATGTCGGTTCGTTGACGTATCACAGATTTATAAAGTCTTGATCGTAGTGGTAGTGGGATGTCACGAACGGCAGCTTCAGCTGTTCCAGTACAATCCAGAACATCCCCTAGATATTGAAACGATGTGACTTTCTCTACCTTAATGGCTTCAAAAACATTGCTATTTCAAATTTGTTATTGTGGAATGATGCAAGCAAGACAAACAAAATTGAACACTTTAGATAAAGTACCAATTATTTTTGAAGTACCAATTATTTTTGAGATAGAGATACACAAAGAAATCAATTATACAAAAAGCTATTGGATCAGCACCAAGAGAAACTTTAGTCAGTAAATAAGACTCACAGAAATGTGTATACATCTGATCTGATAACATATTAATAATGTATTGAAAATGGTGAAAAATTACCAAATCTGTAAAGAATAAAAATAAACAGAAGTTAAAAACATTGTTTTCTACACAAATAATTTGAAAAACCATCATAAAAATACGGTTGAAATATTGAAAGACCGAAACAGAAATTAATCAAAGCTGAAAATGAAGTGATATTTTTTAATAACCGCATGTACAACAGTCTCAACTCTAATTATATATATATCCTGTCCTGCACATAACATATATATACATATATATATATATATATATATATATATATTGTCAGAATTATGAAATAATGCTGACTAAAAATACTGCAAAATTTTCAACGCGAAATTTATTCACTCGATAGGGGGCATGGTGCAAGTTAATTTACTCGATAGGTGATGACGATTTTCTTTGTTTTGCAATTTAGATGACGTCATAAATTATTACAAATTATTTTAAAATTTAATTAATACTTTTTCTGATTAATTGGACATGCCTTGTAAATTTTTATATTTTAAAACACCCGAAACAAAATCTAATTTTGCCTTGATAAGGAAGGGTGTGAAAAGAGTGAGACGGGGGGTTGACTAGTGAGGCAGCTTCGAATAATCAGTGCCTCTTCTGGTCCCTAAGAGACTTAACGCGTGATCCTATGCTCATTGGCATAGTTTCAGAAACGTCTTAAGTTCTCAAAGAGTCAGCCTTGGGTTCACCAGTTAGGCAGCTTCGAGTAATCAGTGCCTGTTCTGGTATCTAAGAGACTTAACGCGTGATTCTATGCTCATTGGCATAGTTTCAGAAACGTCTTAAGTTCTCAAAAGTGGATTTAGTACGAGACTCTATGCTCATTGGCATAGTTTCGCACGCGTACTAGAGTCACACAATTTGTTTCCAGTGTTGTTCTGACTCTTGTTGTTTTGTGTTGGTCGTGCGAAAGCCGATCAGACTCGACGGCCCAGTGAAAACAGGCCAGGGTTGTGCGAAAGCCGACCGACTGACTGACAGGCCCAGTGAAAACAGGCCCTTGGTCGTGCGAAAGCCGATCAGACTTGACGGCCCAGTGAAAACAGGCCAAGGTTGTGCGAAAGCCGACCGACTCACAGACAGGCCCAGTGAAAACAGGCCTTGGGTTCTGTGAAAACGAATCCGCCTCCTTCTTTTGTTTCTTGTGCTATTTGTCGACCTAGGGTTCTTTGCTGGATTCTATACTCATTGGTATAGTTTCACACGCAGCTTGCAATTTCCATAGGCTCCGATTTTTGTTAATCATTTTTTTTATTTCTTGGGGTTGTATCGACATCACCATCGGATACACACGTCGAGGTTTTACGATTAAACGGCAAGAAACATTTCCCAAGTTGAAGACCCCAACAAGAAGAGTTCTAATTCCTGTATTCCAGTTTGTTCATTGACATTTACATTATTATAGAGTTCATTAGTTCAATTCCTTTTATTTATTTCCGTCGATTAATAAAATTGTTATCGAATATTTTTACGCGTTCGTGTGTTACTCAGTAAAATCATATAATTCGAAAAAGCCCAGTGCCACACATGACTGGTCGAACTCACGATAAAAATATACACAAAAATTATTGTCGGACCATACAAAAATTCCCTGAGAAAGATAGAGGAGGAGATTACCTCACACCACCAGCTGTTTTAATTGTTTTCATTTTATAAATTTTCCGACAATTAGCGCCCAACTTGGGGCTTTGTCATCCTTTAAAAATCTCCTCATTTTTATTATTATTATAAAATCGCCTCATTCATATTATTTTATTTAAAATTTCCGACAATATATATATATATATATATATATATATATATATATTTACAATATTCTATAAATTCTACCGTATGTTTGGCGTTAATATGTTTGTAGTTCGTTTTTTCGATTTTTCTCACTAAAGTTTTTTAGTGAACGTTTAGTTTATTAAAATTCAAAAAAAACTTATTTTTCGAATTCATGCTGCAAATAAGGCCATATTTCGATTCAAGTGACAAGCATCATATTCTTCTTTTTCACTTTGTTCAAGTGACAAAGAAGAATATGATGCTATCGATGAAGAAAAGGAGACCAAAGAAGATGACCAGCCAATAAAGAAACCTGGCACCTAATTCGCATCAAAGTTCAATTTTACAACACCAAAGTTAATTTTTACAACGTCAAAGTTAATTTTGACAAAGTCAATATTTCCCTATATATACAGCAAGGAGCACTGACGATATATATATATTATCTATTTATATCAAATTTTCAGATTGATATCATAAATAGTCAAAAAAATGGAAGCCACAAATCACATGAGGAAGTTAGAAAGGATAAAGATAGGGATAACATAGAATTAAAATAATTTAATTTTAAAAGCTAGTAAATTATAATTTCAGTGTAATATAAACTTGGAAAATGATGTAGGGACATTATAAATAGTTATTTAAGTGGTTTGAAAACTTTCTTATCACAAACGATAAACGAACCTTGATTCATTAAGATCAATAAGTCTTTTTCCGTCTTTCAGCCAAATAGTTTGAGGATCTGGGACAGCGTGTATTTCACATTCTAATAATATATTTCTTTTGAGTGAAATGCTTATCTCTTTGTAATTATTTTTCAAGCTCAAATCTGTTCATGATTGTTTAAAAAAAAATTATAATAATCAATTAGTTCCATTAATTTGAAATAAACCAATTAATTTTTGATCAACCGTTGAAAATTTAAGTTAATATATTTGGATCAGCCAATTTATATCTATCATTAAAAAACTAGAGACCCGTTTGAAATTATTTGAAAAAATAACGATCAGGTTTCTTACTAACATTTTACTAACTAATATCTACCATTGCCTCTTTCTCTCTCTCTCTTCTTCTCTCTCGCTCTCTTTCTTTCATTTTTTTTAAGAATATAATCACTATTATTAAATCTTCAGCCAAGTATTTGAAAAAACATCTATCAGAGGTTTTTTTTCAACAAGTTAACATGTATTATTATCATACTACAAGCTGTTTAAGTAAATCTGTTTAATTCACTGACCATCCTGATATAAAATATTCTTATTGGAAAAATTTAAAACATATTGAATGTAAAGTTTAAAACTTGAATTGGAATAAAATTTAATGAATTAAAGGTTCATGACCATCACCAAGTCCTACATCAATGATGACGAATTCCCCACAATCAAAAGCATTAAAAAATGTTTTAAAAAAGTGTTTGCCCTCTTTCAGTCATCTAATCAATAATAGGACTGACTATTTGTCCTACAGTTAACTGTTTAACCAAATTATGTTCAAATGTAAAGAGCATTTAATTACCCATTCAATTAAATGTTAAATGATGTGCTTAGCAAAATGTCTCTGAATATCAGTTAAATACCACTACTAAACATCAACTTAAATATTTAATATCAAATAGCACTCTAAATATCAGTTAACAAAATTTTTAACTGATATTTAGAGTAAAGACAGATGCGCGAAAGTCATATTTCGATGTTAACTGGCATCGTTTGTCATCTCTTTATCACAAATCAAATTTAGGTGCAAAGTGAAGATGGTGATGCCATCATAATGATAAAAATAATATATTTATAACCTGCAATTTTTACTTTAGCAGGTGGGCTCATGATGTCTCCCTTGGAAAAGCTAACTACACAGAAATATTCACCCTCATCAGCTTTTTCAAAGTCATCAAATTTTAAGGTACCGTCCTGTAGTACGTGATGTCTTTTGGAATGTACAATTTCAACACTATAATTATTGCCATTTTTCATCCAGTAAACAGAAAAAGGATTTCCCTTGACATCAATAGTGAAAACTGAACAGTAAATAAAAAATTCTTTATTTGGCAAAGCTATTACATCAATAGGTGAAGAAGTAAACGTAATGTTAAATGATGAAGTTCTTTCCTTGATGTTATCACCTGAAAAAATATTTTTACTTCGTTTGAAAAAAAACACACACACATATATATATATAAATATATATTTTTTTAGTATTGTATGAATTATATTATATAATATATATATAATAATAATAGTATAAAATATGGTCTCCTTTCAATATATATATATATATATATATATATATATATATATATATATATATAATATAATAATATACATACTTACATACATACAATTCTGTATGTAGGACGTAGGTATACATACTTACATTGCATACATACAGAATTGTATCAATTCTACCGTATTGTTGGCATTAATCAATTTAAAGTTTGTCTTTTCAATTTTCCTTACTAAAATATTCTGGAAATTGTTCAATTAATTGAAAATAGAATTATTATCCAAGTTCATCTTGAGAATTTAATAAAACTGTTGTTTTCCAAATTCATCATGCAGATAAGGCCTTATTTCGATTTTTCACAAATCATCTTCAGTGCAGGTTTGGTTTATAGTTTCTTTAAACAAAACCAAGTTAGTTCTTTAGCATTGGTGCTCTCAATGGATTATGTTTTGTAACCGTTGCTTATTAGTGTACTCGCACGGCTTGAGCAGATACATGAACTTACGTTAAAGTGAAACGGGGTAATTTTTCGACCCGCATTTTTAGCGCGCTGCTTTTAAGCATGCGACGACGCAAAAAAAATTACAAAACACGGTGATGCATTTTTTTAATTTTTTGCTATTGCGTTGACGTATAATGTCATAATTGGAATTAATTAACTTTTAAAAGATTTGTTATCATTAATATATGGTTTTTTGTTGTTGTCATTCACTTTTCTCCGATTTCTACGCGCCTTCATTTTGGCCATTTTCAAGCAGGTTAGCTTCGAATTATTTTTTAAGCACATCGAATTTTTTTTTATATTTTACAAAAATAAGCATTTATTCATCTAAATTTGAAAATTGAGGCTGTTTGAGGGTGCCGCCGGTATTTAAAAAGAACATTGAATAGCCCTACCTTGTCCCATACCTTCAATGCATTTTTTAGTGTTGATGATTATAAATCATGCTATAACTTTTGAACTAAATGAAGCACATCAAATTTTTTAATTTAAATAGTTTTCATCCATTGCTCAAAATCCATTTATCAATACCAAGGTTATACTTCAACAACATTACTTGAAATTTTTATAAAAATCAATTTGATCACTGAAAAACAGCTTTGAAGTTCCTGGTAAACTGATGTCTACCATGCACGACTTTGGCATTGATGATAAATTATGCTATAATTTTTGAACTAAAGGGAACACATCAAATTTTTTAATTTTAATAGTTTTCTGTAACATTCAACAACATTCTGTAAAATTTTTATAAGTCAATTTGGTTGCCGATACTGAAAAACAGCTTTGAAGTTCCTGCTGTAAAAATTAAATGGGGTAGCCTAATATATTTATGATTATAAGTCATTGTCTGCGATTATAAAATTTGATTTTTTAAAATCTACTTCCATATTTAAGCATGTCTCAGATTCAAAAAATTGAAGCAATGGATGTTCTGAAAAGTTATGTGGAAGAGAATTTCGCCAACCCATCAATACCATTGAAGAATGGTTTTATTTATTACTTGGTCATAAAAGAAAAAGAAAAAATCCAAAATGGATAGCAGTTGGGCAAGAATTAAAAACCTAACATTTTCATTTCAATAATAATTTTAAATATTTATTAAATAGCATTAAAATTCAGGCCAAATTATTAACAATCATAACAAAATATTAACAGAGATTGGAACAAATTGGTTGAATATATGAATAGCCCATTTCATATTTAGCCAATTGAACCTTCAAATAAATCCAATCAAACAATCAAAAACATTGCAAAAATTGTTACATAAAGAATAATTCATTTAAAAAATATAGAAAAGTTATTTCAGGTTTGACCATAGGTTTCAAACAAAACATTGCCAGTTTGAAAGCACAAAATGATGTTTTGAGGAGTTTGGCATCCAGAGAAAGTCATCAGTCAACTCATGGAAAGCAAAATTCTATCAGGAAAGAGGAAAAGGGAAGGCAAATTTTTTTGATCGTTATTTACCTAAAAAATTAAAAAATATTAAATTGAGCAGAGCTCAAATAATAAGACATAAAAACAGGTTAATAGAAAATTATAAATCTGAAATAAAAAAGCAAATTAATGAAATTGAATCACAGAAAAAGAAGCTAAACAATGCTCAACCAAATAACAATTAAAAAATTAAATAACAATTAAAATTAAAAAAGTTCACCATTTGACAAATTTGATTTTGGGAGAAGATGAAGAAAGTTCAAAACAAGTCAATCCTAAAGTTGAAAATGTTTACGTAACATTTTTCAGAAAAGCAGTGTATAGCGCACTTTTGCAAAATGTTACAGATAAACATCCTACCTCGGGAGAACTGGGTCTCTGGACACTAAACAATGATTGATTGATTGATATTACAGTTAAAAGCATTGGGCATATTTTGCAATATTATAGCCCAACTGTTCATGAATTGTCATTGACCAATGTTTCACATCCTTTCAATAAAGAACGAATGGCTTATGAGCTTGGTGTTCTTGCTGAGGTTGGTGAATTACTGTATAATTGTGCCTCTGCTACTTTGGCACATGACGCTACCACTGTTGCTGGGAAACATATAGTTGAAATTCACTTCTGCCTCTCTCCCATGCAAGTTTGTTGTCAACAGCCGTTGACTATGCAAATCATATACATTCATGCATTAAAAATGTTGTTTAATGCATTGCCGGTCCCGCATGTAAAAAGTCATTTTCTTAGCAAATTCAAATGCTATCTGACTGATTGTGCACCTGTAAATAATCGTGTCTATCAACTGTTAAAAGATGAATTAGAAATTAATTTTGAAACAATTGTATTGCATTGTTCATCCTTTAGAAACGGTTGCAACTGAAAGTATGAAATGTTTTATGGAATATGACAAGAAACTAGGTTTGACACGCAACACAAGAATTTTTGGCTCAGCTCTATCATTCTTGCACGTCTCTCTAAACATCGGTAATTTTTTGGAATGATTTTATTTACTAAGTTTAATTTTTTTTAAATTAAAAAAAATTATTGCAGATACAGTCAAAAGGGGGATCCTTGTGTATTTAAAGCATTTTTAAGAGTAAACAATATTGTAACAAGTAAGTTTTTGAGGTATGTAGGCAACAGGTTTCTTGTCATATTTCATATGGGTGTTGTTGCTGTAGGATATGAACATCTGCTTCATTCATTCTTGAAAGGGTAACTTGTTTATTTGTAATTTTGAATGTTCATGAATAAACTTTAGACAATAGCATATTGAATAATTGTAACAACTTGATTGTAACAATTAATTAATTGTAACAACAGCATCTTGTAACAACAAGAATGATTTGACTAAATGATTATATGAAAAAATAAATAAAAACAAAAAATGACGCAGCTTCAAACTCTAGGCTTACTCGGAAAATTTATGACTGGACTATGGATGTCTGCAATATATGGAAATGTCCAGAAAAGTTCAAACCTTGAATTGGTAAAACTAAATGATACACATGATATATGTTTTATTTCACTCAAAACCACAATCTATTATTATGACCTACAGGTTCCTGCATTCAAATTAGCAGTTGAAAACTTGAACAAAATGCAACAAGATCCTCAAAATATTTTTTCAGTTAAATGTGATGTATTTGGAGGAAGCTTGGAAGAGGATGAAGTTTTTCAGTCATTGATCACTTCAAGATATGATAACAAGCTTCTAATTTCCATTTTCTCTTCTCTAGTTCAGGTAGCCTTGTGATCAGCACACACTGCACAATATAAAATATATGCCAGTAACCTAATTTTTTTTAATGTCACAGGTGGCATTACTTGTTGTTGAAAGACAGATGAACAGTTATCTTACTAGAGCTCTCTCAAATCCTATTTCTTATTCATCATTATATATAGTGTTAGTGAACTCTTCTTCAGCACCTACTCATATTATGCATGCTGAAAGAATGCTTGGTATGACAGATTATTTTATTCATAATGCACCTATTATCACCACAGGTTTTCTGGACTCTAAAGTTTGGGCTAAAGCAAATCACACTTTGGAATGGCTGGATTGCAAAGCACAGGATGTACAGAAAGTCATGATACAGTTTGCGATAAGGAAAAATGAAATGAGAAGAAAAATTTGTCGAAACATGGAACAAAGGGCAGATGGCAGTATCTTGCTGAGATGCAAAGCAACAAAAAAGAATGAAGAAAAAGCAAGGAAGAATACAGAACATGCTATTCTTGAGTTGTTGGTCAATAATTGATCAGTTGATCATCCATTATTTGTCAACCTTGAGAAAGAGCATAAAGGTTTTTGAATAAAATTTTGAACTATGAAGATTTGGCAGGTGAGTTGATAAGTCACAAATGGGATCTGGAAGATAATTCATGTACGTACTTTGAACGTATACAGGAATAAAAAAAAAGATATTTTTATTATCAGCTATTGGTGTGTGAATGAAGGAGATGCTGGAAATTACAATATAAGGGTTGAGAGTGTCATCACAGACATGATAACAGGAGATCTCCATTTTGGCATCTGTTAAAATTAATTATTATTTTAATTATAGTGTAATTATTTCATATTAATTGTTTCTATTTCTATATTTTCAGCATTCCATTCAAATCCAGTTTTTCATTTCATAAATTCCACACATGTGTTCATAGTTGTCCAGTGGTTTTTTTTCAGATAATGATCTATTATTACTATTACAGTAGAGCTTAACTTCGTAACTTCTATCTAAAACTCATTGACATTCTTATTTCCTTCTATTTATATTTTTGTTAAATAATCAGATAAATTTGAAAGTGAATGGTTTGTAATATTTGATGATGTAACCTAATTTAATTAAATTTATTAATCAATTATTCATTGAATTCTATTAAAAATTGTGTTAATTATTTAACACTGCTATTTATTTTAAGGATGAATAAGAAAATCATTTATTTTATAAAATCGCATATTTTGAATAATTGTTGAATTATTATCAGAATGTGAATCGTGAGCAAGGACTTGTAATATTTGATGATGTAACCTGATTTAATTAAATTTATTAATCAATTATTCATTAAATTCTATTAAAAATTGTGTTAATTATTTAACACTGCAATTTATTTAAGGATGAATAAGAAAATCATTTATGTTATAAAATCGCATATTTTGAATAATTGTTGAATTATTATCAGAATGTAAATCAAGGGCAAGGGATCCGTTTCAAGTTCACAAGTTTAATTTATTCTTCATTTCACTTGCACTGTTAAATATGTTTTTACATATTTAATGTATTTTATTAGATGTTTCAGCATATTTGTACTTATATTCACTCATTTAAAAAATAAATTCATATGTGTTGTGTTGCACACATTATCCTTATTTTTTCCCCAGTCAATTTTTGCTGACAAATGCAAGCTGTGTTAAACAAATTTTTACATCCTTTAAGTTGCTATAACCACGTCAGTTTTTGATATATATAAAAAATTATATATATATTATATATATATATATTTGGGCTTGTTAGGTTGCTAATGAGTTGAAGATTATGAAAATAAAGTTGAAAAAATTTTTTATGCATTTTTTTCTCATGCAACTACCTAAATATAATATATATATGAAAAACAAATATATATAATTATATATAATTATATATAACACAACAACACACGTTTAGACATTTTCCCCAAGATCAAGGGTTGCCGTTTGGTTACCTATGATGAAACTGAATATAATATTATTGTATAATAATTATATATATTATATAATATAGAGAGAGAGATTGAAAGGAGACCTATAATTAATTCAATATTTAATAAAATCTACCGAATTTTTAGCTTTTGAAAGTTTACGATTGAGCTTTTAAATATTTCTAACAGTAATTTTATAATTATTGTATAATTTATTTTTTATTAAAATATAAAAATGGTTAGAAAAAACTTGACCAATCCAACAACCAATAGTCAACCAGTGTTGTTTTATTTTGTTTTACTTTTCAATATATCATTTTATTTTTACTAGGATTGAAATTGATATTTTGATTTGAATCAAGATTTTTTTTCTAAAAGAGCGCGGTTATATGTGTCAATGTGAAAATAACTGAAAAAACGTTTACTTGTAATATAATCCAACAGATGAGCTGTAATAATAAATAAAATCGATCTTAAAAATAAAGAATGCATGAAAACGTACAACAATTTCACTTCGATTTACTTTGATCAAGATATAAATAAAAGTAAATACAAGAATGTAAACAACTGAAACCAATAATAAAGAAGTACAGGGAGAGGACTTAAGATTTGTAAAAGTATTAAAAAATTCAGTTTGACGTCAACGCTACTCTTGCTTCTATCCAAGTAACATTTAAAAAGAAAAATAACTCTAGATATTTTGTCTGATTCATTGTCAGTTAAGTAAATTAAACATAGGAATTAAATCAATTAGCTTATAAAGCGCTATTTCCGCGATGTTTAACAGCGCTCCACAATGAATTTTGCAAACAGCAGGAGGGTCTTGAGATTCGCTCTAATCTTCGCAAGTGATGGAGAAGTAGTCAGAGAAGTAGGTAGAAAGTTCCAGAGAAACGGACTAGAAAAAATAAATGCAGATTTAGCAAACGAGTGTTTAACACGAGTTAAGAAGAAGTGAGTACAAGAAGACGATAGTAAACCGGGTAGTTTAGGTTCAATTAATATATCTGATAAGTACTAGGAAATAATTAAGATTGAGACTTATACATAAATGTGCAAATTTTAAAAATTTATCTATATTTATAAGTAGCCAGTGCAAAAGAACAAGATATGGAGATATATGAGAAAAAAAGTGGCACTAACAACTATACCAGTTAAAATCTTTACTTAATGGATAGAGTGTAGAATCAGGAAGACCATATTAGAGCAAGTTGCAATAATCAATCCTAGATATGAATAACGAAGTAACAAGAAGGAGAAGAGTAGGATCATCAAGAAAAGACAAAAGTTTTTTTATTCTACGTAGATGAAAGTAAGAACTTCTAGCAACACTATTAATCTGAGAAGAAAGAGACATACTAGAATCAAAGATAAAGCCTAGACTACGAATCATGTGGGAAACATCGAGTTTTAGAATCAGGTAAGATAATAGGAGGAATAGTAATAGAGAGTTTAGATTTATTAGAACAAATTAATTAAAATTTAGATGGATTAAGTTTAGGACACATAGAGTCAGACAAAGCGATAATTAAAGCAAGACATAGAGATAGATTATGAAGAACACTATTGAGATTAGATGGAGGAAGAGAAGAATAAATATAAGAATTATCAGCATATAGTTGACTAGTGAAACAAAAATTATTAATAATACGAGGTAGTTCAGAAAGAATAAATATAAGAATTATCAGCATATAGTTGACTAGTGAAACAAAAATTATTAATAATACGAGGTAGTTCAGAAGTATAGAGTATAAATAGAAGAGGGCCAAGGACAGAACCCTAAAAAATGAAAGTAGAAGAGTTAGAAGTAGAATTATTGAGAACAACAGAAAAAAAACGATTACAAAGATAAGAAAAAAACCAAGATAGACAAGAATCAGTAATATTAAAAGAAAGATATCTAGCAGCCTCGAGAGAATAGTATGATCAACAGTATCAAAAGCAGAGGAAAAGTCAAGACCAAGAAGAGTAAGATTACCATTGTCACTAGAGAGAAGGATATCGTTATGTATTTTGAGTAAAGAGGTTTCAGTACTGTGAACAGGTCTGAAACCAGATTGAGACACAGGTAGCAAGGAGTTAGATTTAAATAAGAACACAATTGGTTGTAAAAACTACTTTTTCTATTGAATTGAAATATATCCTGGATGTGTTTGGGTCAAGCGTCTCTTGCTAGTCATATTCTATTTATTAAATTTATAAATTTTCAGATATTTTTAAACCGCATTTTTGATGTCAATGCTTGCTGCATTTGCCTCCAATAAAATTTATAATGGAATTAAATACCCAATGTTTATTTAAATGAAATTAATACAATAATTAATACATATATAATTAGAAAAAACATTTCCAATAAAAAACTAATACAAAAATTAGTAAATTGACTCAATACCGATTCGGAACTGGTTGCATTATCAAAATTATTGCAACACTTCTTATAAATTGATATCGTTAGTCGCATCGAAACTGTTTTGACCGCAACTTGCATTAGATAAAATAGAAAGAAATTGGTAGAGGAATAAATGTTTGCAATTTTGTGAAAAGTTTTCCAAAAATAATTTTATTATTTATTAAAATGTGTTTTAAAGGTATTTATTTATGTTTTTCGTTTGTTGTTTTAACCGAGATTTGAATATTCTTCGTTTATTTTATTTACTTTTACATGATATTAATTATTAATATTTATAATTTAAGAAAGTTTTTAAAATTTTATTATTTAAGACTTAAAAAAATTTTTTTGTTAAAATTAAATTAAACAGACGTTAAATTAAACCTATGTTTTGTGCACCGCGCACTGAAAATGAGTGAGCAGTTATTGTAGTTTTACAAATTTAAAAATTAAAGTTTAAACTCTAGCCATACCATCACAGATCACACTGTCAGCCACATGCCAGAAGCATCAGAGCTTATCCAGATCCAAACCGATCCAAAGTGATCCAATGATGTTTTAATAAAATAAAATAATGCCATTGAAAAACATGGCATGCTATTCACTGAAACTCACACAAATCATAACAAGGTGACAAATTGATGCTTTGTGTTTAAGACATGAGTGCTTCGTTTTTTCTTTCTTGGCCTTCCTTAAACATAAACTGCATCCATCATCATAATTTTCTTCATCATTCTCTTCCTGGAAGTGTGTTAATATATGTATATCCTATAAAAAACATAATTTAAATTTTGTTCTAAACACAGTTACAGACAGGCATACCCATAGAATAGAATAAAGACGGACAGATGCTCACATAATCAATATATATAATGCATTATATATATATATATATATATATATATATATATATATATACTACATCTTTTTATATCATTATCGTTTAAGGTAGAAAAATATTAATAAATCATTATAGCATAGTAGAAAAAAACTTGAAACAGATTTATTAAGCAGAATAATAGCTGCAAAACAACAAATTAAAACATTTCAAATGTAATGCTTATTTCTCTAAAAACAATGTTTTTTGTTCTGTCCTCTGTGAATTTTGCTGGTGCCAAAATTAGAAAATTTTTTTCAAAATTGTTTTGGTAAGTTGTTGTCATTCTGCTAATATTCGTTTAAATAATATAATCTGTTTTAAGCTTTCTTCTAGTTTGCTCTAGTGATTTTTAATGATTTTTTTATTTTTTTGCCTGTATATTTACTGTTTTCTACCTGTATACTTATATATATATATATATATATATATATATATATATATATATATATATTTTTTATAAAGTATTTTTAAGTTTGTCTTTTCTATTATCTTCACTAGAATTTTCTGGAAATCAAATAAGGCCTATTTTCATGATGAATTTGGATAACAACAGTGTTTTATTATATTTTTATGATGAACTTAGATAATAATTTTATTTTCAATTAATTGAACAATTTACAGAAAATTCTAGTACAATACTGTATGTGTGCATATATATATATATATATATATATATATATATGTGTGTGAACTTTTTCCTTTGCTCGAATATCAACAGCCGCCGCCGCCAGCCAAGGCAGTCTTGCTTCTAGCCGGGACTCGCCTCTTCACAACTTTTTATTTCCGGGTCGGAAAATACGCGCCCTGCTTGCTGGCAGTTAATCCGGCCCTATTAACCGCTAGCAAGTCTTGTCATGTTTTAGTTTTTAAAAGTGACAAACCAAGCCTAACCGAAATAATTCTATTAATGAACCAAAAATAAAAGAAACAAAATAATATTCTTTAAAGGAAACAAAATAATATTCTTTCAAGTAAACAAAATAATATTCTTTAAAGCAAATGTTTCTAAAGTCAACTAAATTAAATGTTCTAAATAAACAAAAAAAATATTTTTACCAGCCGTAACAAATGAAATCCCAAAACAAGAAACACGACAGAGCAACCATCCGACCAATACAACCACTATAAAACCAAAGACTAATTCACAACGCTATTCCAAAACACCAAATTATAACACTAACTTTCCTTGTTTTCTACAATTGTCCAAAATGTTTATATACTAAACAAATTTTAAACAAACTGAGAAACATTCATTCTCAACCATACTCACCATATATGCGCCATACCAACATTCAACCAACCTGCATACAAAACCAATTCATACGCCATTCGATCAGACTGCCCACCTGACCACAATATGCGCGCTAACATACACACTTGCGCCATTCATTCCACATGCGCGCTAAAAAAAACTTCAAATATATATATATATATTGGTTTTAGACTATCATAAATACAATTATTTATAAAGATCACTGCTTTTCCGGCATTATTCAACTACAACTTCAAGTTGAATAATGCCGAAAACGCAGTGATCTTTATAAATAATTGTATGTGTGTGTGTGTGTATATATATATATATATATATATATATATATATATATATATATATATATATATATATATATATGAACAAACTTTCAACATTACAACATTATGATGATTTGGAGCGGGAAGATGACGGTCAATGTTTGGAAGATGAAAGTGAAGTACTGTAGCATTAATTTGTTGCCTTGTTGTTATGTGCATGAGTTTCGGTAGATAACTTGCCCATGCTTTTCCATGGTGTTGTTGTATTGAAACATCAGCGAATCACTTTGGATGTGCAATTGATAGCATGCAGTCAACAATCAGAGTCACACAACCAACATTCAACATCTCAAACAGATCCAAATCAGTCAGAAATGACAGTTTCATCTAAATACCCAATAGAAATAAAACAAAAAGGCAGACAAATAAAAAATAAAAATTGCTATTTCATAGCCAAAAAGTTCCATTTGAAAAGTTGCATGTATGTTTGCAAAAAGAATTTAAATTAAATATTTGTTTGATTTCTGTTTGAAAATCGAAAAACATAATAGAAAAGTATTAAAAGTTTTAAATTTGGTAGATATAAATATGCCCTTTGGATGAAGAAGTTTGCCCACGCTTACATCGATTGTGTTGCATAATTTTGTGCATTCAAATTTTAGCACAATTTTTTCATGCTTTTTATCATTAAAATTGAGGTCACAAATGACATTTAGAAGAGATTTTCATAACAGTTTGTTGCAAATAATTTTTGATTGCCTAAAAAGACTTAATATTTTTAAGATTTTTTTTACCTGTGCTCTCTAGGAAACTGGCACTTGTTTTATTATTCATTATTATTGCTTGTAGTGTAAGAATTTTTGTTGCATCTTGAACTGACTCTGACAATACCTCAACCATTGCAAATTTTGAACTTTCAGAAGAATTCTTAGTTTCATAGGATAACATTTTTTCTAAATATTATCCTTTTCCTATTTTTAATTTGTTTTCGTGATTTCTAGAATTAACTGGCTCATCCATGGAACTGTTAAATCAATCCGATTTTAATAAGATGGAATTATTATTTACAGATTTTAGAATCCTCTTTTGATGTATAAAAACTACTATACAAACACAAAATTCATTGTCAACTTTTTTCCATTTTCAATTCTGTTGTAAACTTGCTGATTTGATTGGCGTTTTATATGCAATGCATTTAAATATTTAAATAAACAAATTTTTAGATTTTCATTTGTTAATTAAAAAAAATTTTTTTCGCTTCCAAGGACTTGTATGTTTGTAAATCTTTTGTTCTAAGTTGAAGCATGAGAAATGACGTCAGGATTCTTCTTGTTGGAGAAAGTTTGTTTTCATATTTTAACAATAGTTGTGTAAATCTCTTTAAAAGTATAGATGATAGTTGAAATTTCTGTTGTGAAAAGAACACTGGAAAAAATTCAAAGTTTAGACAAAGACTATCTATGTTTGTGAGAATCCAAAAAGGACTTGTGATGCAGTGACTTGAGAATTAAAGAGATGGTCATTGAAGGGAAGCAAGTGTTGCAGTGTTTGGTAGGCTTTTTATTGTATGTCTGGATGGGCTAGGACTTTTTTTTTTTTGTTGTATGTCTGGATGGGCTAGGAATGTCCTGGTTATGACATTAAACTGACCCTCACTGCCTTGTGAGTGATATTGGATCATCAAAGGCTAGGCCCACCGCTTATAACTGTGGTTGCGTAAGGAAGGGCGTCCTGCGTAAAAACTAGCCAAAAAATAATACTTATGATGACGGAAATAACAATGGCTCTCAGTATCTGGCAGAAGAGGGTGCGAAGAATCTCCGGAGACCCAGTCCATGGGGTTGTGGTGCAAGGCCCTGTGGATGGTCTGGCTACTGGCACCCCACTCTATAGTGTGGCGGTGCAAGGCACTATAGATCGAAGGACTACTTGTAGACCAAGGGGTTTGAGGTTTGGTACCTGGAATGTAGGCACGTTGACAGGAAGAAGTTTGGAAGTGGTGGAGGAGCTGCAGAGGAGAATGGTTGACGTGGCTGCATTACAGGAGATCAGATGGAAGGGTGAGGGTACAAGGTTTGTGGGGGCTAAAGGTGGAAGATATAAGTTGTGGTGGAAGGGGGATGATGGTACGGGAGGAGTTGGTGTGATGGTAAGAGAAGAGTTGGTGGAGAAGGTGTTGGAAGTGAGGCGGAGAAGCAATGGTGTAATTGTGGTGGTGATGGTGTTTGGAAAAGTAATAGTGAGGGTGATATCAGGATATGCTCCGCAACAAAGTAGGAAGGAAGAGGAGAAGGATAGGTTTTATGATGATGTTTCTGACGAGATTGGGCAAGCGGGGTTGGATGAGTTTGTGGTGTTGGGTGATTTGAATGGTCATGTGGGGGCGGATGCAGACGGATATGAAGGTGTACATGGGGGATAGGGATATGGTATACGGAACGAGGAAGGGGCGTAGAGTGTTGGAGTTGGCGGATGCACATAGCATGGTGGTGGGGAATACCTGGTTTACAAGGGGACCAGCGCGATTGATTACATATAGGTCAGGGGAGCATAGGTCAATGATAGACTATATATTGGTAAGGGCCAAACATAGGAAGTATGTGAAGAATGTGAAGGCGATACCTGGTATGCTGCAGCATAGTATGGTTGTGATGGATGTGACATCAAAAGAAATGGGGAGGAGGAAGAAGGATAAGTTTGTGGCAAAGAGAAAGACATGGAAGTTGCAGGATGCAGAGGTGAGGAAGGCATTTGAAGTGAAGGTGGCTGAAAATTGGGAGAGTGGTAAGGATGGAGATGTTTGGTAGAAATACAGGGACTGTGTGTTGGCTACGGCAGATAAAGTATGTGGATGGACGAAAGGAAAGTGTAGGCATGGTGAGACGTGGTGGTGGGATGAAGATATAAGAAGGGTTTTGGAGGTCAAGAAGGAGAGGTTTAGGGTATGGAGAAGGGACATGACGGAGAAAGCGGAGTCTGAATATAGGAAGGCTAAGAAGGTTGCCAAACAGGCAGTGGCAACCGCAATGACGAAAGCATCAGATAGGTTAATGAAGGAAATGGAATTTGATGTGAGTTCGAGGAAAATGTCCAAAGTAGCAAAGCAGTCAATGAGGGATAGGAAAGATGTTATAGGGAATGGATGTGTTTGGGATGGATCTGGCAAGTTGTGCATAGATGAGGAGGAAAAAGCTCAGGTGTGGAAAGCTCATATGGAAAGGTTGATGAATGAAGAGAATGAGTGGGATGGAGATGTGGAATCCGCGGTCACACACGGACCTATAGAGAAGGTGACGATGGAGGAAGTAGAGAAAGCAGTTAGAGAAATGAAACTAGGTAAGGCGACAGGGGTTTCGGAAGTGGTGGCAGAACATATAAAAGCGAGTGGGGTGATAGGAATTGAAGTTATGATGAGAATTGCTAACAGTATGTTTGATGATGAAGGTATACCTGAGGATTGGCGACACAGTGTGTTTGTGCCGTTGTATAAGGGCAAAGGAGATGTGAGAGATTGCGGGTCATATAGGGTGTGTGAAATTGCTAGAGCACGGAATAAAGGTAGTGGAGAGGGTGCTTGAGAGGAGGTTGAGAAATATGGTGACAGTTAATGAAATGCAGTGTGGTTTTATGCCTGTACATGTGTTTTGTGGATCTAGAAAAGGCTTTTGATCGAGTACCGAGGAAGGTCATTGAATGGGCGTTGAGGAAGAAAGGAGTGAATGAGAGACTTGTTAAAGCTGTGATGCAGCTGTATGAAGGGGCAAAGACAAAGGTGAGGGTTGGAAGGGGGATGTCGGACGCTTTTAGTGTTAAGGTAGGAGTGCATCAAGGATCAGTGTTATCACCGTTTCTGTTTGCAATTGTGATGGATGTTGTGTGTGGAAACATAATGGAGGGGTTGTTATTTGAGATTTTGAATGCAGATGATTTAGTCTTGATGGCTGATAGCATGGAAGAATTGCAGTTAAAATTTGACAGATGGAAAAGTGTTATTGAAAAGAAAGGGTTAAAAGTTAATATTGGTAAGACGAAGGTAATGGTGAGTGGGGAAGGTGGGGAGCGAGTGATAAGTAAAATAGACCCCTGTGGGGTAGGTGACAGGAGAGTGAAGGCTAACTCGGTATTGTGTATAGGATGTCAGAAATGGGTGCATAAGAGATGTAGTGGTGTGAGGGTGGCACTGAAAAAGGTGGAAGCACGTTCAATTGTAAGAAATGTGTTCATGGTGTGATTAATAGGACGGACGCAAGGACGGGGTTGAGTGGTGGTATTGAAAGAGTGGAAAGCTTTGTTTACTTAGGGGATAAGCTGAACGCGGATGGAGGATGTTTGAGCGCAGTTACGGCTAAAGTTCGTGTGGGATGGATGATATTTAGGGAACTTGGTGGGGTATTGTGTGGAAAGAAATGGTCAGTGAAGATGAAGGGGAGGGTATATAAAGCATGTGTGAGAGCAGCGATGGTATATGGTGGTGAAACTTGGGTGTTGATGAGAGAGGAAGAAAGTGTTACTGCAGAGGGCTGAAAGAGCTATGGTGAGGATGATGTGTGGGGTTAAAGTGAAGGATAGGAGGAGTAGTACAGAGCTGATGTCGATGATGGGACTGAATGAGGACATTGTGACATTGATAAGGAGATCGAGATTGCGGTGGTATGGACATGTGTTGGATAGATTGCGGTGGTATGGACATGTGTTGGATAAAAGTGTCGGGATTAGGCGAGCGTTGGAGTTCGAGGTTGAAGGACTGGTAGGAAGGGGTCGTCCGCGATTGGGATGACAGGTGGAGAAGGACAGGGTGAAAGCGGGGCTGCGTGATACTGAGACGAGTGACAGATGTGGATGGCGTCGAGGGGTATTTCGGTTTCATCATAGGTAGCCAAACGGCAACCCCCGATCTCGGGGAAAATGTCGTCTAAACGTGTGTTGTTTGTTCTTGTCTGGATGGGCAAGGAAAGCATTGAAGATTGTCTGCTAAAGTATCTTGCTCACTTTATATGGTGGCATACATTTATTTAGATACATGAAATTGTAAGTTTGGAATAAAAAATTTCGAATCTTGGAAGTTTAAAGCATGGAAAACTGAAGCTCATTTGAGAAGTGGTGTCAAAAAATATAATTTTTTACAATTCTCTTTAAAATTTCTTAGAGGCGTCAACAACAAACACAGAGTGCATGTAAATACACGTGAATCAACACATCAGACACGCTGCATATGATGGGTTATAGTCATTGTGCATTTGAACTCAGTCATTGCAACAGCAGTGCCAGATACCTTAACCATTGCACCACTGCACCTTAATATCATGGTATGATATTAAACCACTTATGAAGAAACATACCAGGTTGAGCACTTTCCAGCAGATATTTGGTTAGGTCCTGTTAATGTGTCTAACATTTTGACATGAGCTGTTATAAGAATGCAAGAATTCATACTGTAAAAGGATGAATTAATGTTTGTGAAAAATTATGTCCATTGAAGTGCAGAATCATTGAACGTAAAAAAATAAACAAAAGTGCAAGTTAATATTTAAAATGCAACTGGGAGAGCAATAAGGGTTATTGGGTAATGAACATTCCGTTTCATTTTAACTAATGAGATTTTATTGAATGAAAATTTCCTCTATGTTATATATTACATTTCTTGTCTGTTACATATCATTACATATCGCTCAAACATGATTTTGCAGGTGGAGTTGGAAAGACTTCTGTCATCCTTTCATTGATCAGTGAGGAGTTCCCAGAAAACGTTGGTTTGACAATTTCTTCATTAATCTTTCATCATACCTTTGAATAACTGACCTTCCACGCAACCAAATACAACGCTATAAAATGTTGATCATTCAAAACGTTTATAACTTACAGTGAAAGTAAATAAAGGCATCAAGTAGTTTTCTGTTGAATTGTTTTGTTAAAGGATAAATTACCGACAGACATTTGTGCCATACTCGTCGTAAAAAAGCCTGACTCCATTGAATGAGATTTTACAAATCAACAAAGGAGAATTATAAACAGTCACATTTTTAAAAATTAATTTACCATGTATTACAATTTATAAAGAAAAAAAAACAATTAAAGTTATATCTATTGGATATGTATGTTTTTAATGGTTTTTTTATTGATAGGTGCCAGCAAAAGCTGAAGAAATAACAATACCGGCTGATATAACACCTGAAAGAGTTCCAACACAAATTGTTGACTATTCCGGTATTTTTATTTGGGTTTAATATTCTTTGTTTGTTCGATTTATGATGAAAATTTATTCAGAATTTATTTTTCAGAAAACCTATTATAAAATTTTTTAATTTGTTGAAGATGTTTGAATTAAGTGACAATATATATTAGAGATGCACCGAATTGTAAATTTGGCTGAATGCTGAAAAACTCTTCAATAGTGATTTTTTTATTTTTAGAATGGAAAACATGCTATTAAAAAACAGTTGGCGATTCCTGTTTATCCAACATTTCTCTATCGAGATAGTATCCATTCAATTTCTTGTTCAAATTCAAATGTCTTAACCGCTGTGACGACAGAAATTAATTTTCTACCACTAATCAATTATAATTGATAATTCTTGAACAATAATTATTGTTCAAGAATTCAAAAGATGTAATTGTTTAAAGGAAAATTGCTATACACGACCTTGAAAAATGCCCAAAAAGTGAATGTCAAGTTTTGGCCAAACATTCGGTGCATCTAATATTTATGTAACAAACGTTTTCAGTTTTATATTTCAAATGAGTAGGCCTGATTCTTCTCTTTCCAAGATTCAGATGATTTGCTCAAATTATGTACTGCATTAGACCTGACCATTTTTTGCTGATTTTTAGTTGGCTTTATACTTTTCAAACAGAATTTAATTTACATCGTTTTTTAAGCTCAAGAGCAAACAAATAGTGAACTTGTTGAAGAAATAGAAAAGGTTATATTAATTTTGAAAAGTTTATAACGCATCATTTCAACATCATTTTTATTTCTTTGCATTTTGTTTATTTAATTCTTTAAACTATACTCAATTTAATTCTTAATCATATTTTTATTTTTTAAATTAATGTTTTAAAATGAAACAAATTGAAACAAATTTCTTTATTTTAGTTGCCATTTCATTTATCACCAGTAGTTTGAGTATCGCCAAATTATTTTTAAATATTCAATTTAATTTTCCATTGTAGGCAGATGTTGTGTGCATTGTTTACTCAGTTGAAAATGTCGACTCTATCCAAAAAGTAATTTATTCTTTTAAGAACCACAAAGAACTTGTAGCTATAAATTTTTTTAAATTTTGTTTAATAATTGCTGGAATGATATGCCTAAATATAGTATTGTTAGCTGCATGAACAGAGAGTTAATAACAAGCAGAATGGTGTGATGATATGAAGGTATGACTGAAAAATGTATCAACCTGAAAATTTCTTTTCAGATTCCAGCATTTTGGATACCATTAATTCATTCATTGTCAAAAAATGTCAATAAACCTATTGTTCTCGTTGGCAATAAAACAGACCTACTCGAAATCAGCAGCATGGAGGTTAAATTTGTTTGCCTCATAAAATTAAGATTAAAAATTAAAACTTTTTCTTATTATTTTTGTGTAGATTAACTTATTATTAAATGGAGTCTGAAATAAAAAAAAATCGGAAGATGGTGCTGGTATTGTTATATTTCTGTTGACTTGTGAAAATATTTTTTAAAATAATTTTAAAGGAATGAATTACTACTAGTTCATAAAAGAATTTTAATGGTGACGCGGTTGATTAAAATATTGAAATGAAACTTTGTATGTCATCAGATGTAGCTGAGATGAATTATTAGAATTTTTATTTATTTTTTTTTAGTCTTTATTATTGCAGCTCTGACATACGCAAGAACCACTTACAATGTTACAGATATATATTATCTATATATCTTTTATTATGGCCTTCAAATTCTAATCTGCAATGAACACTGGTGAACCCATCCAATCCACAGCTACTGGACGATGGCCCTGTTCAGTTTGTAAAGCTGGTGTAGATAATAATTCAATCAAGTGTCAGCAGTGTAACCAGTGGTGTCACAAACGTTGTTCAAAAATAATTGGTACTTTATCTAAAGTGTCCAATTTTGTTTGTTCTGCTTGCATCAGTCCACAACAACAAATTCGAAATAACAATGTTTTTGAAGCCATTAAGGTAGAGAAAGTCACATCGTTTCAATATCTAGGGGATGTTCTGGATTTTACTGGAACAGCTGAAGCTGCCGTTCGAGCACGCATACGTGCAGCCTGGAATAAATGGCATCTCCTTGCCTCTATATTGATGCGGCGTGACATCCCACTACCATTTCGATCAAAACTTTATAAATCTGTGATACGTCCGGTGTTGTTATATGGTGCAGAAACATGGCCAATGACAACCAAACTAGAACAACAACCTCAACGAACCGACATGAAAATGCTCCGATGGATGCAACGAATTAGTCTGAAGGACCACATCAAATCTACCGAAATCTTGCGTCGTGCTGGTTTAGATGATATAAAGGACGAATGCCGGCAACACCGTCTGCGGTGGTTTGGTCATGTCAAACGAAGTGGAAACAGTGCCATAACTTCTCTTGCAGATGTTGAAGTACCTGGCACACGTCCCAAAGGCCGTCCAAAGAAGTCCTGGTCGCAAACAATCGAGCAAGACATGAAAGCTCTAAATTTAAATGAAATGGATACAACTGATCGTCTAATTTGGCGCAAAAAGTTGATGGCAAAGAGAACAACGTCCTACCTCGGGAAACCGGGTCTCTGGACGCAAAACGATGATTGATTGATTGATTGATTCAAATCCTAATCTATTGATTTGAAGCAGCCATCTTCGCCACAAAGGCTGTTTATCCTTTTCACACGACGTACACATTTTACGCTGAGTATATGATAGCCATTGAGATGTTTGACTCAGCGAGCATTTGAACCACTGAGCAATCTCGCCGGCCAACATCCGACAACTTACGTCGTCTACCTATTTACCAACCTCGAAAGGATGGACGGCTGGTTTGACCCGGGGGTCGGCTACCCGGATGAACCTGTAGAAACTACAAAGTTCATGTTAAATTTCTTGTCACGTAGATCGTTTAATTAATTGATATAATATTGAAAGACATTAAAAGAAGAGAAATAAACTAAGCAACGTTCTCGACTTGTTTATTATCCACCGGATCAACAGAAAAGGAAAAAGTGAAGTTACATACAAAGCAAAGAACATTTGGTCCAAAGAAAAATAAATGTATATTATAAATCATAATGTTTTAATATAAAACATAAAACTTAACACCTTCTCATTTTATTTAAAACATTAGATGACCTTAACCTAAATGTTCTGAAGACCCATCGCACACATCAGATTCTTTAGTCTTGGTCCTACCATTGGTTTTGTCAGAGCATCAGCAACTTGAAGTTCTGTTGCAACTCGTTCAACTGAAACTTCTTCTTTTGCAACTTTTTCTCTGACAAAGAAATGTCTAATGTGGATATGCTTTGTTCTTCTGTGAAGTTCTGGATTGTGTGCTAAACGAATTGCTGCTTCATTGTCGACAAAAATTTCTGGCTTTTTCTTTAGATCTACAATGTCGTTCAACAATCGTTTGAGCCATATCACTTCACGAGCTGCTTCACTTGCGGCAACGATTTCTGCTTCAGTAGTTGAAATCGCAACTGAGGGTTGACGTTGGCTAAACCAACTGATCACGCTTCTTCCAATCCAAACATACAGATTACACCTGATGTCGATCTTCCACTAGATTTATTTCCTCCATAATCTGCATCACTGTAGGCTATAAATGTATTGTTTTGACCAGACTTGAAAACAATACCGACATCAGCTGTGCCTTGCAAATATCTGAAAATTTGCTTGACTTGTGTTACATTGGACTTGCTGGGTTTCTCCAAACTTCTGGATGCTACTCCAACTGCATATGCAATATCTGGTCTTGTTCCCGTCATCAAGTACATCAATGCACCAACTGCTGATCTGTAAGGAAATTTCACTTCCTCATGTTCATTTTTGTTTTCATTGAACTCCTCAGATTTTGTAATCGGAGTTGTACAGGATTTACACTGACTCATCTCAAATTTTTCAAGAATCATTCTTGTATACGATGACTGACTGACATTAATATTTCCCTTCTCATCTTGATTAATCTCTAATCCAAGGAAATATGTTGCAGGTTTAGATGTTATCTTGAACTCTGACATTAATTCTTTTTCAAATATTTTTAGTTCTTCTTTATCAGTTCCTGCAACTAGTCCATCATCAACATACAGTGCAAGTATGAGTTTCTTTCCTCCCTGTATTCTAATGAACAAAGAAGTATCTGCATCGCTTTGTTTGAAATGTCTCTTTTTCAAGAATTCAGCAAAGCGTTTGTTCCAACATCTTGGAGCTTGTTTAAGTCCATAGAGACTTCGCTTGAGTTTACAGACTCTTCCTGAATTATCTTTAAAACCTTCAGGTTGCTCCATGTAAATATCTTCATCTAGTTTGCTGTATAGAAATGCTGTTGACACATCAAACTACCTGAGTGACATCTTTTCATTTGCAGCAACACTTAATAGTATTCTTATAGTTGAACTTCTGACTAGAGGACTATAGGTTTCTTCATAGTCAATTCCCTTTTTCTGAGAAAAACCTTTTACCACTAGCCTGGCTTTAAAACGTTCAACAGAACCATCTGGATTGTGTTTTACCTTGTAGACCCATTTGCATGGTATTGCCTTATGACCTTTTGGAAGACTTACCAAATCCCACGTTTGATTTTCCTTTAGTGACTGCATTTCACTGTTCATGGCTTTAAACCATTCATCTTTTTCATCACTTTGAATGGCTCTTTGTAACTCTCTGGTTCAAGTACTTCACATAATGCAGACATAACGAAAGGATCATAACGAGATGGCTTTTTGATATTATTCCTGTCATATAAAACCATACCTTTGGTCTTTTGATTACAACAGTCAGATTGATCTTCTTCATCAGATGAAACTAAACTACGGTTGTGAACATCTTCATCTTCATCAGTTGAAATATTTTCTTTAATCAAAGTTTCTTTATTTTCATCTTTGATTTCAACATCAATCGAAACTGTATCATCTGAACAACTTTCTTCTTGCAAAATCACTGAATTTGGTTTGAGAACCTTCTCATCAACAATAACATCTCTTGATCGATGCATTTTAACACGTTTCTTATTTTGATGTCCCATTCTTTCATGGTATAACTGCAATGCATCTTGATCATTGACAAAGTTAACTTCGACTTCAGAATTCAACGGTCTAACAGTTTTTGCAACAAGTTTGAACAAACCTCCATTGTTGTTTCTTATTCCAACAACACTTATCACATTGTCAATAAGTAGATGACAACTTCTTGAGGTTGAAACAAAAGAGCTATTTCTGTTCTTATCTTGAGTTGCAAGTACTGAGAACAAATTTTTTTTTACTTTTGGCACATACAAGACATCTGTAAGTTTAACAGTTTGCCATTTATTATTCACTTTCACTTGAAGATGAATAATTCCTTTCCCAAAAGCTTCTACAGTATCACCATTTGCAACATATAATTTACTCGGTTGAGAAAATTTTTCAAAACTTTGAAATATGTCTCTTCGGAAAGTTAGATGACACGTTGCACCATTGTCAAAAAACCATTCATCAGTGTACGCTGACTCATCAATTGCAAAAACACTTGATTCCATAACAACTAGTGAATTATTGTCATCGCGTAGATTGTTATTTCTTGGTTTTGCTGGTCTACCATCAGAATGCCATTTTTCACAATTTCTTACAATGTGACCTGGCAATTTGCAATAATGACATATCAGTCGCTTTGGTTTGCTGATAAATTTATCTTGTTTTTGACCATTCATGTTTAGTGATGATGACCTTTTAGTTGTTGCTTTGACAAATAATACTTTATTACATTCTGTCTTGCCTTCCAAAGATCTCTCATAGCTACACAGTTGATTTGTGAGTGTTTCGACTGTTCTTTCAGTCTTGTTCAACAATCTCCAACTTTCAGCAAATGAAAAATATTTTTTTGGCAAAGTTTCAATTATTTGGCACATCAGCAACAAGTCACTGTTTTCATCTTTTCCTAACTCAACCTTCAAATCTTTCCAAAGATTCTTGAGTTTTGTGACATGAGTGACAACATCATCGCTTTCATCCATTTTATAACTAAAGAACTTCATGCACAAGTTGTATGCTTTATCTTCATTAACTTCATCATACAATCTGTGAAGTTTTAACCAAACATCTCTGACATTACTGAATGAACGAACTTTTTCATACGTTTCATCGGTCATGTTGGTTGACAGAACAATCATAGCACTACAATCTGCTCTGTTGAATCTGTTCGAAGCAGTTTGATATTTTGCTATCTCATCTTTATTTGAGTCATCGTTCGATTCATCTGGAACTTTTAATTTGCCATTTGCTACATCCATTGCATCAGGAATGCCGCGTAGTATTATACAAACTCTCGACTTCCAGTTCAACCAATTACTTTTGCCTTCTAGGTTTTTGATTTGCACTTTTGTCAGATCCATTTCTTCCTTGTCTTTCAATTTGACCTTTTAATTAGAAGCAAAATATCGAATTTCAGAGAATGAAGAAGCACGTGCTTTCTCTTCACTTCAGTCTTCACAAAAGAATCTTCCGATATTTCTTTATTCTAAATTTTCTTCGTCAAATCAATTAATTAAGAAAAACGTTATCTGGGTCCCATAACCTGTTAAATTTCTTGTCACGTTGATCGTTTAATTAATTGATATAATATTGAAAGACATTAAAAGAAGAGAAATAAACTAAGCAACGTTCTCGACTTGTTTATTATCCACCGGATCAACAGAAAAGGAAAAAGTGAAGTTACATACAAAGCAAAGAACATTTGGTCCAAAGAAAAATAAATGTATATTATAAATCATAATGTTTTAATATAAAACTTAACAGTTCAAACCCGGGTCGTGGGAGTGGTAGACGGACACGCTAACCACCCGGCCACGAGACCCCAAAATTGCAATTAAGGGGTTAAAATATGTAAGCTATAAACAGTTGTGTTATATGTTGTAAGGTTATAAACAGACCAGTTTTCATTTAAATGCTTGTTAGTTTGATAATATTCACAAATATAAATGTTTTCAATAACTTGAATAATTGCAGCTGATAATGCCTGTGATGAACATGTACGCTGAAATAGAGACATGCGTGGAGGTTATTTAATTTTGACTCAAAGTCTCTTCCCAATGAAGCTTTAACTTTTTTTTTTGTTCAGTGCTCAGCAAAAACTCTCAAGAATATAAGCGAGGTGTTTTACTACGCCCAGAAGGCAGTGCTCCACCCCACCGCTCCTCTCTACCTGCTGGACGAGAAACAACTTTCTCTCAAATGCAAATCTGCACTTACTAGAATTTTCAGGGTTACATATTTTTTATTGAATTTTATTTAAATTTCAGTTAATCTGAATATAAAATGTATAATCAAGTTATTACCTCTGAGTGATTTTTGCTTGTAAATTATTAATTTATATACATCGGGATTAAGATTTGGAATAAGATATGCAAGGTATCAGAATTGCTTACCTGAAAATGGAATTTTTTTGCATACAACGAATCATTTTTTCATCACATTGTTTGAAAACTGTTTTAAATGATTTTGTTTTATTAATTTTTTTCTTCAGATCTGTGACCAAGATAACGATGGATTGTTGAATGATAACGAAATTTATCAGTTCCAAGTAAATTTGATGTGCATTTGTTGTGCACATATTTTAACTTCAGCATTTTAGAGTTGTTTGTTGACACAGCATTTCATCAGTCAAAATTTTCATTAACATTGTTTTTTGTTAACCATCAACTTTCGGGACATTTCTACTAACAAACACATATATTTATTATCATTCAATGTTTAGACACTTTTTTAAATTAGGAACAATTCAAAACTTAACAAAGTATAATACTGTAATATATATATATATATATAAATAATGATCTTTATAGGTTTGTAATTTTTTTAAGAAAATCAAAACGATGTTTTTGTATTGTTTATTTTTTACATTTTTTTTTTATTGCCGTAGCTATCTTGCATTGAATAAGATTGGCGTAGATTGAACAGTGTGAATAAATTAGTGTTCGCGATGGCAGGACAACGTTTGTGTGACTCATGAATTTAACGGAGGATCCGTTAGGAGTTGATCAGTTTTGAACATACCATAACGTGTAAATAGAGTGAATATTTATTTGCATACGTGGATAGAAATTTGAACTGAAAGGACAACTTTTGAAGTTGAGAACGAGGAGTTTATGGTTTACATTTTATCGAAGCAGCATGCTTCAAAAACTACTCGAAATAAATGTTTACATTTTAAAGGGCAGGTGAATAGTTTTCAGCCGAAATTAAAAAAAATAATGGTGGTCATTTTAGAAACATTTTTCATCAACTGCAAATGTACAAAATTTTGTTATATTTTTAAAGAAAGGAAAGTGGGCCTATAAAAAAAAATATATGATGATGAAGACAGACTGTGGCTGTGATTTCAACCAGTCAGAATGACAACTGAGCAGTACTTGTGGAATTATGTACAGCTGAATATTAATTTATAATAATATTAAATTTTTCATTTTGCCTTGAAATAAATGCACACAGATTATATATTTTTTCAGAAGTTTTTCTATGGAAAGCTTCGTTGAATGTTGGATTAATTAATTGCACGCGGTACATATTACAAACAGCGGCGGTGCTTCAACGTTCCACTGCAACCTCAAGCGCTGGAGGACGTTAAGTCGGTTGTGAGGCGACACATCGACGACGGCGTCGTTCGGGAGGCCCTCACACTCAAAGGTTACAAGTTGCTTCCTCTGCATGCCACAAAGTTTTTCAAACTTTAGAATTTAAAAACGTTCATTTAGAGCATGTGTTTGATGTTTGAATTTTGTTTTCAGGAGTTAGTTTTCCACTGTGTTAAATGTTTCAAAGCGTTAATAACATTTGAGTCTTCAGCTTGTTTCCAAGTGATTTCAGCTGATTTAGTTGTGGAGTAGTGAAATTTTTCTGGGATGGAATAGGATATATGAATATATGGCGAGGATATATGAATTGTTTGTTAAATTTTTAAAAAAGGTGAAAAAATCTGTTATCAAGAAATTATGTTGATTATCCGACTGATATTTTGTTTCAATTGATTCGTGATTCAGTTATGAATATGGGAAAGACAAACTTCCATTAACCGAACTTTTTTAGATGACTAAAATATTAATAAATGCGTTTTTAATTTACTAAGATATTAGCAAATAAATTCTTGAATAAAGCTGAGATTGAATTGAACGAACGAGAACATGCAGTAAGATAATTGCAAAATGTGCTTGTTGATATTGTCTGGTTAGATTGATTCGCTAATGGACAAAGCGTTAAAAAGTGCGGACAGCCGGGGTATCCAGCTGAATAAGATGTCCATCATTTGGTGCTACCTCTCTTCCTTACCACCACGTAGTGGTGAGGTGCTCGTCGAAATTTGTGGGGTCTGTACTGGGTAGGGTTAAAATGGAGGGAGTTCATTTGTGGTAGTTAATTGGAGATTGTTGCACGTATTAGATGCGCTTCATTTTGAAAGCAGAAGCATGATACAAAAATTTTGCATGTTTGTTTGACGACATGATCTAGGTGTGTAGTTAACAGGATTTTATTTGTTACTGTAGTTGTCAGATAAGGTGCATAACCTCTTATACTTAAAGGGATGTAGCTTTAAATTTTGCTACATATTAATACTTTTTCCTCGTTTTGCAATGTGTTAACATTGGTCTTTTTTTACAAACTTGAAACAAGCAGGTTTCTTGTTTCTGCACACATTGTTCATTCAGAGGGGTCGGCACGAAACAACGTGGACCGTCCTCCGGAAGTTCGGCTTTGATGATAACCTTAACTTGCCTGAAGAACTTTTCAAATTCGGGTTGGAGTCTTATTTAGTACATTTTGGTTCGCTGTGTTGCTTATTCTGTTTGTTAATTAATGTCCTTACATTGGATGTAACAAAATGCATTGATTTTAGTTTTTTGTTTAATCGTCTATTTTGGCACATCTATTTTTAATGCAATGCTGTTGTAAATTTGCTGATTGCAAAAGCTGATTCCAAGTTACTTACCCGCCTTATCCGGCCTCTGTGCGTTTGAATAAATTATAGTCAATCTTTTTTTCATATGATTTACATATTATATAATTTAACAACAGATAGTACACGAACACCGTAACACTTTTTTAATATTTACATAGTTTTCAACATTCATTCAAATGTTCGGGAATATAGTTTACAAAGTTTTTTTAATCATCAACATTTTTGTAAGAATCAAAATACAGGTTTGGGTGTCTTCTTTAATACGAATAAATCTTTTCTCTGCAACAGATTAAGAAACCACCCAGGATCGACAGTAGAGTTGTCATACCTCGGGTATCAGTTCCTCTCGGATTTGTTTGACAAGTTCGATGATGTGGGTTCTCTTTTTATTTCTCTTAACGCAACTCAACCAAATAAATTTGGACTGAATTGCAGGACTGTGATGGCTGCCTGTCTCCCACTGAGTTGACGAATCTATCGAACTTGTGCAATCACGACATGTGGAGTTCAGACTTCAGCAATATCGTCTGCACGAATTCGCATGGATGGATCACCCAGCAGGGCTTTCTAGCTTTTTGGACGTTAGGATTAAATGCAATTAAATACATTGAATGGCAGTTTGCCGTTTGCAAATTACATAACTTCACTTGGTATTCTTTTCTCTTGCAAAGATTAACTACATACATTGACGTTACAAAGACCATGGAATTCCTGGCGTCAACGGGCTACACGTACGAGCATGACAATCTGGCATCTGCTATCCAAAGTATTTATAACATTTTCACTCGATCGTTGTAATGTTACTTATGTATTATTGAATAATAACAAAATTGTATTAGTTCAATGAATGTCTGATAATTTTTTTAATAATAAATAAATTGTTAAGCAACATAATTGAATTGAAAGCTGGCCTTCATGTTAGGTAGACTTGTGAATCGTGGTGCTAGTGGTGGTTAATTAAAGGTACATACACACCGATCCTATAACCTCGTTCAATCTTCGATCAGAGTTAACATTTTAAATCAACGGTGATGGCTCAGGATTGCATATTTTATTAAACAGCAAGTCCCTATTTAGTGAAGTTTGCTAAAAACGCATTTTCTATTATTGCACATGAAAGGTTTAATTTTTTTTATATCTGACTTCAAATAAAGAAATGTTTGACTGTACATTATCCTGTTTAAGCACGCTTGAACTTTTTTAATCGGAGTGCTGCTGATCCACACCGGCAGATTATTTGAATATACAAGGAAGCAGCTCATCTGTGAATTACTCTGTAAACTTTGACTGAACCTCCAGAAACTTTAATTCTATGCTAAATAAGTTGCTGAAATGTATGGCAGTGATTTAGTAAATGGATAAGGTAAGCTAAGTGATACCACCAACAAAGATCTGAATCCCTGAATTAATAGATCTTTCTGTGTTCTATATTTATTTTTGCATATTCATTCACATTTTTGATGCAAGTTTTATAATTAAAAAGATATAACATCTTAAATTGAATGCCGTTTGTTTAGTTTTTGCTAAATAAAGTTATTTGTTAATGTTAAAATGCCATGAATAAATGAATGAATCTAATGTTTTGTGACAGTAACTAGAGATAAGAGGATCGATATAGAAAAGAAGCATTCGACTAGAATTGTCTACAAGTGTGTCGTCTTGGGTTCCAAAGGATGTGGAAAGGTTCGTTCGTAACCAGTTACTAATATTTTCAACAAAAGGCAAATTACAAAATTATCTAATTTCAATCATTTGTCATCCTAGCGCCATTTGCACTCATTCTTTCGTTTTCTTGTACAGTCGACGTTTTTACAAGGACTTCTCAACAGGAACCTACATTACGTGAAGACTCTCGACTACAGATATCTGCCTGACACAACCGTTAATCTGGTTTCTGTTTGCGGTCAAGAAAAATATCTAGTTGTCAGTTTTTACTTGTTATTTGCAGATTTATTGATTTTATTACAATTTATTTAATTAACGCACTTGAAAGCCTTTAGAATAATATTAAAAATTTGGAATTAAATCGTTTTTTTTTTACAAAATAATTTGCTTGTTGATGTAAACAGTTGAATGAATTGGACGAGAACAACGTGCAGAGCAATCTTACATCTGACATCATTTGCCTGTTGTACGATGTTTCAAACCCGTCATCTTTCGAATTCTGTGCTAACTGCTATCTTGTTAGTACAAATATTTTTAATTCTCAGTATTTCCATACAATTGTCTTGCCGTGGTTCTGTCCTGGTTATGACATTAAACTGACCCTCACTGCCTTATGAGTGATGTTGGATCATCAAAGGCTAGGCCCACCGCTTATAACTGTGGTTGCGTAAGGAAGGGCGTCCTACGTAAAAATTGGCCAAATAAATTACTTATGATGACAGAAGTGACAATGGCCCTCAGTATCCGGCAGAATGGCGTCGAGGGGTATTTCGGTTTCATCATAGGTAGACAAACGGCAACCCCCGATCTCGGGGAAAATGTCGTCTAAACGTGTGTTGTTGTTGTTGTTGTTGTTGTTGTTGTCTTGCCGTGGTTAGGTCACATGTTTGCATCGCGATTATGAATTTAACCACTTTTTTAATAATTAACCCTTTTCACGTTTTGTTAGTTATTTTTTTCTTTGTTATCGGTTGTTTCTAGCGGCCTCCATATTTTCTAAACTTATTTTGCATCTTCCTTTATCTTGTATCTTGCCTTGGTTTCTAGCATTTATATTAGTCATGAATCAATTTCTTACTTTCTTTTTTGCTCCTGTTATAAAATGAAAAGTTAAACTGCGCACCTCGCAACAGTCGTTCTTTGTTATTAATTCTTTTCTCGTCTGCGTTATTTGTTTTTCATGAAAAACATTTAAAAACGTCATATTTACCAGCTAGCTGCTTTAAAATGTTGAAAAGTATTAATTGGTTCATGGATATTATTTTGAAAGCTGAATAGTAATGCTGATCTAGTAGATTTGTATGTAGCTATGTTTTTTCTCTTTGTATTTCTAAGTCAGACATTTTAGAAATTTTTTTCAATCTCTGTGAATATTAAAATTTTCAAAAAAATTTTTTATTATGTTCAGTCGTTAACATTGATAATGAAACGTTTGTTTCAGCAATACCTATCGACCAGTTGGCTGCCAGTTTGTGTCATAGGATGCAAAACTGAGAATAAAGTGGTCATTCAAGACTTTGTCATGCAACCTAAAGAATTTTGTACAAAATATAATCTTACTGGACCTATTTTAATATCCTGTTTAGAAAAAATAAATAGGGATGTCTATGTTCAGCTAACAACGCTGGCGGCCTATCCGTGAGTTTCTATGTTTTTCTGTTTTTTATAGAAATGATGCTGAAACCCCAGGCCAATGTTTTTTAAACTGTTCATTGAAATTTCATTTTGAAAAATTTTTCTTGTGAACAAACTATAACGCCCCGTGTTTCATCTTTTCATTGCATGCGTAATTATATTCCTCATATAAGTTTTTGTTAAAACATTTTTTATTTCAGGAATATTCATCGATTTATGAAACAGTCAGATTCAATTTCATGGATTAAGAGGGGTTTAATTGTAACACTGGTTGTAGGATTAGCATACGCCACTGCAAAAGTCGTAAAAAAATATTTATAATTTTTTTATAATATTACGTTGAACAGTTAATTTATGTCTATGAAAATTTTCATTAACACCTAAGTTCTCAGGCTTTTTGTTTATCGTTAGTCAAACAAAAAATGATGTGGCAATGTTTAACGCACTTTTCAAGCGAGTTTGACGAGTTTTATCGAATAGCGGCCAGATGATAGCAGTAATATTAATCGCCGACATATTGATGCGGTCGAGTTTTTTCAATTATTTTAACTTTACTGAAAGTTAGTTTCTGCCAGTCACAACTTTCCCTTCGTTTCCATGTTTTTTAAATGATTAGGCTATCTGCTTTCCCTGTTTCAGTTGTAATACTTAGACTGGTTTTGATATCTGCTGAATGATGATATAAATAAATTGTCTAAAAATTATAGGTAAAAATAGTCATCAAAAGTCGTTTTAAATATTAATTTATTGGTTCAAATTTTTAAAAGTTACGCTCATATTGTGAATAGTTTGTTTATTTTTCGACATTTTAGTTATAGGCTTCTATCATATCCATCTTTCTTAAATACATGAAAACTGGTCCGCTCTTGGGAAACTGTTAGTTATAATGTTTGAAAATAGCAAGGCTGATGATGCTGTGTCATTAAGTACTGTATGGATGACTGCTGTATGGTTCTAAACCGCGGCAGATAAAACCAAAAACTGGATTTTATTTACGCTGTTCCAAATTTCTATTTTTAAAACCGTCCGCACAATGGGATTTGTTACAATTAACGAAAATTTTTCGATTTCCTGTAAAATTCTGAGTTTTTTTTAAAACGCTATTCTATTAAATCAACAAACAGTTTTGGTGTTTTACTCTTCCAGTATCGTGCGTTACCCTATTATTGCAAATTAATTCCGCTTGTTTTTTCAAAATGCAGATACAGACGGACGTGACCGTTGTTGGCCTGGGTGGTTGCGGGTAAAAATGTTGCGGACTTGGACGGTTGCTGCTTGGAAAAATCTCGTCTGTACAGTGCTCTACTGCGTAATATGTAATATTACGTTAGAAATCTTTTATATCGAGAACCAGTTGTCGAAACTTAGCAATCCATTCACTAGTCATTTAAACGTTGAGTCATCTTTGGCTTATTCGTGAAATTAATTTGCAAATCATTCGAGTGTCCTAACATTCCAACACAAGTTAACAAATATAAAAAAAAAAGATTAACAGAGCACATTATACAGTCGAAAGATTTTGTAAAATATGATAGTTATAAATATGTTTCTTGCAGGCAACGATGTCCATTCAGTTGGTCTTCAGCTCGCAGAAAGTGCGGTGCGCTAAAATAATCCGTCATCTTCACGTTAGAAGCTGAACTCAAGCAAATAAATGAATATTTTAACCAAATTTTATTTAAAATAAATAGCAACGTTGCTCGCCATACCTAGTTGTTGAAATTGGAAATAGTAATGTGACTATATTATGTGAAAAAAATTGAAATAAAACTAGGACGAAATATGAGTTAAGTTAAAATAAACTGGTAATATATTTCCGCGTTAATCATAGTGACGCCGTTGCTGCTCTTGCATCCAGTAAATTATTTGGCTGGACGAATTTGATAAGGCATCGTCAGTATAAAATGCCATAATTCTACTTGACCTAGAAGCCTTGGTATCTGAGCCGTTATATATCATAATCATGAGGCTCCTTGTACCTAAGCTTACCAACCGTTCTCCTTTGTGACAGATCCTATTTTTAACAGATCTTTTGCAAAAAAGGTGTTTCCTTATTTAGTTTGTGGAGCTGGGCTTTATTATCTGGAGAGAACATCTGGTTTCAACTCAAGCTCTGCTGTCTTAGCTTTGCTTCAAGACTAAAATTTTACTTTCGCCTTTGTCTCGTCTCTTTTTAAGTTTTCAAACAACACAAGTTTGTGTTGTTGCGGTTGCGTTTGATGATGAGAACACCGAACCAGAAGAGCAGTGAGCGGGAGAAGAAAAGGATAGTATTCGTTTGGATAGGCTGGACACGTGTTTCGTCCCTACCGGGGACTCATCAGCAGCCCGAATACCTATCAGAATAGTTATTGCAGTTTCTTATAAAGCCCGCACAAATCAACTCCTTATTTCGTGGTGTTTTATTTATTATGCTTTTTAATCGCTAGGGTTTTCAATCCGACAATTCTTTCCCACCCAATCGTCGCAGCATGTGTTGGCGAACGTGATGGATGAGGTTGCATTGCCGGTTGTTGTTAAATCGAAGAAAGATCTGCGTTGGAGCGGAAACTCTCGTTGCTTGTTTTTCCTCGATCACGTCGGGGTCACCAATTTGTTGCGGTTGCGTTTGATGATGAGAACACCGAACCAGAAGAGCAGTGAGCGGGAGAAGAAAAGAATAGTATTCGTTTGGATAGGCTGGACACGTGTTTCGTCCCTACCGGGGACTCATCAGCAGCCCGAATACCTATCAGAATAGTCAGTGGCGGATCTAACGCTTAGCAGACTGAGCAGCTGCTAGGGGCCCCGGACGGCCAAGGAGCCCCATGTACAAATTTATCCCTCAAAAAATACTTCAAATAAATTTTCCAATATAATGAAATTTCAAAATTTGAAAAAATCATAAAATTTTAAATAATATTTGTTATTAATGGAAAGGGGGCCCCGTAAAAAAAATTATTTTATAAAAATAACAAATAAATTTTGAAATATAATGAAATTATTAAAAAATTCTTTCAATTATTATGCTGAATTCAACGTTAATAAGCGTTTGCAAATATTAGCAGTTTACAGTAATATGTTTGAAAACAATCTGTCATTCGTTTCGTTAGCCATCCCTACTTTTCTGTCTTTAATATCGTATCGTTGTTTTGTTGTTGAAAGCGCGTGTTTTTATTTTTCAAAAAAGTATTGTGGTCAAATAATTAAAACGTTATTTAGTTGTCTGTTTTTTTCTTTTATTTCAAGTACCTAAGTGGTAAACATTTTTATTTACTTTTGATATAAATTCATTAAATGAATTTCATTTTAATTAATTACAAATGGCTTTTATAATTAATTGAATTGTTTCAATATTAAAATTCAAACTTGGCAGATAGATGCTATTAAAACGTAATTATATATTCACTTAATATATTAATGTTTGTAACAAATCTGTCGACAAAATATATTCAAATTCGTTAAAAGTTGTTTTTAGTTCAAAGATGTATATCACCTACACATAGTTATAAGTTGGAAATAATTGAAAGTTAAAAAGCCTCTCCACGACACACTAAGTTTGGGGGCCCCAAATTTTTTTCTGCTTAGGGCCCCCGCTTGACTTAATCCACCACTGAGAAGAGTTATCGCAGTTTCTTATAAAGCCCGCACAAATCAACTCCTTATTTCGTGGTGTTTTATTTATTATGCTTTTTAATCGCTAGGATTTTCAATCTGACAGTGTTCCGTTTTTTACTGCCTTGGAAACAGAAGTGTTTAGTCGGCAAGTTAGTTCAGTTGGTAAGAATGTCATATTTCGCCCTGTTATTACGCGGCTCGATTCAAATACTGTCTGTCCAAAGCTCAAAGACCATCATGTGCCGTGAGCGTGTAAAACGGTGTTTGTGCGTGTAATTACTTCTTGTAGTGCGAAAAATACTAATAATAATAAGTATGAAATGGCATGTAAGCAGTTTCGCTTTTGTCAAAGTTAAACTTTTGTTTAACTTTGACAAAATCTTTTGGCCTGTTATTTTGTCATGGATATATGTTCATAACATTGAATTGTGTGGAATTCATAGAGCCGGGCGAATACTAAACATTAACTATTATAATTCTTTTTATTACTTTTTTTCGAACCCACGCTCTTAATGTCTTGCCTTGATTTTAAAATACGTTGTCTAGTTACAACCATGATTGAAACATTAAACATTTAGGTATATGCTAATTTTAATTTTTGTTGGTAAAAAAAATTTTGTTTTTATTTTCGCAAAATCTTATGTGCTTTAATTCTGATAAAACTTTGTCCTTCCCTAGATGTGCCCAGTTTAATCACAATTCATGCACCAATTATATTAGATGTATCATGCATGATTGAATGTTGTTCTAGTAGCAAAGTTAATAATGGGAAGAAAACAAATGCGCAAAACTAGTGTAAAACAACATAAATGTACTTTTAAGTTTGAAAGTTCAACCAGGAGGACTTTTTATCAGGTTTTTATCATGCCTCTTTAGTTTAATCCTGATATTGAATTCTCAAAAAATAGAAAAAAGTTAAGTTTTTAAGGGTACGTTGGAAAATTTTTGATCTAATGACACACACACACACAAAATTTGTTCTACTTGCATTTTTGCATATGAACTTGTAAGCATTGAGAATTTGGTTTTATAACATAGCTGCTCATGTCAATATAAAGGTTTTGCTTCATTTGTGTAATTATTAACATTATAAATTGCAGTAATACACAACGATAACTGACAACAGGCATTCATTCACTAAATTTTCTGCTTTTCCATTTAATTTATGGAATTTAAATAAGGTATTGTTGTTAAACTAAAGAGGCATGTCAAAAAAACTATCTGCGACTCCATGTGTAATTCTGACGCCACAATTTCGATAAAGTATGTAAAATGAAACATACATTACGAAATTATTAATATTATTACAAGCCAATTACAAAAAGATCACAAAAGCGCTCCTTAAAAAATAAATGAACAAAAACAGTAATGAATCAAAAACAAAAACATTGTTAGTTCTGCAAAAATAAGTGAGTCTTTAGCTCTTTTTTAAACAAAATCAAAAATAGATCTTGTCTTCTTAAAAAAACCAGTAGACTGTTCCAAACCACAGGTCCAGGAACATCAATATTTTGTGATCCAATCTGTAAATTCGTTGCTGGCACGACCAGGAGGTTCATATCATCTGATCTTAAGTGTAAAACCGCCACATGTTTTTTTTTTAATGAACTTGCATGTCAAATATTGTGGTGCCAAACCATGTAATGACCGAATCATTAACACATCAATTCTAAAAATTATCCTCTTCTCAATTTTTAGCCAGTGTAGCTCGTTTAAGATTGGAGTCAAATGATCAAACTTTGGATTTTTTGGGACAAGTTTTGCAGCTCGATTCTGAATTGACTGAAGTGCAGCTATTGACTTCTAAAGTAATTTAAAGTGTAAACTGCTACGATAATCCACTCAAGATGTAACAAAAGCATGTACCAATGATTCCATGACAGATCTGTTCAAATAGTGTCGAATCCTATATAATCTTCTGAGATGTATCATACTTGCAATTGCTAGCGATTTAATATGATCTTTCATTGAGAGCCTGCTATCCAACCACACACTATAATGTAACACGCTATAACCCTAACCCTACACCCAAATATAAGGTTGTAGAAACAAATGACACTTCAACGTCACCCACTTCAACCGAATTTATATCAAGCCTTGACAACTGCTGCTATGTACCAACAGGAAGCATTTGGGTTTTACGCCGGTTTAACCTCAATGGATTGCTCAACATCCAACGTTCAATCTCCATCAAACTACTGACAAGTCTACCAATCTCAGGCTAAAATGATTCTGAATGACCTGTAACAATTATCTGTATATCATCTGCGTACGCATGACCAAAGAGTCCATGCGAAGTAATTATTTAAATTATATCCGCTGTATAGAGCAAAAACAAAATTGGTCCTAACACTGATCCCTGAGGAATACCTGTTGTTACCTTCTTGACAGCTGATCAAACTTTTCTAAACAAAACCTGTTGAGTTTTACCCGTTTAGTATGACTCAAACCATGCAAGAACTGTTCCTAACACTCCCAAATTATTATGCAATTTTTCTAAAAGTTTGTTGTGATTAAAACAGCCAAATGCAGAAGACATATCAAGAAAAGAGTGTAAAGATATCTTCCGATCATCCATACCCGCAAACAAGTTTGACAATACATGAAGCAATGCAGTCTCAGTTGAATGATAGCGTCTACAGGCCGATTAGCATTAAATTATTTACCGTCAGATATTTTGTCAGGAAATCAATAACAACACGCTCCAAGACCTTTGAAATGATAGGATAGATATGTTTTCGCTATTTTGTCAACCTTTACTAGTAGTGTTTGAAATTTTAATACTGTCTTCTCTCGAACTCCGTTTGAGAAGAATGAAATTTATTTATAAAATTGCTAAAATATTATTCAATCAACATAACATATCGTATATTTCTGTTTGATAAAAAACCAGTGTTATTATACCAGTGCTTTTTGTGACGGTACGCACCGGTAAGCAAAAAATAAAGAAAGTTCGTCCGCCAACGTTGATATTTTCAAAAATTGAGTACAAAAAACACCGACAAATATCGTGTGCGTGCAGTGTTTGTTCAGCGTATGCGGTTACTAAACAATCACACAGCACGTGTTTAAACAAGATGTCTATAATTGAACAAATCCCATGAATCGTTTGTTATAAATAGGTTCTCAGTGAGCCAATATGCCTTCAACAATATTTTATTTCCTTTACGAATTCTGAAAACATTTAATTTCAATGAAATGAGTGAAAAAAAGTATGATTTCATCTAACAAAAACACAAGCGATTCCAAAGAACAACAAAAGAATGTGGTTGCAAGGTGTTCTTTTGATCATAAAAATAAACAAAGAGAACGAACATTTCGCATATTTTCGAACACTTTCAACTGGCCACTTGCACAAGCATTTGTTGGTCAGGAATGCGCTAAAAATCAACTTATGCCATAAGTATGTATTTAAAAAAATACATGAAAATTATAGTATATTCAATTGTATATCTTCAACTTACAATAAAAAAATTAGAAAAAATATTAAAAAAATATTAAGTTGAAATGTTAAAGCATAAAATAAAAATATAAAGTTTTTAACTACAATCGATACCATAAAGCATTTAAATTTAATAACGAGCCAGCGCAGCTGATTCTATTTAGTGAGACATTGGATACAAAAGCATGTTGCAGAGTGCGTTTCTGTTTTATCGTTTTTTTGGTGAGACGACTTTACATAAGGCGAGTATTGTAACGATGATTTGTCTTTCGATGTTGTTGCTACTCCAGCACATCTTGTTGCTTCTGTTTGAATTGGCATGTACATGTGATTTGTATTCATAATGTTAGGTGGTTGAATGAAATATTCGGGACATCTGTTAGCGAATGCCATTGGTGTTAATTCGGTTGGTAGTGAAGATTTTGTCAATGTCGTACATGAAACAGGTGAAGAATTTGGCATCAGTTCAAAAGAATATGCTGGAATGAAAAAATTGGGTGTATAATCAAAATTTGACGACATGATGTTGTCATATGTTGGAATCGTATTAAATTGTGAACGATGTGGCTCAGACAACATTTTTCTCATTTCTTCAAGTGATTTGGTCAACATCACAATATAATTTCTTGCCATAGTCAGTGTTGATATTTTGGAAAGTTTTCTTACAGACGGTCCATGAGAGTAAGGCATGACTTCTCTCAAGGCGTCTAATGCTGAATTCAAATCGTGCATTCTTTTTCTTTCTCGGCTGTTAACTTTCAAACGTAACTCTTGAATTTGTTCTTCATTTAAAACCCGATTAGTGTGTTGCTTTCTGTTTGTCAAAAAACGTTTTTGTCTCATTGGACCACCAACGCTTGATGATTTTGATAACGGAGATGAACCATCCACTCTTTGAAGATAGCTAAATGATGAATCAGCCTCAAAACTGCTTTCTATCTGGCTTAAAGACGATTCAGATTGCGATGAATTTAAACTTTCAACAACACTTGGTAATATTTTATCCATTTTATTTCAGGTAAACAGATTAAATACATATATTAAAAGTTTATTTTCTATTTCAACTGTTTTAATAAATATTGGTTAAAACGACATTATATATAAATAACTCAAGTTTTACAATCTGTTATTGTACATAAAATTAATGACTTTTTTATATGTAGATACCAGAAACTGGTTCAATTAAGTTCGTCCAATAAAAATGAATTGTGTAATAAAAATATCGATTGGTTAATTCAATAATGACCATAAACATCAGCAGGCAGATTTATTTTAACAAAGTTTACACGCTCTGTCGTAAAGAAATCACGTTGTGATTTATGGTCAGTTTGTTTGCGCTGCATGAGTGAATACGTTTGCTATTGTTCTCGGAATCACTCGTACGTGACATTTTGCACTTGTGAACTTTTCACGGACGATTTCTATTGGTCGATGGCTGGTGTGATCTTTTTATGAGATTGGTCAGGATTATTTTTAAATTATGCGCTGATTTTGTTCATTCATTTTTGTTTATCTGCTTAATTCATCTATTATTTGCTTGGGAATAGTGTTTTATTAATTTCTTAACTTAATTGTTGGCTGTATCTAACCAGCGCAGATGCACTATCTCGAATGAAATTTTTTTGTATAATTATTGTAAAATCACTAATAACTATATGTTCTAATAAATCAACGGGGTTTCAAGTCAATTAGCAAAATTTTACAAACCTGATTTTTGACTTCTGTGGAGCAGATTAATTTAATGAATTTATTAATTGGACATGTTTTGGGACACGTTATTCACCTTTGTTAAATAGTTTAATATGGTTATGGTAATTGGACATTTTAATTTATGTCGTGTTTATATTTTTTGAATAATGTGTAAGTATGGTGAAAAGAATTTTATAAATTTATGATTATTCACAAACATATAAAACACAAACCCATCCTTTAGTATGTACAAAGTTATACCTAGAGGCATTCTTGAGTTTTAGAGTTTCGGGCAGACGGTAAGCGAGCTACAATATAAGGATTCTTGGCAATCCTACCATCTGCTGATAAACGCAAAAATTCCGGCAAAACAATTTGAGGACTTTTATAAGTAAACTTAAATATTTAGATAGTTAATCTGCATTTCTGTAGCTATTCTAATTAAAAAAACGTTATAGGGAGGACAAAATTTACTACGAAAAATGATAAAACTGAAGTAATAGTAATACTGTATTACATAATAAACAAAGTGAGTTTTTTGAAATGTTTTCACATCTGTGATTTGCAGCTTTCAAATAAAATTAATAAGAATATGATTGTTCTAGGTTCATCTAACAAATGAATTCAAAACTGAAAATATATGAAATTATGTTGGGAACGTTAATTTTATGAGTCAAAATAAGAAGAACGTGGAAAGTAAATATACACGTTCACCATGAATCAAATTATATAGAGTGCGCTTCCTACGATGTTAGTTTTGTGGGCTTTAGTTTAAAATGAATAAGAGATGTTGAATTGAAAGGTGACACAAGTGTTGATCAAATGCCAGTGTAATAATGACCAAAAAGATTTTCTGCGTTTGTCAGAGTCTGGTTTTTAAAGAATGAAAATTTACGGTTAAATAATTTTTTAATTTTTATTTATTAAGTTTTTCAGTGAGTTAACAGCTATAAAAAATTTCGTTCAACTGACATTTCAACATTATATATATATATATATGTGTGTGTGTGTGTGTGTGTGTGTGTGTGTGTGTGTGTGTCGTTTTGAAATGTGCACTGCACATACGTCGATATGTGCACGTGTGCCTGTATTAGATTTATTATTTTGTTTTATCCATATAAAAGTGCAAATGGCCATCTATACTTTCTTTATTCTTTGGTGACATATTTGTCTTTACTTTGTACGTTTGTTGGTATGTACATAGGTATTATGTACACGAATGTGTTATGTATGTGTGTTTGTATTTCTGAATTGTGCGCGCGTATGCATATATATATGCATTTATACTTGTATTTAAATTTTGTGCGTTTGTGGGCAAAAACCTGTCTGTGTATATTATATATACGTGTGGAATTTACGTTATTTCACCATTTTATTTATTTTATTATGTTTATTTAGTTATTTAATATATTTTTACATCTTATATTATTACCAATAATATTTGTATGTGGCCCTACTCTGTCAGTGTTTCTAAGTGTTCTTCTTTAATTTATAATTTTCTGAGCAGGTATTAAAATACGTTACTTTATCATATAACATTTTCGTAATTGATATTTTCCATTATTTTTCGTGGACTGTTAAAGTTCCTACAATCTTCTTGCTTTTTGTAAAATAAAATTTTCTTCTCCAACAATATATCTGAATAAGTTTTTTTTATTTACGTCATCTTTTATTATTATTATTATTATTGTTATTTCAGAGCATAGGTAATACGTCTTTATATATTTTTGACCCAACCACAGATCTGTACACACACACACACACACACACACACACACACACACACACACACACACACACACACACACACACACACATATATATATATATATATATATTAGGAAGAAGACCAAGTTCTATACAGTTGTTCAAAAAATCCACCGACGATTCAGCATTAACAAGTTTTATGGTTGATTTTCTAATATTTTGAACTAGTTCTTTACAATTAAGTCTATTCAAAATGTTGAAATCCATTTTATAATCGTTTATGATTTATATATATATATATACAATTATTTATAAAGATCACTGCGTTTTCGGTCTGCGTGATCTTAATAAATAATTGTATTTATGATAGTCTAAACCCAAAATATATATATATATATATATGTGTGTGTGTGTGTGCGTATATGAAAATGTGTGAGTGTGTGTGCGCGTACGCGCGCGCGTGTGAGGTGCGAATGTGCATGCATGCAGAATAATATGTAGCATACGACGTGTTACTTCTGTTGTGCAAGCGTTTTGTGAGTGCTGGCTGTGTTTGCTTGAATGTCTGTTAAGAATATAGCACATGTTCAATGCAAATAATTTGTAGAATTCTTGTTCAGCCGATGTGATTCGAGCGACGTTGTTGGCATTTAGCACGCCTTCTGTTGTTTGTGTGCCATATGTCACACGTCGTGTTCATGCAATGCTTCACACCACAACATACAATACATATACATACATACATACATACATATATATATATATATATATATATATATATATATATATATATATATATATTTACAATGTTCTATAAATTCAACCGAATGCTTGGCGTTAATATGTTTGTAGTTCGTTTTTTCGATTTTTCTCACTAAGGTTTTTTGGAGAACAATTAGTTTATTAAAATTCAAAATAAACTTATTTTCCGAATTCATCCAAAAAACTTTAGTGAGAAAAATATAAAAAGTGAACTACAAACATATTAAAGCCAAACATTCGGTAGAATTTATAGAATATTGTAAAAACTATGGTCTATTAGCAACATATATATATTCAATTCAATTCAATAATCCTTTTATTTAGTAAACAAACACAAATGAAAAACATATGTCATTCCTCAGAAAAAAAAACATATATTATATATATATATATATATATATATATATGTGTGTGTGTGTGTGTGTGTGTGTGTGTGTGTGTGTGTGTGTGTGTGTGTGTGTGTGTGTGTGTGTGTGTGTGTGTGTGTGTGTGCTGGTAATAGACCATAATTTTTACAATATTCTATAAATTCTACCGAATGTTTGGCGTTAATATGTTTGTAGTTCGTTTTTTCGATTTTTCTCACTAAAGTTTTTTGGTGAACGTTTAGTTTATTAAAATTCAAAATAAACTTATTTTCCGAATTCATGCTGCAAATAGGACCATATTTCGATTCCGAATGAATCAAACATATTAACGCCAAACATTTGGTAGAATTTATACAATACATATATATAATATAGAATATATATATATATATATATATATATATATATTCTATGACAGTGGTCTTCAACGGGGGCAATTTTAAAAAAATGGGGGGCGCTGAGAATCAAAAAGGCGGAAGAGGACCATGCGTTCAAAAGGGCGGTAAGGAAAGGAGTCGCTAAAGTGAATAATGACATGAGAGGATTTTTATACGAGAAAACATGTAACATCAACGTTTTGATTGGCAAATTGAAAATAAACAAATAATTACCCTGCTTCTTACAACTTGGGTGAGTATATTTTTAAACTACAGTTTTTTTAAATACCTTCAAATTATTGGTAAGCATTTTCCAAAACGTGCTCTTTTAACGAATTAAATACTTCCTGAAGACATTGACGTTTATGCATCTCATCAAAAAATGCTAAGGAAGATATGACTATTTGCTTCCAAGATATAATAAATTTAAAAGTTGAATGGTAAATCCTTTTGAAACATCTGTTACTGAAATTCAAATTGATTTGCAAAAAGAAATAATGAAACAACGAAAAGTTGAATGAATTTCAATAAAAGAGGTATAGCTTAACCGTGGCTGCCGAGAAATGTTAATACTAAATACCTGAAGTTGTGGTTAAGAATGAATTGTTGTTATTAACATTTCCATCAACATTCACGGCTGAAACCGGATTTATTGCTGTAACAAGCTTAATGAATAAGCAAAGAAATAGACTGGATGTAGCCAAGTGAGAAGACCTTCGACTTGCTTTGAGAAATTTAAAGCATAAAATTTGTGATATTGCCAAAAATCGCAAAGCGCAAGGTTTCCATTAACTGAAATTCATGATTTTAATAATTTCAAATATTAATATTAAATGTGGAAAAATTTAATTTTATTAATATACAGTTTTAACTCCAAAAGCTCAAGAAAAAATAGTAATATTCAGTATTTAACTAAAATTAATGAATGACTTGTAATCGTGACTGTAAGAATGATTTTTTCCCCTGATCGTCAATTACACACACACACACACACACTCGTCAATTACACACACAAACATACGCACGCACACACATATTATATATAATTCATACAATACTACTGTATTTATATAAATTATGCTTTTAATAAATATTTCTTAAATTTGCCTTCACTTAAGTTTCTATACCATAGTTTGATAGGGAGCGTTGGAGATTTTTTTAAAAATACGAAAATGGGGTGGTGAGTAAAAATAGGTTGAAGACCACTATTCTATGGTTTCAAGATTGTTCACTTTATAACTTAGTTTCTGTATATACTATATACTTAACTCTTAATTTTATTTCTTAAGTTCAATCGACTAATTATTAAAAAAAATTGTTTTCATTAAATATTTAAATTATTTGAATATTAAAAACAAGATAAAATGTAATTTAAATTTCAATACAAATAATGAATGTTGAAAGTTACAATCAAGTGGTGGTCATGGATATGTTTATATGGTGGTGGTAGAAAAAGTGATCAAACCGTTCTGTAGAAGTTTGAAGGTTTAATATTCTAATTCACTAACCAAATCCATTTTTAACATTTATCAATAAGCTATGCAACAACAGCATCCAACTGCTGAGAACATAACGCGATGGAAACGTGTAAATGATCCTCGGTTTACACTGTGCGATCCTGGCAGTCCTCAAACAAACAGAAAAACATGTACTAGCAAACTGCAATTCTCCAATCGTGCTTGAACGTTAGGTCAAACGATATAATTGTGTTCTGGAGATTATGGCCAATTGGTTAAACTTAGTGAAAAGTGACAATATACAACTCTTTGTAGATTTATTGACGACCAAAGTTGCTCCAATTTCGGATGTCTTTGAGCGATTGGGTTGTCCCGATATCCATTTTATATAAAACAATAACGTGTTTGTGCTGGAGTTGACCATTTGTCACGAAACCAACTTTTTGAAAAATAGAGAATACATTTGATATTTATTGCAAAAGGAGCGATTTTTCATTATTCAATTCTTTCTTATAAAACCGATGAAAGTATTTGAAAATATTTTTACTAGTTTTTATAATTACAATATCCTAATAAATATTATCATTGACTTTTCTATCATATTAACAATTTCTAATCATTTATTTTGTAACAGAGAAGTTTATTTTTTCATGATTTGGATGTTTCAAAAAAAAATAAATAAAAGAAGATTATATCATTATCGTTATTATTATTGAAATATTTTTAAAGCGATTTTTATTAGTCTTATGAGCGTTAATAAAATGAAAATATTGTGTGACAGTTGATTAGTGCTAAAAACATTTTTAAAAATAAAAATTTTAAGTTTAATGAAAATTCAAATAAATTGACAAACAAATTAATTATTGCAAATGCATGGTATTTAAAATCGTATTTTTCAATTATTATAAATGTAAAATCAACTGTCGTGTATAATAAAAAAATGGTCTTTCAAAGTCTAACCTTATGGAATGTCTATATATACAGATATCAACACGTTATATTAAGAACTAACGGCGCTCGTGCTCGGTATTTCAAACTTGGATTAATCAAAATACTTGGGTTCATTTTAGGTCAAACCACTTCACTATTTAACGTAAAATTTGGTATAAATTATAGACACTTTCAACAAAGGTGTTATCTACAAACAAACTTGTGTACATCAAAATATTTTATTAAAAACGAAATACATTTGCGTTTTTAATAAAATACATTTACAAAAACGTTTTTAAAAAATACATTTATAAAAATGAAATTGTGTACGTCAAAATATTTTATTAAAAACGAAATATATTTGGTAAACAAAATTCCAATTTTTATTTGTGTTTTTAAGAAAATCTCCCAAATTTTCTAAAATCTATTGCAATTTTGTTAATGTTAAGTAACATATTGTATGCATTTGAAACTATCACCATAATTAGCCTGCACTACCTGCCATAACAAAAGTTATTATTAAATTATAATTATCAATATAATTATTGGCAATAAAATAGCTATGTTGTTCAATTTTTTTTCAACTTTTTAACGTGTGACAACAATAAATTCATTTGAAAGTTTCTCCTATCGTCGTAAACAACCCAACTTTTTTCAGATCAGTTTTATCAAGAATCTCAACTTTTATAAACAAACAAGCCCCTGTTTTACAGACTGTCCTATAACTAGCAACTGAAGCATCAATATGACAGTAGTTTACTATGTAAATTCTGCAATTACGTTCGGACGCTGGCAGGACTGACATATGATGTACAGCGCTATGAAGAACGGAAGCAGTTGGCAATGTAGGTTGTGTAAGAACACCACGGAACGCTTTGATATCGACGTAGAAATTTCTACCGCCTTTTTTTAAAAAAATCTTGACCAAATGCTGAAGGCAGCACATACTGTAAGTACCTCAGCAGCAGCGATGTTAAATTTGGTCGTCGCCACAAATGCATCAGCTGTAAAATTTGGGAACTTGCATTGTCGTACATCAGGCCTATAATGACAGCTAGCAATGACATCATGAAGCTGTCATGGTGTTTTGGTGACGTCAAGAAGTTTTACAGCACTGTACCGGTCTTTGATATTCATCATCTTAAACCCCGTGGTCACAAGATTTATGAAAGGTACTGTGCTTTCTTCAAGGTAGGCAAGGCTGCTATTGTCTTTTCATGAAAAACTTGACTCCAAAGTTACACACTGAAGTAGCAGGATTTTGGGATGTACTGATGTGTAAGTAAGTTATATGAATTATTAAGCTGTCATTCCGTTTTTTTCGTACTGAGCTTTCACTTTACGCCACCGTGCAATAAAACACTGACCATCTCCAGTAGAATGTAGATCTTATTTTAGCACAGTGATCCAGTTATTTCGAACGTTTATGAATACATGTACATAATCATGTACAAAATATACTTTAGTGATATAGCCTGGAAGATTTACTGGTTTTGATACAGTGATTGATTCATTGGATAATTGTGAAACACTATCGATTTAATGCATCCACTGCTTTTCACGACGGATTCAACAGCTTTCAACAAATAACACTGAAGTTGTTTTGCATCGAGGTCAGTTATAGGATACTCGAATAATAAAACTTACAAAATTCATTTCCCTAAATTAAAAATAGCAAAAAATGTAATTTCCAACCAAAAATATACATGGGCCTACGGGAGCGGATCTAGAAAATGTTAAATTTTTTGCCGATGTTATATAGGTAATTTTAGAATTGAGACCATCGTACAAAAATATCACAGCATTTTCAGCATTGATTCGTTTCTGGCTCAGTTTTTCAATAATTTCTAAAATATTTTTATCATGGTTTTTTAGCTTATTTATATAGAAAACAAAGTTTAGAGTTGAGACTGTCGTACAGAAATATCACAGCATATTCAGCATTAATTCATTTCTGGTTCAGTTTTTCAATAATTCCTAAAATATTCATATCATAGGTTTTTTTTAGCTTATTTATATAGAAAACAATGTTTCAAATACTCTTATTGTTTATCCTTTTTTTGTAGTTTTAATTCATTGCGCGGATTGTGTATTGCTGACTCCAGTGACATTGTCAGCCTGCTAGTCCATAATTTGTTATTTGTCGTGCATATAACTATTATGAAATATAACTGCATTTTCAGCTTGCTAACCTTCACGTTGCTTCATGTTGCTAACTATACCGAGGATGATATAAAACGAATAATTTTGAATTCGCCATCTAAAACCTGTAATCTCTTGCCTGCCCCTTGTTCAAAAAGAATTTATACTTATTTTCACAGTTTTTCACCAGTTTCATCAACCTGTTTAATCAGACGGAGGCTGTTAAAGTTTTTTGTCACATCATGCGGAAGGAAAGAATGGAAAATCTAACAACTACAAGAAAGATTACATGGAAAAAAGATCGCGGTCAACAACGAATAACATTCGTGTTGTTTCTGTGTTATTCGTTGAATATCACTACATTTCAATTTATACAAAGTGTTAAAGATCGGGTTTTGTGGAGGTCGATGGTCGCCAAATCCTGAAAGGATAAGGCACGAGAAAAAAGAAAGAAAGAAATGTTTAATTACAGGAAAATTTCCTGTTTTATACAAACATGCCCATGTGATATCTCTTTTAAAGAAAAATGAGTTGGATACAAGCGATGAAAATAACTACAGACCAGTTTCAAATCTCTCGTTTAGGTCAAAAATTATGAAACGAATAGTTGCTAATGAATTGGTTAGCCATTTAGAACAAAAGTATTTGCTGCCTCTGCATCAGTCAAGAATCAGTCAACATCTTTCAACAGGACAGTTTTGTTGGAGATTTTGTCTACATCATTTTCAGTGACAGATGCGCTTTTGGACATGAGTGCAGCATTTGGTAGCGTCGATCATGGTATTTTGTTGGACCGTTTGGAAAGACCGTTCTCGATATACCAAATTTGTTATAATTAGGTTCTCAGTGATCTAATATACTTTCACCAATATTATATTTTCTTACGAATGTTGAAAACTTTTAACTTTTATGAAATAAGTAAAAAAATCATTTGTATAAAATATAAAGATAAACGATCTCAAAGAATAACATAAGAATGAAGTAATACTTTTCATAATAAAAAATAAACAAGCGAACGATCATTTCATATATTTCCTAGCTTTTTCAACTGGCCACATGCCTTGTTATTATAAACTTCAATAAAATAAATGTATATTGAATTGTATATGTTCAACTTGCAAAAAAATCCAAATTAGTAAAAAATGTCAATTCGTAATATATAAAGTTTAAAACTACAATCAATACCATGACTCATTAATAAGTGCTATAATGTTTCAAAACGCATTATGGCTTTATTTAATGAGACACTGAATACAAAAGCACTTGGCAGTGTGCGCTTCCGTTTTATTATCTTTTTGAGGAGACGACTTTATGGAAGGCGAGTCTTGTAACGATGATTTTTTTCTTGATGTTGCTGCTTCTGTTCGCATTGGCAGGTACATGCAATTTGTATTCATATTGTTAGGTGGTCGAATAAAATAATCGGGACATTTGTTAGCAAATACCATTGGCGTTGATTCGGTTGGTAGTGAAGATTTTGTCAATGTTGTACATGAAACAGGTGAAGAAGTTGGCAACACTTCAGAAGAATATGCTGGAATGAATAAATTGGATCTGTAATCAAAATTTGACGAAATGATGTTGTCATATGTTGGAATTGTATTAAACTGTGATCGAAGTGGTTCAGGCAACATTTTTCTCATTTCTTCAAGTGATTTGGTCAACATCACAATATAATTTCTTGCCATAGTCAGTGTTGATATTTTGGAAAGTTTTATTTCAGACGGTCCACGAGAGTAAGGTATGACTTCTCTCAAGGCGTCTAATGCTGAATTCAAATCGTGCATTCTTTTTCTTTCTCGGCTGTTCACTTTCAAACGTAACTCTTGAATTTGATCTTCATTTAAAACCCGATTGGTAGGTTGTTTTCGGTTTGTCAAAAAACGTTTTTGCCTCATTGGACCACCAGCGCTTGATGATTTTGATAGCGGAGATGAACCATCTACTCTTTGATGGTAGTTGAATGATGAATCAGCCTCAAAACTGCTTTCTATTTTGGCTACAGAAGCTACAGATTGCGACGAATTAAAACTATCTACAGCACTCGGTAATAATTTATCCATTTTATTTCAGGTAAACAGATTAAACTGATTTAAAATACTTAGGTTTATTTTGAATGTTGTATTCCTTATTAGTTAAGCAGACATTATATATAGATAACTCGAGTTTTACAATCTATTATTTGAATATTTTTGTCGAATAGTGCTTAGTACATTATACATAAAATTAATTACTTTCTATAACATTTAGAAACCACAAACTAATGTCTCGTTCGTCCAATAAAATTGGATCTTATAATAAAAATATCGATTAGTTAATTCAATAATGACCATAATTGTCAGCAGGCAGATTTATTTTAATGAAGTTTACACACTCTGTCGTAAAAAAATCAATTTTAATTTATGGTCGGTTTGTTGGTGCGGCATGATTGAATGCATTCGCTAATCTTCTCTGAATCACTCGTACGTGATATTTTCCACTTATGAACTTTCCACGGACGATTTCTATTGTTCGATGGCTAGTGTAATCTTTTTATAAGATTGGTCAGGATTATTTTTAAGTTTTGCGTTGATTTTGTTCATTCATTTTTGTTTATCTGCTTAATTCATCTATTATTTGCTTGGGAATAGTGTTTTATTAATTTCTTAACTTAATTGTTGGCTGTATCTAACCAGCGCAGATGCACTATCTCGAATGAAATTTTTTTGTATAATTATTGTAAAATCACTAATAACTATATGTTCTAATAAATCAACGGGGTTTCAAGTCAATTAGCAAAATTTTACAAACCTGATTTTTGACTTCTGTGGAGCAGATTTATTTAATGAATTTATTAATGGGATACATTATGGGAAACTTTATTCACCTTTGTTGAATAGTTTAATATGGTTAATTGATTGATAAATCTGGACGGTTTTTAATTTGTGTCATGTTTAAATTTTTTGAATAATGTGTCAGTATGGTGAGAAGAATTTTAAAAATTTATGAGGAGTCTTTGAATTTTTTATTTTCGGGCAGATGATATTTTGAATGGTCTGTAATTTTTTTATCGATTTGTTTGACAGTCCATAAAGAAGACCGATGCAGTATTTGAGTCGAGAGTGGATAAATGTATGTATAAAAAGCGTCAACATACGAGCCTTTCATTCCAGGGCTCATTGAACTAAAACTCTCTTGAATTTTTTGTTTGACATCATCAACATAAAAGTTGCGTGATTCAGTGTTGAGCTCTGCAAGGTTGTCGTCAAGGACTGACCGCTCTTACTATCATTGTTAGTTATTTTTAATGTTGCTGATTTTGTGCATAATATGCGTCAGCGATTTTTTCGAAACCAGCCGTTATAGCGGAAATGGTATTATTCAAAGAAAACTGATAGCTCTTGAAGTTGTCTAAGACGACTATACATGAGTCGCTGAAATATTTAATATTCCTGCACAGGGCACTCGCATTTAAGTTTTTTATCCGCGCAGTGTGTACAAAAGCATCACAGAAAAAAAATTCATGTAAAATTGCTGTCTTGTAATGAAAATGCCTTGGATTCTCTGGAGAAATGTCATAAGTGCATAGTCATAGCTTAAGTTTGAGACAAAAAAATTAGAATTTTAGAAATTTAGAAGGTGCTTAGAAATTTAAAGTATATATTATTTCATAAAACTTTTTTGAAGTCAAATTTATTGGTGAATGATGCTTACCTGGGAATGCAACATCGTTATTTTTTTATTCACGGATGCAACCAGGGAGAAGAGAGGCCTGTCAATGACAATGATTACGATTCTCAAGACACCAGACTAAATATATTGAGAAAATTTTATGACAGTCTATTAAATAAATAATTGAAAAATAATCAAATAAATAAGATCTTAAAAAATGAATTAATATTACCGATAAATTATAAAAATTGTAAAATTTGATTAATATGAAAACTAACGTGCTCTGAAAATGTTAGGCCGTCTGACAAAACATGTCAACAGTCTAGAAATTTTTCCGGAAGGTCAATGTGGATTTAGAGCCTGAAGAAAGAAAACGGATGTGATATTCACTGCAAGACAACTGCAAGAAAATTGTCGTGAGCCGCAACGAGGGCTGTACATGGTTTTTGCTGGCCTGACCAAGGCTTTTCGTTCAGTTGGTAGGTCAACACTTCGGCGCTGCTTGTCGAAAGTTGGTTGTTCACCAGTTTTTGTTACCATTGCTTTCATACTAGCTTTCATACCTTCCATGATTTAAAATAGTGAACTGTCTCAGGAATTAAGCAAAGATTTGTTATGGCTCCATTGCTGTTCAACATCTACTTTTCATTACTTACCTTTATATATATATCTAAAAATAGGTCTGGTCTGTTCTATCTTAAACTTCTTCATAAGAATTCTTCTCACTCATCTTTTTCTGCTCAAAAGTTTCTTGACTTTTGTAAATAAAATTATAAATATCTACTATTTTTTAAACACTATACTTTTCATAGAAATTCTATAACATCTGCTTCAGCATCTAAAAATAGGTGGTCTGTTCTATCTATCAATCAAATCAATCTTCGTTTAGCGTCCAGAGTCCCGGTTCCCCGAGGTAGGACTGTTAGTACGAACTTATGCTACTAACAAGACACCTTGTTGTGAGTTAAAATAAATAAAACAAACACAATTTAGGCGTAATAAAATATTATCTTTATTCCCACGTGAATCTCGAATCGTTTCGTTTACAAGCTATCAGGAAAAAAGGGGAAAGAAATCGAGAGAGAAGCAAAGACATAAAAATTAACATAGATTAAGTAACATTGAAATTGCAATAATCTTTAATAATAATTAATATGTGAGATAGTTTATAAATGAATGTTTGATCCCTACAATACTCCCCCACAAAAGGCGGAGCCGTTTAAAAATAAAAATATTCATTTCATTTGTTGAATGTTATTCGCTTCCCTTTTCTGGAATGTTGGGTTGTTGGTTCGGATTTGGTTGACGTCGGTCTTGTTTCTTGTGTTGTTGTTGCGCCTGATGTTGTTGCTGTTTCTGGTGTTTCAGTAGATTTTGTGTCTGATGTTGCTGGTTTTGTTGAATCTGTTGTAGAAAGTTTGTTGTTCGTTGTCGAACTATTCTCGTTGTTTATTCTGGTTTTGGTTGTTGGAGGTAATTATAAACAAGCTGGCTTTAATCGATCAATTGACACATTTTGAAAATTTCCTGGTAACAATTCAATTTTAAAGTATTTATCGTTACGTTCAAGCACTTTGAAAGGGCAAGTATATGGTGCTTCCAGTGGACGACGTACTCGATCTACTCTTAACCATACGTGACTACTGTTTGAAAGGTCGTTTGGTACGTAAGCTTTTGGGGTAGAGTGATGTTGATTGTTAGTTGTTAGCTTTAAGTTTAAACATTTCTTTTGCTAGTTGTTTGATTTGACTAGATGTTATATCTTTATTTGAATCTGGGAATAAAAATCGACTTGGTAATAACAAGTTGGTTCCTGTTACTGCTATTGCTGGAGATATTTCATTTTCACAATATTCCCACGCAAGAGGCGGAGCCATTCAAATGGAAAAATGTTTGTTTTTTTATTTGAATTTGATTTTTCCACTTTTCTTTGAAGATGTGGTTGTTGGTACTGATATCGCTGGCGTTTAACTTGTTTCTCGTAATGATGTTGCTTTTGTCGCTGATAATTTGGTTGACATTTATCTTGTTTCATGAGATGTTTATGATAGTGTTGTTGTTGAAAACGCGGTTGCCGTTTTGGTTGCTGGTTCAAATTTTGTTCTGGCTTCTCATGCAACCTTCTGTCTAGCTGCAAACGATTTCTAGAATGAGATGTGTGTGAGGACGATGAACTATGTTCTTCTTTTCTCTTTCTGGGATGATCTTGTTGCTGCTGTTGAACAGGAGAAGGAAGAGAGAGAACTGGAAGGAGAGAATCGTTCATGTGTGAATTTGCTGATGGGATGGTAATATTCTGCTCAGCATTTTGCTGTTGTGATTGTTGGATGTCATTTTTATCTTCGTTCTTGCTCAGGACAACTTTTATTTTATTGGACTCTTCTGGTGGCTGCCTCTCTTCAATTTTGTTTACATTCATCAGATTCAAATTTATTTTAAAAATTCTTTTTCTTGGAATTGCTCAGGTTTGGTTTGTTTGAACGTTGATAATAACTCTGCTTTTAGAGCGTCGTAATCTGTTCCTCTTTGCACTTTTAACGACAATTTTGAGACTATATCCAACGGGAAATTATTACTTGATAGAATCTTGTTGTTTTACACATCACGTTTCGCAATTGAAATTGCATTTCGGAATTCTCGAACCATTCGGTTGACGCTGTTTTCTTGAAAAGAGGTAATATGGCGATCGGGTCATCATTTGGTTGGAACATTGTTTTCGTTTTGATCTTACCACGTGGATCTTCGTATTTCTTTTTACGTCGGATTTTCGTTCAGATCACGTCGAGTTTTTCGTTCAAATCACGTGGGATTTTCGTTCAAATCACGTCGGATTTTCGTTCAGATCATGTCGGAGGTCACCAATTTGTTGGTATGAACTTATGCTACTAACCAAACACCTTGTTGTGAGTTAAAATAAATAAAACAAACACAATTCAGGCGTAATAAAATATTATCTTTATTCCCACGTGAATCTCGAACCGTTTCGTTTATAAGCTATCAGGAAAAAGGGGAAAGAAATCGAGAGAGAAGCAAAGACATAAAAATTAACATAGATGAAGTAACTTTGAAATTGCAATAATCTTTAATAATAATTAATATGTGAGATAGTTTATAAATGAATGTTTGATCCCTACAGGACGTTGTTTTTTTTGCCATCAACTTTTTGCGCCAAATTAGACGATCAGTTGTATCCATTTCATTTAAATTTAGAGCTTTCATGTCTTGCTCGATTGTTTGCGACCAAGACTTCTTTGGACGGCCTTCGGGACGTGTGCCAGGTACTTCAACATCTGCAAGAAAAGTTATGGCACTGTTTCTACTTCGTTTGACATGACCAAACCACCGCAGACGGTGTTGCCGGCATTCGTCCTTTATATCATCTAAACCAGCACGACGCAGGATTTCGGTGGATTTGATGTCGGTTCGTTGAAGTTGTTGTTCTAGTTTAGTTGTCATTGGCCATGTTTCTGCACCATATAACAACACCGGACGTATCACAGATTTATAAAGTCTTGATCGTAGTGGTAGTGGGATGTCACGCCGCATCAATAAAAAGGCAAGGAGATGCCATTTATTCCAGGCTGCACGTATGCGTGCTCGAACGGCAGCTTCAGCTGTTCCAGTACAATCCAGAACATCCCCTAGATATTGAAACGATGTGACTTTCTTTACCTTAATGGCTTCAAAAACAGTGCTATTTCGAATTTGTTGTTGTGGATTGATGCAAGCAGGACAAACTAAATTGGACACTTTAGATAACGTACCAATTATTTTTGAACAACGTTTGTGACACCACTGGTTACACTGCTGACACTTGATTGAATTGTTACCTGCACCAGCTTTACAAACTGAACAGGGCCATCGTCCAGTAGCTGTGGATTGGATGATTTCACCAGTGTTCATTGCTTTGGTTTTGCTGATGTTGATTTTGAATCCATGAACGGCAAGTCTGGTGTTCCAATCTTCAAACATCTGTGCTGCATTCTGCTCAGACGTGGCTGTTAAAGATCTTTGTGATGGCATGAGAGTAATTTGGGGAAAAGTTTTTACATCCGGACATCCATCCTGACGACAACCACCAGTTATAAACGGTGGGCCTAGCCTTTTGCTCAAAAGTCTAAACTTCATCATAAGAAATCCTCTCACTCATCTTTTTCTGCTCAAATGTTTCATGACTTTTGTAAATAAAATTACTTTTTTAAGAACCTCTAATTCTAATTTTTTTTCTCATAATTTTACTAAACTTACTACTGAATCTTTTTCTGTATTTACTGCAATAAATCTTCTAGAACTTACTAAAATTATTAATTCTATGTCGTCTACAACCTGGTCTTTAGATCTACTTCCTTCTAATTTACTTGAAACATTTTCTTCAATATTTTATCCTATCATTCTCAAATTAGTTAATTTATCTCTTTCCACCTCCTAATTTTCTACTTTTTATAAGAATTCTATTGTTATTCCTATTCTTAAAAACTCATCTTTAGATCGTACCTTTTTATTTAATTATAGACCTGTTACTAATATTACTTTCATCTCTAAAATAATAGAAAAAATAGTTTATAATCAATTGTCATCATATTTAAACTCTAACTCCTTGCTACCGGTATCTCAATCTGGTTTCAGACCTGCTCACAATACTGAAACTTCTTTACTCAAAATACATAATGATATCCTTCTCTCTAGTGACAATAGTAATCTTACTCTTGTTCTTGCTCGTGACTTTTCCTCTGTCTTTGATACTGTTGATCATAATATTCTCTTAAGGCTGCTAGATCTTTCTTTTAATATTACTGATTCTTGTCTATTTTGGTTTTCTTTTTATCTCTGTAATCGTTTTTTCTGTTGTTCTCAATAATTCTACTTCTAACTCCTCTATTCTTACTTTCGGGGTACCTCGGGGTTCTATCCTTGGCCCTCTTCTATTTTTACTTTACCTACCTCGTATTATTAATAACTTTTTTTTCACAAATCAACTGTATGCTGATGATTTTTATATTTATTCTTCTTTTCCTTCATCTAATCTCAATAGTGTTCTTCATAATCTATTTATCGCTTGGTCTGACTCTATGTGTCTTAAACTTAATCCTTCTAAATTTGAATTAATTTGTTTTAATAAATCTGAACACTCTATTACTATTCCTCCTATTATCTTACCTGATTCTAAAACTCTTGATATTTCTCACAAGTTTCGTAGTCTAGGCTTTTTCTTTAATTCTAGTATGTCTCTTTCTTCTCAGATTAATAGTGTTGCTAGAAGTTCTTATTTTCATCTACGTAGAATAAAAAAACGTTTGCCTTTTCTTGATGATCCTACTCTTCTCCTTCTTGTTACTTCGTTAGTCTTATCTAGGATTGATTATTGTAACTCGCTCTACTATGGTCTTCTTGAATCTAAAATCTATCCTTAAGCAAAGCTTTTAATTCTTCTGCACGTCTAGTTGCTCGTGCCCCTTTCTTTTCTCATATATCTCCATATCTTGTTCTCTTGCACTGGCTACCTATAAAATATAGAATAATTTTTAAAATTTTCACGTTCATGCATATGTCTCAATCTAAATTATTTCCTAAGTATTTATCAGATATATTAATTGAACCTAAACGCCCCGGTTTACGATCGTCTTCTTCTTCTCGCTTTTTCTTAACTCGTGTTAAACACTCCTTTGCCAAATCTGCTTTTGCTTTTTTGGCCCTTTTCTCTAAAACTCTCTACTTACTTCTCTGACTACTTCTCCATCACTTACGAAGTTCAAAGCGGACCTCAAAACCCAACTTTTTTCAAAATTCATTGAGGAGCGCTGTTGAACATCGCGGAAATAGCACTTTACAAACTATTTGATTGATTGATTGATTGATTGTTTGTTTGATTGATTGTTTATTTGTTTGATTGATTGATTGATTGATTGATTGATTGATTGATTGATTGATTGATTGTTTGATTGATTGATTGAATGAATGATTGATTGATTGATTGTTGTTGTGGGTGTGGAAATGGTTGTTAGTTTTTTTTTGAGATTTGGATATGATGTTGTCAATAGGTATGTTTAGGTAGTTATTGTTGACCAGAAATTATTTGATTCTTTGAATTTTTTTGCGAAGATATTTATAGTTGAAAGATAGTTTAACTGTGCTGATGTTGAAGTTGACGACGATTGCATCCCTGTGCAATTACGTAACTGCAGTTTTATTCGCGTCGGTTGCAGTTTTTATACTTGCGGTTCTGGGCGGTTTCGGTTTTAGAGTTTTAATAAACACATTAAAGCCGCGGTTATTTTGCTGATGCAATTTTTGTTAAAGATCAAGATAAAATACAACAAATGTGTTGTTTATCAGAAGCAGTAACGACTTGAACGTTCAAAAATTGTTAACAGTTTATTTTTTTGCGTGAATACACTTAGAATTCACATTTTTTCATTATTTATTTATTCATTTATTTCTTCGTTACCGTTTTATACTATTGCCTTGCATGCTGTAACTGTTTCTGCGTCTGTCAGATCCTGATTTTTTAAAGAATAATAATAAAAAATAATTATATAAATATTTTTGAAATTTAATTGATTTTGTGCAGGTGGCTCTTGACCTATGCCTGACACCAGCTTATTGATTCATGTGAGGCTCTAACCTCCACTTACAACCTCCACAGGATTTTTTAAAAGGTTTATTTCGTAGAAATGAGTAGCATTGCTGATGCACCCTCCTCAAAAACTTTTGAGGAGGATGCATAGCCGGACCAAAATTGTGTAAGGATTCTTTAACAGATCTTGGCAGTGTTTATTCGTACTGATTTATTGTAGATATGTGAGGAGGCTATCTATTGAGTAAAACTCTTGTTTGATACGAACGAATGAAGCATTTTATTTTTCTAGCTCGTAGGCGAGTTAAATTGGTTTTTTAATTGATTGGGGGACCTGATTGTGCATGCATATTCGAGCACTGGTTTCTTCCGGTAGTTATGTATGTAAGAAGTGGTGTTCCTTTGTCTTGACAGAATGATGTGTCAGAAAATGCTTCTGACATGTTATTACAATTAATTGCTTCAGCTGCTGATTTTTTATATGTTTGATACGAATAAATGGAGTCTAACCACTATTGTATGCAAATGTTTTAACGAAATTTTTATGAAGGAATTGTTGATATCTATAGGCATTACTGTCTTATTGTGTTGCAATATTTTAAATGAAGTGTTCCTTTCATTTTACAAAGATGATGAGTTTGAGTTTTGATTAGATGATAGGCACGGTTGATGTAGCGCTATAAAAAATATTGAACGGAAAAGAGGTCTGTATTTTGTTGAACGTTGGGCATTTGGCTTTCTGAATGGAAGTGTTAAATGGTGAAAGTATTGTGATAATCTGTATTGGTGCGAAGAGGTCTGTATGTTGTTGAACATTGGGCATTTGGCTTTCAGAATGAGGTGTTGAATGGCGGAAGTATTGGGATAATCTGTATTGGTGCGAAGGGCAGCATTTTTTATAGCTTGTAGGCGGGTTAAATTGGTTTTTTTAATTGATTGGGGACCAGATTGTGCATACATATTCGAGTACTGGTCTTTTCCGGTAGTTTTTTATGTAAAAAGTATTGTTCTTTTATCTTGACAGAATGATGTGTCAGAAAATGCTTCTGAGATGTTATAACACTTAATTGTTTCAGTTGCTGATTTTTATGATGAGCTACGAAAATGAGCATGGTGTCAAATGTAAATTGTGTTTGAGCGGAAGTAATTGATAGTTGATTTTGACTTGAGAATGATAGTAATATTAGACAGTTTTTAAACTTTCAATGTTCAAAAATTGAAAAAGCTGTGGTGTTGGGAGGTTTGTTGAATTTATTAAGTAAGAATTTTGGCATCTAGTCCAGAGAGTAGATGATAAAGTCGTCTGCATAGGATAATATTTTGATGATAGGAGGTGGTTGAGCTTTTGAGATATATTAGTTGAACAAGCTTGAAGATAAGGCAATGCAGAACCTTAAGGTACACCAGTTTAGAATCCACACTGTGGACAATACGTTTTTTTTTTGGTGAATGGTGTCAAAATTCTGTAGAAACGGAGCGTCTGTGTAGATAGTTTGAAGTACAACTAATAATTGATTGTGGAAGAGTAAAGAAATGAATTAATTAGTAGGTGTAAGATAATTGACGGTTTAAAACGCTTTTGTAAGATCAAATGCAGTCAATAGGCTGGTCATTTTGGTCAAAACTGTTGATTGCGTTTGTTGTTAGTAGTGCTGTAGTTGTATGTTTTAGGTAAAAACCGTATTGATGATCAGCCAAGGGTAGATGTTACAATAATTATACAAAAAAAATTTCATTCGAAATATTGCATTTGCGCTGTTATGGTAAGAAGCTTCGAAAATTTTGAATAGTTTGTTATAAATTGGTTTTCAGTGATCTAATATACTTTCAATAATATTATATTTTCTTACGAATGTTGAAAACTTTTAATTTTTTTTAAATAAGTAATGCAAAAAAAATGATTTGTTGTAAAATATAACGATAAGCGATTCCAAAGAATAACATAAAAATGTAGTAGTACTTTTATAATAAAAAATAAACAAAGCGAACTATCATTTCATATATTTCCGAGCTTTTTCAACAACTGGCCACTTGCCTTGTTATTATAAACTTTTATTAAATTAATGTATATTGAATTGTATATGTTCAGCCTGCAAAAGAAACTAAATTAGTAAAAAATGTTAATGCCTAATATATAAAGTTTAAAACTACAATCAATACCATGAATCATTAATAAGCGCTATAATGTTTCAAAAGGCATTATGGCTTTATTTAATGAGACACTGAATACAAAAGCACTTTGCAGAGTGCGTTTCTGTTTTATTATCTTTTTGAGGAGGCCAGTCTTGTAACTATGATTTTTTTCTCGATGTTGCTGTTTCTGTTCGCCTTGGCAGGTACATGCAATTTGTATTCATATTGTTAGGTGGTCGAATAAAATATTCTGGACATCTGTTAGCAAATACCATTGGCGTTGATTCGGTTGGTAGTGAAGATTTTGTCAATGTTGTACATGAAAGAGGTGAAGAAGTTGGCATTAATTCAGAAGAATATGCTGGAATGAATAAATTGGATCCGTAATCAAAATTTGACGAAATGATGTTGTCATATGTTGGAATCGTATTAAACTGTGATCGAAGTGGTTCAGGCAACATTTTTCTCATTTCTTCAAGTGATTTGGTCAACATCACAATATAATTTCTTGCCATAGTCAGTGTAGATATTTTGGAAAGTTTTATTTCAGACGGTCCACGAGAGTAAGGTATGACTTCTCTCAAGGCGTCTAATTCTGAATTCAAATCGTGCATTCTTTTTCTTTCTCGACTGTTCACTTTCAAACGTAACTCATGAATTTGATCTTCATTTAAAACCCGATTGGTAGATTGTTTTCGGTTTGTCAAAAAACGTTTTTGCCTCATTGGACCACCAGCGCTTGATGATTTTGTTAGCGGAGATAAACCTTCAACTCTTTGATGGTAGCTGAATGATGAATCAGCCTCAAAACTGCTTTCTATTTTGACTACAGACGTTTCGGATTCAGACGAATTAAAACTCCATTTTATTTCAGGTAAACAGATTAAACTTATTAAAAATACTTAGATTTATTTTGAATGTTTTATTCATTATTAGTTTAACAGACGTTATATATAGATAACTCGAGTTTTACAATCTATTATTTGAATATTTTTGTCGAATAGTGCTTAGTACATTATACATAAAATTAATTACTTTCCTTAACA